ATAATGCTGCTGAGCTTGGTCAAGCCGATCTGCAATTTTATGCTACGTATGCGGAATAGATGAGGGTCCAATATTGGACCTGCATGGGTAAGAAACGATAAGCAGTTGGTTGAATTAGCTTGTACGGAGGTAGTGGTGACGGAACGTTTTTGATGATGATGTTATTTATTGCAGATCATTTTTTTTAAAAAAAAAGGACCGGGTAAAGTTTTCTGTTGAGTTGCATTATTTGGTTGTTTCGAGATCGAGACCGAGATCGAGTCAAAGAATTGGGAGAAAGGAAAGATTTGATGAATTAACAGGATTTTTTGTCGTTTACTTTTGTTTAAGGAATTTCATCGGTAATGTAGATGTATTTGTATTTTTTATTGTTTTGTTAGGTGAATATGAAAGAGAAGATGTAAAGATGGGGGGGGGGTAAGGCAAAGCAAGGTAGGGCAATGGTAGGGATTAGAAATATGATGAGATGAATAATATTTGTCAAGACTCAAGACTCGAGGGGTTTATGCAGGTGAGAAATGTAAGATTAGTGTTACTCTGTAGTAGACTGCAATGCAGACTATTTCATCATTGATACAAGTATATACCTATCTAATCCTTTTAGTGAGTGCATTATTGTTTCATTTATATTCGACTACTTTTATATTTAGGTCAATTATAAAGTTTGTTCTAATTCCATCGATTCAAGGTACCCGTACCTACTCTGTCCTACTTACAAAGCTATTCTAGTACTGTATGTATCGAGTATATATCGAGATTAACCTTTGTCGTCATTATCTCGATAGAGTATCAAATAAGAGAGGATTAGAATCAATACCTACCTACCTAGTATGCTAAGCAAAGCATTTATCGATTTGTGTGCCCCTTTTAGTACTTGTTCATTCAAACGATGTAAGTGTTACCTGTATTTCTATGATGACGTCTAGATGTGGCCATTCGAGCCACCTTATGTGTTGTACATCAATACGTACCTACATCTTCACTTATTCTACAGGTTGTATAACCCACACGTACAAATATCTGTTCATCCCAAAGTAAGATTTTAAATTCATGTCATACATACAGTAACACTCATATCCATCCATCCATCCATCCATCCATCTATCCATCCATCCGTATCTTTTCCATCTGGTGAGAAATAGAGGTTTGGTGAGTTTAAACGTTGTACTGGTTACAAAGGGTTACCTTTCTTTCTTTGTTACCTACGTCATTCTATGCTCACTCCAATGTGTCAAAGCCCTTTCAAGACTAAACATAGAACATCAGATCGAACTCCGAAGGATTGGCATGGAGGCGAAAAGTATCAGCATATTCACTAACATGGAGGATAAACCTAAAAACTTTAATAAAGGGAGGCTGAGTCAAATCATACTTGGTACCTACCTAGTACTGTACTCGAGTACCTACCTACCTACTGGCTACTGCACCCACCTACCTAGTAATAATTCAAAAAAAACAAAAAAAAAACAAAAAAACAATTGATCAATCGACGATTAATCTGATATATCCCCTCCTGCATCTCTTTTCAATCTTCAGATTTTTAATTACTCGACTACACTCATCTTGATTAGTGATCATCTAAATATTGACTGATCAGCAGTCGATTATGTGAATGAAAATCCCCCATAAGCATCACCTGGCCCCAATAATGCGAAACCCTCATTTTGCAAATCCGATGATCTCCAAGCCTAGAACTTCCAATGCAGTACGAGGGACTGCTATAGCCTACCGCTTTCTCATATTTACTTTAATCTATCATATATATACACACACATATTTGTATTCTGTATTCCCATGTTTAAATAAATAACATCAGATTCCTATATTAATATCAAAGGAATCTCGTTCAAAGTGGTTCGACTAATGGTCAGTTTATCGTTTGGATTTCCGCTGTACTCTTCTTTCTTTCTCTGCAATTCCTCAGCCAGCCCTGTCGTGCTCAACTCTCTCAACGGCTTAGGTCAATTTCAGGATGCAGATAACCCGAAGCTAAATGACGTCATTTGAATATGCATGTATGCATCACGTGTACAACTGCAATGTCTCATCTTTTTTACTCCGTATTTTTCTCGGAACTTTTCTTTTCTTTTCTCCGATTTTTCGAGAGAAGGTCTCTTCTTTTCTTTGCTTTGTCATCTCATCTCATCTTTTCAAATCCGCCAAGAATGTACAGAGTATACTTGGTAAGCAGATGTCGTACAATCCCCTACTCTGTATGAATTCATGATCAAGATTGATGGATGGATGTAAGGAAGTGAAATGTTATATTGGTATATTTATATTAATTGAATGATTGAGAAATCTAATATCTATTTATAGTCTGTACATTGGTTATCATATCTATCACTAATACAACTCCAACTTGATACCATATACTTTACTTTTTAGATGATTGATTCAAGTTCGAATTCAACAATCACCTAACAGTACCTAACGAGAGATGGACTATCTGTACAGACATCCCTCCTTCAACACCGACACTTCATATTCTTCTCAGAAAATACATCTAATAATGCGAAAAACATGCGAATAGTAAATAGGATAACACTCCCTCACTGTAAGCACATCACATGACCATCAAAAAGATAACCTTATCAAAAAGATCAACAACTTACACGATTTTTCACCTGATAGCTTCATTTCATCTTCACCTTATCTCCCCAAATCCTATCAAAATACGCGGGGTGGCTCCGTAAAAATGCAACTCAAACACGCTAACGCTTAGATAACCCAATTTCTCGATTTCTCCATTCGTACCTCCGCAATCTTCCATGATTTTGGTTAATTCTCATTGGTTCTTTCAAGGAATCTTTCTGCTTTTTTAAAGAGAATCCGACGCATGGGATGGGTTGCGTTGATAAGGCTTCCGATAAGCATCGTTCGTTCTATCTATCCGTCTAGTGGCGGGCAGAGAACTTTATGTTGATGTTATGTGTGGAAAGGTAGTCATATCGGAGATGGTTTTCTTTGATAAGGGTTAAAAGTTTTATACTTTTGATTTGCTATTATCGTGTGAATGGTATATAATATGTAGGTAGGTAGATGAGATGTTGAGTTCTTGTGTTAGAGTCTCTTTTATCTTTTCATTGGAATTTCTAGCTGCTCGTTGTTGTTATCAAGAGCAATCTCTATCTCTTCATATAATTGGCATCGAGTAGCTTAACTTTCATTTCTATTCCACGCGCTGTCATCATCCAAATCTACATTGGCACAGTGTAGCTAGATCACTCCTTTCCCTCCTTCGATACCCTACCCTCATCGCACAACAAAATGTCTCTCCAAAAACCTCGGTCTCGAAGTTCAGAATTCGAAAATGACGATACCAAAGTTATCCCCGGCATGACAAAAGATATCGATGATCCCGAATCAAAAATCGGTATCACAGCAGAATCAGCATATGTTTTTGATCACCAAGCAGAACGAGCTCTGTGTCGAAAGTTCGACTTTCGTTTATTACCAGTTCTGGCATGCATGTATCTTTTCAACTCGCTTGATAAGGGGAATTTGGGAAATGCAAAAACCGATGGTCTGGAAAAGGATTTGGGTTTCAAGCATAATCAGTATAACATTATCTTGAGTGTGTTTTATATACCTTATGTTTTATGCGCACTTCCAATTGTGAGTTTTTCATTCTTACTACTTGTTATCATGTATCTTCCCATCTCGGATTTGCAACACTGTGCTCAATATCTATCTATATTGGTTGATTCACACTTTTGGGATCATACGAATATCTGAATGGAATTTGAGCAGCCAATGAATAGTCCAGAATACCCTCAAATCAGGTCTTATACCTCACTATCCATTCATACAATTCTAACATCATATAGGCTATGCTTGGAAAGAAGTATGGACCCGCAACAGTCTTACCAATCCTTATGATGTTCTTCGGATCATTCACTATTCTCGGAGGTAAATCAGAATTTTAACATCACAATAACAACAAACTAACCCCTTTTTATAGTCGCAGCACAAAACTTCGGTGGAATGATGACTCTTAGATGGTTTCTTGGTATGTTCGAAACAAAATCTTCACATAACTCGCATCCAACTAAAAAATAAGGAATGTCTGAATCTGCATTCTTCCCCCTGGTAATTTACTACCTCACCACCTTTTACCGTCGTGGTGAACTAGCTCGCCGTCTCGCCATTTTCTACGCAGCAAGCAACATCGCTTCAGGTACTACTCTCCACCCCTCTCCCCAACACAAAACTAAACTAACCACCAATCAAAAAAAGCCTTCTCCGGACTCCTAGCAGTCGGCTGTTTCAGAATAACCAACACTCCGCTCTACCCGTGGCGGTACCTCTTCCTAATCGAAGGAAGCGCCACCCTCCTCTTCGCCATCTTCGCCTTCCTGTACCTCCCCTCCTCGGCCTCCACCGCCAAATTCCTCACCGAACAAGAACGAACCCTCGCCCACCACCGCATCCAAGTCGACTCCTCCTCCATCGTAAACGAGGAATTTAACCTCCACGACTCCCTCGCCATCTTCAAACAACCCACCACCTACGCCTTCCTCGCTATAGAAATCTGTCTCGGCGTCCCCCTCCAAAGCGTAAATCTCTTCCTCCCCCAAATCGTCTCTCGTCTAGGCTACTCCACCATAAAAACAAACCTGTACACTGTCGCCCCCAACGTCTCCGGCGCAGTAATGCTCCTCATCCTCGCTTTCTCCTCCGACTACACTCGCAGACGCGGTCCCTTCATCGCGTTAGGATTCCTATTCACATTCATCGGATTCATCATCTACGTTTCCATCGACGTAACTCATCAACTCCACGTAGCCTATTTCGCTACCTTTATGATGTGCTGGGGAACCGCTGCTCCAAGTGTCTTGTTGAGTACATGGTATAATAATAATATCCCGCATGAAGGTCGTAGAGTCGTAATGAGTAGTGTGGGTGTTCCATTGAGTAATCTTATGGGTTTGGTTTCGTCGAATATCTTTTTGAATAAGGATGCTCCTAAGTTCGTCCTCCTTCTCCTTCCCCTCTCCTTTCCTCTCTTCTCCCAAAAATAACAAACCAAACTAACACAAAAAAAAAAATAGATACATACCCGCCCTCGCCACCACAGCCGCCTTCGGCGGCATGGGTGTTCTTCTCTCTTCCTGTCTAGCTATCTATATGATCCTAGATAATAAGAGAAGAGATAGGAAATTAGGACGGAAATTGGAGGTTGGGGAGATGTCGACTGAGATGTTGAGGGATGGACCGAGTGTGAAGGGGTTTAGGTGGTTTTTGTAGCGTTTTCTTTTTCTTTTTTTGTGTTTAGGAGGGGTGTGACCACTGTGTTGTTTGTTATATTTGGGATTATTGATGCATGATAGATGATGTATGATGTATGATAGATGATGCATGATTCATGATGCATGATGGGAAGGGATGTGAAAAAGAGAGAGGGGGTTAAAAGGAGTTTTTTTTTTCAAAGGGGTTGATTGGGAAAAAGATTTTGTTATTGGTTTTAGGTTAAGTTAATTTGATATTGATATGATGTGATATAATAATATTATAAATACCCTTGAGATATTTGGTGTTATTTATTATTTATTATCCGTTGTTTATTATATTATATTACTCATCTATTCATTTATCCATCTATCCATCCATCTATCCATCCTGTTACGAGGTTTGCCGTCTAGATCACGTGGAAGCGCTCTAGGCTCTCGAAGTGGTTTATAACTAGGCGTCAAGCAGGGACTTTAAGTAATGACAATAATGATATGCAATTCGTAACTAATAGTAGAGTATACTAAATGATTGATCTTGAGCACGAAGCTCTATACAAAGGAAATCCATCTTGATTATATAGACCTTTGTGTTCCAACATTGGGTTGGAGCGAGGGAGCGAAGGAGCGAGATTCGAATCTCGCTCCACAGCTCCATCGCTCCCTCACATGACTATTCACATGATCCTGGAACACGTGATATTGGTTTGTGACGTTCCGACGTAACAAAAGAAGTACAAAGACAAAAGATAAGAGGTAAAAAGACATAATTATCAAAAGGTATCATCGAAAATTTTCATTATTTGAACCTATTCCTCCATCCATCCATGCATCCTCCATCCTCCATCCTCCAACTTCCAAAAATCCATCGTTTATTTTACCTCACCACATAATCTGGTGCGATGCGATCCAATCCGAACCACCTACTCACTCACACACTCACACACTATACATCCAGCACACCATTGATTTAAGAAATCTACAGCTAACCACACCACACCACACCACTCAATCTCTACCTCTTCATGCATTCCACCCCCTTCCATCCACTCACCCTAGAACCTAAACAAACATCTAAATCTCATCCACATCCTCATCCTCTCTAACCACCCTCTTTCCTCTACTATCCAAAGTATTCAAACTAATCGCATCACTATCCCCCGCATCTCTCCCTTGCATTCCCAAAGCCTGTCTCCCTACCTCTGAATCCTTCAAGAATTCCCTCAACTTTTCCTTTCCAATCTCCACTCCTTGTGTACTAGCCGCATTTAACATGCGAATAATTGGACCCCAGAGATTGAGCGTGTAAGTGACGTAACCTGCGACACCGCAAAGAATGAGGAAGACAAAGTAGATGGGATTGCGTAGGACTGTGGTTGACAAGTGTTAGTGGTTTGGTTTTGGGGTTGAGGAGAATAATATAATGACATACCAGCAACAATCTCATTCCAACCTAAAGCCAATAGTAGACCATAGAAGTACAAAGGAACTTGAGCCACACCACCAATAGCACTACGTTTAGCTTCAACATATACACCATCTGCTGTCTTCTTGAATCTAACCACGAGATCTTGACGTTTGGCTTCACTAAGAACTGTCATTTCTTCTTCAAGACTCTTTCCTTCTTCTTCATCCACACCACCAATAGGTGTAAGATCTTCTTCATCTTTAGGATCAACACTAGCCGGAGTGTTACCAATCCATTCGGGTAATTCGGGAGGTGATGATGTTTCCAAGAGCTTGAATTTGGCCAATAATGGTATGAGGGTAAGAGTTGATTCTCTAGCCTTGGTATAAATTCCCTCAATATCATCAGAAGGTCGCCATATACGTGGAACACCCGCTTCATCGTAGCGGAATTTATCCTCAAAGTTCTCTCGAAGTTTAAGGAGGATATTACCTTCCATGACTTCCTCGTCAATTTTGGCTCGGAGAACACCCCAACTCTTTCTCCTGAGACGCCATAGACCAATTTCGATTTCATCCTCACTAGCATCAAAACTCTTTGCTCGTTCGATAAATTTAGACTCTGCTTCCTTGACTGTTCCAGTAAAAGTTTTCCATATTCTATCCCACAAATCTTTCTCGGTAGCAGGCTTTTCCCCTGTCTCAGGGGCTCCACTACCACCTCTTCCAGAACCGAGTTTATTGAACTCAACTCCAATAGAATCGTTCAATCGTGATCTCACCCATCGCTCAACATGTGTTGCGAGACGTCTCATCTCTTCCTTTCTGAGATTACCGCTAACTTCGTTAAGATCTTTTTCAAAAAGGTCGTATGAGGAGCTAAAATTAGTCCATGATAACTCTTCAATATAAAGGCTCTTCATTTCTGCCTCGAAGGTTTTAAGCGCAACCTCCTTTTCTCGTTCCACGATATCTGCGAATTCATATGAAGCTGCCCTCTTCTGGCCATTCTTCACAGCGGTGGAAACGGCATCGCTAAACGATGCAACACCGGACTTGTGAGCTGCGAGCAATTGACCATGGAATAATAACTTTAACCTCGTGTCAATCTTGCCTTCAAGCTCGGTACGCTTCAAAGTATATACGGCTTTGTGATACCTGCTAGCTTGTGTCTCAAAATGCTTGATGGTACTTGTGCGAGCCGTTTTACCCGTAACACCTAAATCAGCAATCACAGTAGGTTTCCCAGATCTGACATCTTCTCCTTGCTTCTCTTCCAGTGGATGAATCTTTGCGTCGAATGAGATCAAAACTTCTCGGGAGATTTCGTCGCAACGAAATTGTGCCAAAAGTTCTTGCTGAGTAGGAAGGTCCAAATCTTTGTTATTCACGATTTGATCCCATACACCCTCCGTGTATACCGCAAATCCGTCTGCAGGAATTCTACGATGATACTCTGGCAAGAAGACACCTCCTTCAAATCCAGCATCTTCAGCCCTTGCAGATTTACGGCCAGCTCTAAATCGTGTACCAAGTTTTTGCACTTCCGTAATGAACTTGTCTGGTTGTAAGATCTTATGTGGTAAAGCTGCGAACGCAAAGTCGAAATAGTCTTCTATCTTTGAATTCTCAAGGCCGGCAGGTTTTGAGAGAGAAGTCCATATAGCGCTTAAATCTTGAATAAGAGTTTCCTTAAGATTCGCAAGTGGGGTGGTTCCAAGATGGTCTCGAATAACAAAGAATAGAAGGGATCGTGGAGTAGACCTGTAGGGTGTTACTAAAATTGTTAATGATCCCTAGAAGAGAAAACCTACTGCTTGTCCTTTAAAAATAGTTGGCAATTAACTTCAAATACAGTTTTGAGTAATCCCATATTTGCGCCCTGATATAAACCTACTTGATGTTCCCATATATTTACAATGAGAACCTCTGAGGTGGCCAGAGCAAAGAGGGCACTTTTTCTTTCAAAGTCTTGATCTTCACCCCGCTCCCTGCCATCTGTTCCCTCAACATCCATAACCAAAATATTGTCTGCCATAGTCTCAGATTCAGAAGCTCCAGAGCTTTGATTCTTATTCTTTGACATCCATATTCCTTTTGTAGTCTGCCGCCTCTCCCTTTCAGACATCACCCCAAATTGTGTGCCAAATAAATGATTAAGGAGGGTAGACTTTCCGGTCGATTGTGACCCAAATACTGATATAAGGTGATAGTTAAAGCCAGAGTGTGCTGTATCGGTATATTGGAGATACTCGTTGAGATTAGGACTATAAAAATTCTGTCAGCCATGGCAGAGCTTCCACACCATCCCATATTTGCGTACTTGAATTCCTTCTGTTCATCAATAACTTGTATGCCATGTTCATATTGTTCTTTTGTCGGCGCATCGCCGACGGAAGCAAAGTTGCCATTCATTGTCATGACTGAAGGAGCTGTAGGAAATCTTGCAGCTGGAGAAGGTCTGTCGCCATGACCATTTATGTTGGAAGTAGCCATATCCATGATTGGCAACCAAGAATGAACAATATTATAGTGACGTTGAATAGTGAAAGAATACCCTTGTTTCTCAAGGGACAATTGGCATCTAATCTATTCAACTCAAGATATTAAGAAAGTTTAGCCGGCGACACGTGATTGATATCGAAATTCAAGAATGAATTAAAAAGAGGCACATCACAAATATTTGAACAGCAAACAAGTATGATATATACAAGTACATAAGGGTTAATACGTGTATTATGCACTCGACCCCTCCATTTTATGCCACCGAAGCCTTTTCTCTTTTCTCATGAATATTTATTTCATCAGATTGGTTGAGAAGTTGGTTACACGTCATTCTGGACAACAGGACAAGAAAGATGCATAATTCAACTGCATGTAATCATATCGTTCGTTGATTTATGTGGAGTTTGACATTCAAAAAAAGGTAGGTATTTTCAGCTATTCTCATCTATTCACATCTGATACTGAGACTTGAGAACATGAGACTTACAAGGCTGAAGGACCTATCCTTCCGTCTGATTCTTTTACTGGTCAAATACATATAGTGTTATACTATGTTACATTTATCATGGATTTCTCCAGATTTTCCCCTCTCTACCCCTTTTTATATACTTTCGCCGTATTTCACCACTACTTTATCTGTACCTTGCCATATCACTGATATCAGCGATCATTGGCATGGCGTTTGGGATTCAAAGATACGGGACTTCAAGCTACGATAGTGCTTGGTGCTTTATTTCTTTTACGTTATGCCCATTAAATTAAGTTCTGGGATCAAAAGTCGCCGGTAAATGACAATCGCCATTGACAAATCCAAAAGTGTAGGTTTCCCCGACATTTAGACGCTATCACCATCGATAAGTTATCATTGATTTCTCCATCTTTCGGTGATCTCACGGTCTGTAAAGCCAGTGTTTGACCCTTTATCAACACTTTTATATACTTCAACTTCCTCAATTGCTAGAGATTCAACTTCTCAGCATTTCTTTTATCCATCCTTGTTTTCTTGCTCATCAACACATACTATCTTAATTTGCTTTTGTTTGGGGTATTTCATTTCTGTCACAATGGCGGCCTCAAGTCAAGATGCTGCGTTGGCAACTATGGGATACACGGCTGAATTGCCTCGTTCCCTAAGTATGATGAGTATTCTGGGCCTGTATGTTGCATCGTCTCGCCCCTGTTAGCCAGTACTAACCAAAGTATTAGATCATTCGCTATTATGGCAGTTCCATTCGGTCTCAGCACGACATTCGCTTACTCCCTGACCGATGGTCAATCTGTGACCGTCTTATATGGCTGGGTCTTCGTATCATTTATATCACTTTCTATCGCCGCATCATTGGCTGAGATTTGTAGTGTGTATCCAACATCTGGAGGCGTATAGTGAGTTAAATCTCAAAGATTTCTTTTCTTTTCAAAAAAATCATCTACGGCTGCACTTGTCAATGCCGAAACTCTCCGAGAATGCCGAGGTGGTCTATGCTAAAGTCCAGAACTGACTTCGAAATGTAGTTACTGGTCTGCTATGCTTAGTACCAGAAAGTATGCTCCTGTTGTTTCCTGGATCACGGGTTGGTTGACTTTGGTGGGCAATTGGACTGTGACTTTGTCCATCAACTTTTCGGTATGTTCTAGCCTTCAGGATGAAAAATGTCCAAAATGCTAATGCTTAGTATCAGGGGGCACAACTAATTCTAAGTTCTATCACGGTCTTTAACGAGGATTTCGTAGCCAATGCATGGCAAACCGTCCTATGTTTCTGGGCCGTTATGGCAATTGCTTTCACAGTAAATGTGTTCGGTGCTAGGTACTTGGATTTGATCAACAAAATTTGTATATACTGGACTTCGGCTTCAGTTATTATCATCATTGTCACTCTTTTAGTAATGGCAGATGATCGTCGAGATGCCGAGTTTGTTTTTACTCATTTCGATGCCTCAGCATCTGGTTGGCCTTCCGGCTGGGCTTGGTTCGTAGGACTTCTTCAAGCCTCCTATACATTGACCGGTTACGGAATGGTCGCTGCCATGTGCGAAGAAGTACAGAACCCTGAACGAGAAGTTCCCAAAGCTATGGTACTATCAGTCTTCGCTGCCGGTGTTACTGGAGTACTGTACCTAGTTCCTCTATTATTCGTACTCCCAGACGTATCTTCAATTCTCGGTCAATTAAACGGCCAACCAATCGGCTACATCTTTAAAACAGTAACCGGTTCCGCAGCCGGTGGGTTCGGACTTCTTTTCCTCATCCTCGGTATTCTCTTTTTCGCCGGTGTTGGCGCTCTCACTGCCGCAAGTCGTTGCACCTATGCCTTTGCACGCGATGGTGCCATCCCCGGTTCTCGTCTCTGGAAGCGCGTGCACCCTCAATATGATATTCCATTATGGGCTCTGGTACTCTCCACCGTCGTGGATTGTATTCTGGGATGCATTTATTTTGGTTCCACGAGTGCTTTCAATGCATTCACCGGTGTGGCGACCATTTGTCTGTCCGTTTCATACGGCATTCCCATTTTGGTTAACCTTATAAGAGGAAGACAGGCAGTAAAACATGCTTCATTCTCCTTGGGCAGGTTTGGTTTTGTTATTAATGCTATTACTGTTGTTGTGAGTACTAAAGAAAGCCCACCTCTTCTGATCGCTTTACTAATTGATGATTCTACAGTGGATTACCCTAGCCATTATCCTTTTCTGCATGCCAACCGCCATTCCTGTCACTCCTGTAAGTATGAATTATGCGAGTGTAGTCTTTGTATTCTTCGCTTCTATAAGTCTCCTTTGGTATTTGATTAGAGGTAGAAAAGAGTTTAGTGGCCCCCCAGTTGTTTCGGCTGAGGAGGCGGAACATAACGGGCAGATTGTGGGTGGTGTGGGGAGAGTTGTCACGGAAGATGGTAGTGCGCAAGCTTCATTTGGAAGTGACATGGAGAAGGCGAACCGGAAGTGAGAGGTTAGATTATGTACGATTATGAGTATGACGTATGGGTATCATGTGGTAATATGGCTTGGATGAACTAAAAATGCAGCGACGTTTATTTAAAATAGAACGGTATTAAATTTCTACAGAGGAACTAAATAATAAAAATTTCATATTGGTGCAGTTAAAAGAGTATATCATACCCGATAAACAAAATATGCTTGGTTTCCATTGTTAGTCCTCCGTGTCGACATTCATCTTCGTTCTTTCTTCTCTTCTCTTGTCTTTTTTCTCTTTCTTTCTTTGGGCTTTTAGATGCTTCTTCGCTTCTTGTCTTGCCTTTCTCTCATCATCTGATGCCTGCTCTGTCTCAGGATCTCCCTCATAAGCTTTCTCAATATCGGTAGGTGTGTTATCCTTAGGACTCGTATCAACAGGCTTGCTGCGGAACAGATTGAAATCTCCCTCGTCCACATCCATTTGGTCAAGAGCTTCAGGCGACTTATTTTCAAAGTTACTTTGTTCATCATCCTCTTCCGCCAGCGCATTCTTCTGCTTCGACTTCTTCCTCTTCTTTTTCTTCGACTTTTTCGATATAACCTCCGTGCTCTCATCAGCATCTTCCAGCTGGAGCAACAAGGCTTTATTGACTAGCTCTTTTCCTTCTTCAGCCTGGTTTTGCGCAAGCAGAGCTTTGTTGATCAATGGTTTATCATCATCTCCTCCATTTGCCCTACTGTGTCTCGTTTTTAATTTCTTTGCTTTTCCCAAGGCAGTTCGACCTTCATCCTCATCACTACTAGCACCCGCCATAGCCCTCTTCGCACTCGCGGCCTTCTCCTCAGCATCTCTCGCTTTACTAGCTCTCAACTCTTTCGAAGGGAGCATTTTGTCGCGAAGTGTTTTCTGACTACGTTCTGCTGCAGGCTTTAAGAATTTCGCAAATGCTGGATCGATATTGAGTGGTTGATTGCCAGCTGACGTAGGGAACCATAAGGCATCCTCAGCGTCAATTTCTTCTTGCGTCTTACGGCGTCTGTCGGTAGGGTATTTTGCTAGGATGTTTTCCGCGATGGCTTCACGTTTTGCGAGGGCCATTTGAATACGGTTCATTTTCGCATTGAATTCCTCCCATGTTTCCTTTTTGGGTGGAGGTTGTTCCGTTTGATCATCTGCGAATTTCACCATGATGTTTTATCCTGTATGACTGTATCGTGCGATTTTTAAACCCTCGTGCGGGGGATCAAATGTGTACTTCGTATTGCGTATTGCATATGTTCGTTCATTCGTTGTAACCAAAATATAATGTTTCTGATTGTAAGGCTTCAACAGGCTAGGCTACTCGGTCGAGTTAGAATAAAAATAAAAATAATTTTTGATAAGCTCAGATTCGAAAAGTTTCAAGGATTCGTTCATCCCACGTGAAATTAGCGACTTTGGTCCCTTACGCTACCCGTATTAGCTTCGCGAATTCCCGTTTGACGGAAGGACAATCACTGAAAAAAAGATCTAGTTACGATAGAAAAGACGGCAATTGTATCTTGCGCTTTAATAGAATATCAACATGTTCAAGTTAGCTAGAAGCCAACCTTTGGCAGCTGCCTTGAAGGCAAGCAGGGTATTTTTTTCACAACCAAATAGTCTCTTATCAACAAAGTTAACATGGTCCAAGGTCTCTATGTCATCCCGCATGGTCGGCGCCGCGCAACAAAAAAGAGCTTTGAGCATACACGAGTATCTTTCAGCGGATTTGTTGAGAAAGGTACGAGTTAGTTATATGCGCGCAGACGAATCTGACGAGAATACAGTATGATATTGGCGTTCCCAATGGAGCTGTTGCAAAATCGGCCGCTGAGGCAGAGGCTATTGCAAAGAAGATTGGTGGGGATGACATGGTTATCAAGGCACAAGTTCTTGCCGGTGGAAGAGGAAAGGGTACTTTTGATAATGGGTTAAAGGGAGGAGTCCGAGTTATCTACTCTCCTACTGAAGCAAAGATGTTCGCAGAGCAAATGATCGGACACAAGCTTGTTACCAAGCAAACTGGTGCCCAAGGACGTATCTGCAACTCCGTCTACATTTGCGAGCGCAAGTTTGCTCGCCGCGAATTCTACCTTGCTATCTTGATGGATCGTGCTTCCCAAGGGCCAGTTATCGTTTCTTCGTCTCAGGGTGGAATGGATATCGAAACTGTTGCCAAGGAGAGCCCAAACGCAATCACAACTACCTACATCGATATCCACAAGGGTGTTACTGATGATATCGCACGAAAGATTGTTACTGATATTGGCTTCAGTGAACAATGTATCGAGGATGCCAAGGACACCGTTCAAAAACTTTACAAGATTTTCATGGAGAAGGATGCTACTCAAATTGAGATCAACCCTCTCTCTGAAACCTCGGATCACAAGGTTCTTGCCATGGATGCCAAACTTGGTTTCGATGACAATGCTGAATTCCGTCAAAAGGATGTCTTTGAATGGCGCGACACTACTCAAGAAGACGCTGAGGAAGTCCGTGCCGCAGAATCTGGTCTTAACTTCATCAAGCTCGGTGGTGACATCGGATGTTTGGTAAATGGTGCTGGTCTTGCTATGGCTACTATGGATATCATTAAGCTTAATGGTGGTGAGCCAGCTAACTTCCTTGATGTTGGAGGTGGAGCTACCCCACAAGCTATCAGGGAGGCTTTCACTCTCATCACCAGCGACCCTAAGGTTACCGCTATCTTCGTTAACATCTTCGGTGGTATCGTTCGTTGTGATGCTATCGCTCAAGGTCTCATCAGCACTGTTGAGAGCATGAACCTCAGAATCCCAATTATTGCAAGATTGCAGGGAACAAACATGGAAGCTGCACATCAGTTGATCAACGATTCCGGTCTTAAGATATTCTCTATTGATGACTTGCAAAGCGCAGCAGAGAAGGCTGTCCAGTTCTCAAAGGTTGTGAAGATGGGTAAGTTTATTCGTAACTTATATCAATGATCATTGCTAACATATTCATCAGCTCGTGATATCGATGTTGGTGTTGAGTTTTCTTTGGGCATTTAAGCGGTTACATAGATAGGTTTTCTCCTTGTTTGTATTGATTCCCACCGTCTTTAGATCAATGGATGACCTCGGCTGAGTTCCCATGTATAATGAATGCATCGAGTTTCATGTCCACATACAATATCTTCTTTATTCACTGTGAAACATTTAGAAATCCTAATAATTAATCATGGATATTGAAACTTCTCCTTGGAGCAATGGGATATTCTATTGCAAGAAACGACGCGAGTGGCTCTCCACGAATAACAGATTTCAGCGTAGCAGATCCAGCGACAAAATCCGGCTTTAAAGCACATCTTTTTACTTCCAAAGAACGTCCAAACCACCACCCATTCATTGCTCATCCGCCTAGGCCTCACCTAATCCAATACACTCCAAATATACCTCCCAATCAACAAGCCCAACTCATACCACAAGCACTTCTCCCTTCTCCCCCGCCCGCAACAATCCCTCCATACTCCTACAATTCCTCACCATAACAACATAAGCCGGGTCCATTACTATCTTCACCTCACCTCTCCCAGTCCCATCCCCATACCCTCCATCCCCCTCCCCATCCCCATTCCCACACCCCGAACCCCGCGCCACAAAAAAGAAAACCACAACCGCAATAACCAAAGCCCGCCACTCAAATTCCCTAATATATCTCCTCAACACAAAATAATAAGGTCGAATCGTCGTAAGTATTTGGAAAATGGCTATAGGGATCGTGGTGAAGAAGTAGAGGAGGGAGTTTGAGAAGTTTTGGAGATTAGAAGGGAGATTGAGGTGGTGGAGGAGGGTGGGGAGGGGGGTGGTGGTTGGGGGGATGGGATGCGGGAATGTGTTGGGGATTGTAGGGGGGCGGGAGAGGTGGAGTTGGGTTGTGTAGAAGGGGGTTGGGTTTTGGTGGGGCTGTTGTTGTGGGTGGGGGTGACGAGGTGGAAGGATGGGGTGTCGGGAAGGAGATGGAAAGGCGGGTTCGAAGGGGCGGGAGGCCCGGTATCCAGTTGTCCAGGAGAGTGAGGTGTATCCGCCTGCGATGGGGGAGTGATTGAAGGGCATTTTGAATTAGAGTCTTATTGTGAGAAGATAGGAGAGGGTTGTAGATATTCGATAAGGGGAATTAGAGCGAAGTGGTTTCTAGTAGATAGTTTAAGAGGACTGAATATCTGTTCAATTTGCATGAGGAACGAATTCGAACGATACTCTCTAATCTTGCCAGTGAAGAAAAAAAAAAAAGGAAAAGCGAATAGATGATGAATAGGGAATAAAACTACTTATAACTACGAAATGAAGCAGGCAGATACTAGAATTTTCTATCTTGGGAGATTTATTTGTCTATTCCGTAGCAGCTAACAGTCGTTGTCTTCATTAGAGAGTAGTATGATTCACGTTTGCTAATTCGCTAAGTAGATAATTTTACAATTCTTTAATTCTTCTTGTGCGGTTCTTGTGTTGTGCTTGTTTCGTCTTAGGTGGTGAAGTTTCTAGACGTTATTATTGTTCTCGCTTAGATTTTTGGGGATCTGGCTAAGAGTTCTCTTGTTGAGGCTGCGGGTGATGTCTTTTAGGGTGTGTTTGAAGTGGAGGATGGAAGTTAATAGTGCGGGGGAGGTTCTGTGAATGCCTGGTGAGTTTCTGGTTTGAATCTGGAAAAGAATGGTTTGGACGGGATAATGTCGCATGGAGATATTGAGTGGAAATGATGAGAATATCTGGAAGTGAAAAGAAGTAATTCTGAATCATGCTTCAGAGGTGGTGAGTTTGTCTGAGGGTTTACATAGATGTTTAAACAGCTAGTAAAGTTTTGATTGGCGTATTGTGCTGCTGTTTGTATAGGAGAGCATAATGATTGTGTTGAATCATGGAGGGTCATGTGTCGAAGGGAGAGTTTGCTTGCTGTAAATTGATTGATAGGTTGTCGTGGTAAGACATTTTCTTTTTCATGATACTAGATAGGTATTAGGGTATGTGCGCTAAGGAGGAAGTATAGGAGGAAGAGCTTTCTAGTGGGTGCTTATGTAGCGCAGCAGATTTAGGTGAGGTAATAACATTATGTGTGGCTAGAAGTAGGTAATACTAGACCTCAATGGTAACCACTAGTAACAACGATCACAGTCCGTATCCAGTATTTACAGGAAAGAGGTCTAGTCATATCTGTGTATTTTGACCACGTCTAGCAATTAAAAGTAAGGCCTAAGACACTCCAAGGTGGCTTTGCCGAGCGCTAGTATGAAGAGATTCCCACGAGCAAAAATAGAAGCTAGCAGATATACACTAGTCTCAGGATGCTGATGAAGATGGGGAAGGTTTGGAGGATGATCAGGTGCGAGGAAGGAGATAAATACATAGCTGAGGCGAAAGCCGGGAGCATTTACTTGCCATGGGAAATTCCCAGGGAAGACATGATATATAGATCAATGGGATCAGTGACAGATGGGACGGAAAGAAAATTCAAATTTCCATCAAATTGAGCTCGATGCACAACTCAACAACCGCTATATTGTCCCACAATCTTTTAATATCAGCTCCAGCCTCTCGAGTCGAATTACATCGTAGCAACCAACACTTGTGGCTGAAATTACTGCAAGCATAAAGGGCTCTAAAGATTTCTGCTTGGTAAATATGCCTTCCAGCAGGAGCAAGAGTGTACTTCAAAACTGCCAAGCCATCTAGTTTACAGACCAGGCATGCGCTCGTTAATGGAGCAATAACGACTTTACCCCTTGAGCATATTAGCAGTGGTATACTTGTACTTCAATATTGTTATAACACTCATTTAATTGGACTGTAATCATAATTCATTACTGCAGTATAAGATCATCACCCTTCCTTCTCTTGCTACTTTACTAGATCATCTTCTCGCCCCTCCTCAAAGTCATCCTTCCCTTTTCAAATCACAATACAAATTTACATTCGGATGACTTAAAACATCAAACACAACATTCAGGCTCGATGTACGTAGTTGAACCTTGATATCGAACTCCAGAGCATGCTGGTATTCCTTCCAAGCGTTTCAAATAGCTCATCTACTTTGTTGAGGGAGTCGGACTTGTTCCTATTGCATTACAATCAAAGTGATTAAGATCCCAGAACACCATCAGGGAGGCAACCCGAATATCTGCCTACTACATCTACATATACACCATATATTACGTAAATTTTACGAACATTTAGGGCATACATGTCCCGGGACTTTGATGACCGAGCTTCCAAGATGCACATCCGTCTTCTCCTGCTTCTCGTGTTTTGGGGTTGCAGTGCAGTCCTGGTATGTTCATTTGGTGATGCGTTGTTCGCAAGCATATTCCATGGCGCCCCTCTACTTGTAGATATTGATTTCAGAGGATCAGGAGAAGTAGATGGATGGTGGATGACGGTCCATTTGCAGATTCATGAGACTTGTAAATGGTGGTGTTTTCATTAAGCTCTTATCTTCCTACCCAGGAGGAAACGAAGACATTTATCTATTCCATTTAATAGACCATGATTCTGCTGTCATTAGTCAATTTCTTTTTTGGCTGTCAGAGACAAACATAAAAATGACTGAGAGAGAGCATGGTTTGTTGAAGAGATCAATTACAGCCATGCTAAATGCGCAATAGTAAGCAGGTTTGTAATTTAGAAATACTTATTTCAAGGGTAGTAACAACTACATCTCATTTTGAATCAAAAACTACCGAGACTTCGGCCAAACAAACGCCAAAAACGACTAAAGCATGTACCGTTTCCGGAGCTTTCAGTCATCATTCCCGCAATTGCCACAAAGAAGATACAAGTTCAGCATCTAAAAGATTGAGCTGATCCCAAGATTATCCAAGTCACTCGAATGAAGATCTTAACATTACTAGAATCCTTGAAAAGCAACATGGTCTTGTTCGTGAAACATTGCACCCAGTTGTTCTCCTTTGCCTTGCATCGCGGTGAATGTGAATTAGCACATGCTTCTTCTCTCCATGATAAGCGAGATCTATATTGCAAATACAGTACAGGATAGGAAGAAACGCGGATTGGTTCAATAAGAGTGAAGCCCGTTGAAAAAGAAACGAAAGCTACTTATAACTTCATAGGAGCTAGAGTTTCTCTACTGCAACTACCCTCTGCTTTTAAGCGCGCATCGATCTTCCGGTGCTGCAGTTGACGTATCTAGCACCTACTAAAACAGGCCGAAATGGCGTTGAATATTAACAGGAAGCGGAAGTGGGCTTCGCCCGTCATATGAAGGAAGATCTTGAACATATTACGGCTGGAGAAGGACAACCAGACGTGCTGGAACTGCTAGGTGCCATTTCCTTTGCGAAATTCGGAGGAAGGGAGGAGAAATAAGGGAACTTCACGGATGGGGTAGTTCTGTTTGATGGAGGGATGCGATGCTGATAAATAACAGCATGAGATTGTAAAAGGTTGACGGTAAACATGTAAGTTGTTGACGTTTATACAAGCACGTGATAATCTATTTTGCCTTAATGTAACTTCCCATCCGGTTGTTTAGACAAAACTTTATGCCAGTTGTTAGGTTAGCTACTCTGAACTTAACCACAGTATCCATTTCTACATTCGGTTACATACGGAAATCAACGACTTATCGTCTAATAATTCCCCTTTTATTACACTCATCGATTTAGCTACATGAAATCAATCATCTCGAGTTCTGGAAATAAATTATGCCAGCTATAAATAGCCTAGGCTATTCCCATCTATTACTTCAAATATGGAAAAATTTGAATGACACCGATTGATAACATGGCTGCATCATGTGAGATATCTTGCGAATACTAAATGGGGATTCGGAGCTCGAAGTTGTAAGTTCTCTATTGTATTTCATCATTCCCTGTACCATTTCTTATGTTGTTCCATTAATCACCTCCAATTTGCTTGATGATCATCCTCCAGTGCGATGAGTTGATATGTCATATTCGGAGTAGGGCCGGGTTAATCATGAATCACCGAAGTGTAAAATGGATATCGGAACAAGTGTCTCTCCAATATATTTCAACTCAACCCGTATAGTAGCTGCATGAGAATACCGCTGGAGCATGGTGGACTATGCCAACAGTGGGGGCGGGGCATATGATTCAGTTTTCAAATCCGTCAACTACTTCTTTAAATTCCCACTATCCCTCCGGGCCCCAACATCACCGCCAAACAAGAATAGCAAAAGCTAATGCTAAAATGTCCCTCCAATACTCCATTCAACGTATCCCCACCCACTCCCACTCCCATTCCACAGACCCCACCCTCCTCCTCTTCCTCGCCGGCAAATTTTCCGCCCTCCGTCTCTCCGCTCTCCTCGAATCCCCTGAATCCTTCGCCTCCACCTTCGAGAAGGAATACCAATTCAGCTCCTCCACCTGGCTAACACGTCTCTCACGTCCTAAATTCCACTACTTCATCGCGACCGCCCATTCCCACTCCCCATCCACGCCACTTTCATCCCAAACCCTCGAAACTGGTGTTTTCGTCGGCAGCGTGCAACTCTTCGGACCCCATCCCTCATCATTTTTCACTCTCCCATTAAGTGGAGCTCCACCCCCTCTACCCGATACCGAGGAATCCAAATATCAAATGACGGCGCTATACAGCTCGCCCTCACATCGCGGGAAAGGCCTCGCTAAAATGTTAATTCAGGAGGGAGTAGAGACAGCGAAGCAAGAAGCGAAGGAAAAGGGGATAGAAAAAGTGAGGGTACGAATTTTTATTGGTCGAGGGAATTTGACGGTGAGGAAGTTGTATCTCAGTGTTGGGTTTGTGGAGACGGGTTTATGTACGTTGGCTGAGGCGGTAGTGCAAAATGGTGATGCGGAAATTTTACCAGAGGATGGTGGATCTGGAGATCCCGAGAAGTGGTTGAAGAGGGTGGCGTTGGTTATGGAGTGGTTTGGGTAGAATTTATCATGATGGTCATGTATGATATGTTCATAAATACTCTCTAGATGTAAATTAGTATTCACAAGGTATCTCTCCTCGTTAGTCCTCTATTTTACCTCCACGCAAAAGAATCCTGCCCAGATCACATCTCTGAACGGTACCCACAATCCTCTATACTGGATGGTTAAATGCTATGCCCATTCAATTATATTAACAGCACAATTTACTATCCCTCTGATAACTTTGTCTGGCGATATCTCTGCGCCTCGTGTACAAACCCGGAAACAACAAATACAACCACCCCATCACAACCACGCAGAAAGCAAACACAAAGACAGAAAACTCTGCTTTCTCTGACCACCAAACACTCGCCAAAACAAACCCATTAATCAAGATCCCCCCCATCAGCTACACAACCTATAACTGCATACCCAGTAACATCACAAAAAAACATAAACACACTAACACCATATAACCCCATATCCACACCCACATCCATACACAATAAACCCTAACCTACCACCATATACCACCCAACCACATGGCACCATCATCCACAACAACAGTCCCAAAATCCAAACCCTCCTATTTGCACATAATAAAATATAGAATCAATTCATTCTCAAATTTAAGAACTACTATAACCAATTCCCTGCTCGAACTTCCTTCGAATAATAATCTCAAATATATGATATCCTGGCTGTCTTGTTTTCTGATATACGTACCTAGTAGGTATGCAATCATTATAAGAGCGAGGAGATACTGTCTACTATAATACTGTACTTTAATTGCCTAGCTATTGGGTATGTATGTAAATTAATCAATCTGCGGCTTTACTCCCAGGGCACATTCCTTTTGATGTGTGTAATGCATTTTTTGATCATTGCTCTTTGCTCTGTAAGTTATATACTTTTACATTGAAGATTGTCTTGTCTCACTCAAATCTCAAATCTAACTTTCTAAACTGATAATATCGATATCGAGAATCATGATTTCGCAGAGCTTTCATTCTATGTTCTACGTAGGCCCATTAATCCCTAGTGACCGGAGCGGATCTACTCTATAGTATTTTCATAAAACATGTTATTTCTCTATTCAATCCATGTCAAAATGTATCAACGCCAATTTATCTATTCTACCAGTGAAATTGTTGTTGACTACCAGTGTTTCCTTCCCTCATCTTGAACTACACTGTATAAACATCTATGTTGAGCCATCTCGATCCATATTCAAAACTCTCCATCTTAGGATAGCAAACGTAGCTTTTTCTTAAATCTCCATCTTATACCTGCCCAAAATATTTCAATTCGAATCGGCAGCATCATCGATGTCTACATCGCTCTGTTGCGCGTCGTTCTCTTCATCTAATGTAGTAACACTCTTGTTATTGCTCCCTCTCTTCAACATCATCAAACCATGCTCGTCACTCTCCGTCACACTATTCTTTCTGGTGCTTTCCCTCCTTTGCTTTCTACTGACCAAACCGGGAAAGATCCTTGGTTCACTGCCTGATAGATGTAGATCACTAAAGCTCGCTTCCAATCCCCAGGACTTTTCGCGTCCTTTATTGGCTGAATGTGGTGAGTTGAACGATGAGTTGGGTTGTGTTTGTTGATTTGGAGTAGCGTAACCAGATGGACTATCTGTGCCTTTTTGGTGGTGCTTTAAATGAGAATCTACGTGCAGCTGAGAATGGGATAGTGGGATGCGGGCAGCCTGAGCAGGGTGATGCTGATATTGTTGCGGACCATGATCTACCACGCTAGCAGAAGCTTTCATGGATGATGTTGGCGAATGTGGCCGTGGTCCTGGAAAGAAGGAATTACCTTCTGCTGGAGCTGATGTTTGGATTGCTGGAGTTGACAAAGCAGTGTAACGTTCAATCCTGTTATTGTTAGCACTGCATTCATTCCAAAAGGAAGCAAAATCATGACTTACATGGATAATTCTTGCATCAAAGTTTCATGTCGGAAGCCTTCCCTGATATTTGGGACATTGCTCTTTGCCATCGTGTTACCCTTAACTCCAGGTAGGTCATAGTCTGGACCCAACCATCTTTGCTTGACAGAATGCTCAAACCCACTTTGTTTGACCGAATTCTTTGCCAATTCACACATATCTACTGCGCTAAGCTTATAAATTTGTGCAGCGACAGAGTATTCCTCGATGAGGGGTTCTTTTGTGAAGGCGAATTGAAGAGGATCGTCAGTGGAGAGAGAGACATTAAGACCTCGTTTGAAATAAGAAAGAAAAGGATTTCTTTCATATGCTAAGAACAGTGCATTATTACTCAAAGGGGACATTGCCACTCCAATCTGCTCGAGATAGAAGATGTATTGCAGCAAAGGTACTTTGCGGAGCAACAAACCATGACTGATGCTGTGACAGCAAAGAACCGCGGCAGCCAGATGATCAGTGTCACCGGCTTCTCCACAATGAGGTCGCAGTAAGAATGTGTTGAAGCCACGTTGTTTGCGCCACACATTCAAGGAAGAAATATTGGCAAAAAGGTAGTAGATCCAATAGCTGTAGGGTGGATTTTGCTTAGAGTCCCATACTTTCGGAACAGGAAACTTTCTAAACAATCTCCTTTCAGCTTTACTCTCATCATCCACACTGTCGAATCCAATAACCCGTTGAAGGAAGATGTGAAGCTTCGGGTGACTGGATGGATCTTTCGTGACCTCAAACAGCGGTTGAAAGAGATTAATGATAACTTGTTCAAAGTTCTCCATCAAACCACTAGATTTATAAACGTCGAACAGCCGTGGAACCTGAATCAGCCATCGAACATTGTGTGAGAATAGTTTGTTGTCAACAACCCATGCTGCCAGCTTATCCCATTCATCGATGGTTCTTCCGTAGATCGAGATGCGCCATTCAACCATTTGATATTTGCTTGATTCAAGATCTGAAATGACCTCTTTAGTGATTTCTGCAAGATATCTTCCATTGATGAAATTGTCTGTTTTCAAGAAAATCGTTCTCAATCGAGACTCCCCAACAGGATTATATTTCAGATTGAATTTGTCGAATCGGTGAAAAGAATCGGTATGCGCCTTTAGTTAAGGGTCAGGAAAGTCTAACAGAAAATCTAGGAATGTATAAACTTACGTGCATATCGAGAGTATCAATACTTAAATCATAAGCTGTCAAGTTGATACTTTGAAAAACCTCAGCTAGTGTGAGATGCTTACCATCCCTGAACATGACAATCTCATCAGGATTCTTCTTCATTTTACTCTTGATGAAACGGAGTAAATGCTTCTGGTTCATACAAGCAGAGTGATGAACGTGGGTATCAACCTTTCTAACATTGTAGAAATCCCTATGCGGTACACGTTTACTGTCCGCCATTTCTTGGTACTCATTGAGAAGGACGTAAAGGTTGAATTTGCCCTCCAAATACTGCAAACGACGAAAGGCAAAACTCTTACTTGGACCATCAGACGAGACATTGAGGATTTGTTCTAAATCCATGTAAAATTCTCTGATATCAGGAATGTTGATTACTGGAGTATCAAGTTCTTGAAGCTTTGAGTTCTCATAAACTTGGAACACTCCACTACCATCAAGTCGGAAGGTCATCTCCCCTGGCGGAGGAAGAGGGAGGAGATCTTCCATTTCGAAATCAGAACCGATATCTTGTCCAGGTTTTCGCCTACGGAGCGGAGTTTTTGGGGCACTAGTAGCTTGAGAAATTGACAATTCTGAGGCTGCACCACTGAGAGTTCGCTGGTGGCTATGAGCATCAGTCTGAGGTGGCAATACCATGCTATTAGCCAAGCTGTTTGCTGTACTATTTCTTGCATTTGTTGCTGCCTCTTTCGCTCTCTCATCGTGCCATGATGGCTGAGGTGGCGGTGGGTAAATATTCCAATTCGGGTCGTCTTTAGGATTATCACCGTCTTCTTGTAACGACAGGCGAATGTACTTATGTCTAATATCGATTACCTTTTGGATATTAGTGTAGATGGATGCGAGCTCGGCAGTTATGTGGGCGTCAGTGTTTGCAAAACCACCGGCACCAGAACCAAGGCCAACACCGGCACCTGCACCATGCAATCCTTCCATTTCTAACAACGGTTTATGTTCATGTGGAAGCCCTGGATGAGCTGTATGATCTCTAGCTTCCTTGTCTGCCCTAAGTAAAGATTCTCGTCTATCATGCGCCCCAGGAGTATGAACAAAGGCACCCGCAGCGAGACTCGGTTCTTGAATCACAGCGCTTTCTGGATGCTTCCCAAGATCTGCAAGACCAATAGGAGGAGCACTTCTGAATTTATTGAGCTGTGGAAGATTCTGTGCGCTTTTCCCCGAAGCTTGACTTCCAGATCTATGCAACCCTCCTTGCTCAGAGTCTAAAACGTTAGAGAATGATTTAGGCTTCAAAACAGGGCTAGGAACTGCAGACTTCTGAGAATTACCCCAATTGCTGCCGCTACCAGTTTTATGACCTTCCAACTGACTGCGTTGAAAGAATAACTTCGAATCTGCCTGGCTCATCTCCTTCTCCGCGAGATAATCAAAGTATGCCGTTTTCTTTTGCTTGTCTCGAGCTAACATTCCACTTTGGGACAAAGATGTCTCGAGGCCGGGTGTGTCGTCCGACAGAAGAGCTGCTTCTGGAAGCATATCACTTGGTTCGTCCACCGAGCCATCCAAGGCACCTTCATACCCCGCCTCCTCTACATCATCATCATCGTCATCATAATTTCTTTCCGGCATATTGAAAAAAGCTAATTTGGAAGAAACCCTTGGGGAGGAGGGTAGTTTGAAAGTGTTTTGTTCTGATGATGAATCTGAATATGATATGTGTTAGCCCCTCATGTTTTGTGTACCCCTGCTTGCAACGCGGGGTTCAACTTGGAGCTATAGCACCAAAATCTTGGTCCTTACCAGGCATATCTTTTTCTTCTTTGTACTCTATAGTGAAGAAAGGATTATGAACCTAATAGTCTGGCAAATAATCCCAATAGCACGACTAAAGATGGTTTGTTAAAGATTAGGAGTAACAGCAAACAAGTAGCAAATCTTCGAATTGACTGTAAAAAGTTGGTTGTTTAACCTTAACCTTATCCTCTTACTTTGCGTTCCTGGGGCTCGAATCCTTGTTCAAGCGGCGGCCGTATCGGAGGCTTAAATTCCGACCAATCAAAATTATACTAAGCTTCTTGGCGCTGCCATAATTTCCAATTTAGTTCCTCCCTTCACGAATGCGAACGCGCTTTCCCCAAAGATTTTTATTTGCAGGGCAGTGACAACAGCTTAAAGGGACCGTGCCATTCGCAAGGTAGTTTCCCCCCCAATTGTTTTTGATCTTGATCGAATTTGTCAACCTCAACACTTTAGCACACAATTTGACCACAAACAATAATCGACAACTCGTCTTACCCCAAATTTCTATAAGGATGTCCGCCCAAACAGGATCTACCAATGTTTCCGCCGATAAAGGCAAAGGCAAAAGCGTCGCCGAGCCTCAAGATGTAACTATGGGTGAAGGCGAAGATAGCTCCAGTGAGGATGATGTAAGTTTATGATTGAATGCGCTTTAAATTATATCATACTGACAATGCTTCTTTAGGATGCTCAACCACCAGGTAAGATCTCAAGGACTAAAAACAGCTGCTCGTGAGCATTATTTAACGACATACATAGCTGAAGAAGTCGAAGAGGAAGCGTCGGACAACGAAATCGATAAGAGCAATATTATTCAAGGTCGCCGTACTCGTGGCAAGAAAATCGACTTCGCCGCAGCTGCTAAGGACCTTCCAGCCGAAGATGACGAAGACGAGGACGATGACTTCCAATCAGAAGGAGAGGATGATGACGAGATGGGAGGAAATTAAGGGAGAAGAGTGGTTGTAGTTTGGTAGATTGATGGGATCTTACCTAGGTATTCAATCGACAACTGGTCAACTCTGTTCAACCTCGCCGAAATTCAATACCTTCTACATCGCGTCTTTCAGTTTATTCAGCAAAAACAAAAAGAAAAAAAAAAATCTTCTCATACATTACGATTCTAGGCATATGATATGAACGATTGACTTGGGTCATCAGGGGAATTGGGGGAGAGGCTTTTCTGCACAAGCATTGTGTACATTTAGATACCAGACAAAAGGGGCGTCCATTGCAAATTGCACTTTGCATCCATCCAAATCTTCAAATGGAATCAACTTTCTTATGTGAAAAGTAAACAAAAACAAACAATATCCACCATCAGCCTTCTCCCATTTTTTTCTGCACAGACTGGAAATCGATCATGATAAAGATAAAGAAAGCCCAGGATCACAAATTAAAGAACTAGGATCAAGCCAAATTTTCCCAAACCTCAAACCTCCTTCTCCATACTATCTCCATACAAGCTCCTACAATAATTCCAGACCTCCATTCTTCCATTTTTGTTGTACTTCGAAACACCAAATATTGAATCTCGTAATGCAACGTGTATGACCTATGTAAATAAATACAATCCAACGTCCGTTGACAAGCGAACACATATCCCGATTGTATCAAAGACATTGGATTTCATTTCTTCTCCACAAGTTAGATATTTATTGTATTTTATTTGCAGGATAGGATCATTATGGCGAATAGGTATGTATGATTTATTTACTTATTTATTACTTTATGTACGTTTTGGTTGTTTGCGCATTCGCGGAGAGGAATTGCTGAGCCTGAATATGCGATTGTATATTCCCAGCGCATACCCATCTGCAAGCTTTTCCTCTATATTTCAAGGATACGATATCGCCATTTCAGTTTTACAGATTTGAAATGAATCTAAATTGACTTATATCTAATATTAGATTCGGCGCATCCTCCCTTCATCAACGCGATCCGCGCAGTGCGCTTTTTGAAAATTATAATGGTGGTGCGGGTTTGAGGGATGGGAATAGAAATGGGAGTGCGAATTCGAGTCCGGCGCCGAGGAGGTATGGGTATACTGGGGGTGGTGTAGGAGGATATTCCGGGGGAGGAGGAGGTTATGATGGGGGTTATGGGGAGAGGGAAGATAGAAGCGGAAGTGCCGGGGGTTTTAGGTCGGCAACCCCGAATAGTAGGTATGTTGTGGATGCGCTTTGTTTTTTTTTCTGGATGTGGGAAGTGTAGGAGGAGAGGGAGGGGGAGGGAGGGAAGAGAAAGGAGTCCAGGAGTCCATATAGATGTGATGGATGCAAGTGCGTCTTGAAGTCGTGGAGACTATGCGATCCGTCTGTCGCTTGCGCATACATATGCTAACATATAATCATTAGAGGCCAATACAGCGATGCGGTCCTCAACGAACTGGAGAGTCAGAATAATGATCAAGTAGAGGGAATAATGGGAAAAGTCCGACAATTAAAAAGTGTACGTTTTCCACATCCACTCTCTGCGCATTTTCCTCCCCCTTTCCCTTTCCTTTTCCCTTTCACCTCTCCCTCTCCATTACCCATCCCCTTCCCTTCCCTTTCCCTACCACCCCCCTAACATCCCATCAGATGACCATAGCCATCGGCGACGAAATCCGCGAATCCTCGGCGCTGGCCGAAAAAATGAACGATAATTTCGAAGGAGCACGTGTTCGTATTCGAGGAACTATGAATCGAATGTTGATTATGAGTCAGAAGACGGGGGTTAGTTGGAAAATTTGGTTGTTGTTTTTTGCGGCGGTTTTTGGTTTGTTTTTTTGGGTTTGGGCTTTTTGATGGCGGGAATGGATGCGGGGATGGGAGAGACGGGAAGGAGGAGACGCTGAAAGGAAGGAGAGAGAAGAAGTGGGGGGGAGGGGGAGTTGTATACATATTAATTCCTTCCATAATGCACGCGCTCGCAAAGTCGCGAGCAGCGAGCAGAAAGCAAAAAGCAAAGCTACGAAGAAAATTAAAAAGCAAGGAACCTCAGCAACCGAACGAAAGAAAAAAAGAAAAGAACCAAGGAGCAAAATCCATCACAACGCACCTATACCTAACAAGATGATATCCCCTCTCAACCTCCAAATTCAAGCCTAAATCCAGGTCTAGGTAGATCGGCTCTTCAAGGAAGAATAGGATGCGATAATACGATACGATGCAATATGGTACGATACGATACGATACGATGGCATGGCATGGCTGGCGTTAATTAATGGAGATGGGATCATCTGGGGTTGGTTTGTTTTGGTTTGGGTTGCGTTGCGTGGTGTGTATCTTAATGATCGGAGCATAGCAATCATTGCAGTCATGGCATAGTATAGCGTAGTATAGTATAGCATAGCATAACATAGTATGTTTATTGTTGATTCCACCAGTTTGTCAATTTGTTACTCAGATAACTGAATTGCTCAGACAATTGAATAAGAACTGTGCAAATATATTTGGGTATTAAACAAAAGAAAGAAAGATAATTGCTCCGTCTACAATTTCACATCCTGATGAAACACTAACATCCTCAATTCAACATGAATTTGCTTCATCCCTGAGCACTCAACACTCAGCGAATGATGTTTCTCGCCGTTCGTTGATTTGGATCCTCCACCAAAATTATGATCACAATCATGAATAAACCATGACAACTATCATCTTGCTCCTCGAGGACTACTATATAACACACTACTATCGTGTGATATTAGATTAGAAAGATCCATCGAGTTTTGTGTACCATCACTCCTAACCATACTTGCACCGTGACCTCCATGATTTCCATGCGGAAGACCTTGATCTTCACTTTCCTCCTCGCTGCTATCTAATTCATCTTCTGTATCTGTGTGTTCGTATCCTTCATCGGCTTCAGGAATATCGTCGTCAAGATCTACTTCCATGTCTCCATCTTGATTATCATCTTCATGTTCATGAACTAGATCTTCTTCCTGTAGCATTTGTGATTGATCTTCATCAGCAATTGTAGAAGCGCCATCATCTTCTAACATTGAACCTCTGGGATGTCCAAGACGTGAAATTGCTTCCCTGTATGCGTCATCTGTCATTCGAGAAGGTAGGAGTGCTCCGGGAATGTCCTCGGAATCATCTTCCTCTTCATCTTCCTCTTCCTCGCTGACATCATCCGAGTCACTTTGTCCCATTCCACTTTCATCCGCATCAGGTATCTCATCGTCAAGATCCACCATACTTTCCATCTCACCTTCCATCTCATCAACTGGTATCATTGCCTCAGTCTCAGCCTCTTCTGCTTCAGCAAGTTCTTGTGCCAATTGTTCTCTCCTCAGAGCTTCTTGATGTTCTTCCATTTCCCTTTTCTCTTCCCTCAATTGATGTAAAGACTTTGATACTCCTGGCGGTTTAATCCAAGAACTTCCCCAATTCTGTACATTTTGTTTTCTCCTCTCAATATACTCTTCATCCAAACGCAGTCGTGCAAGAGGAGTTCGATTACTTGCATGTTGACGACGCAGGCCATGATTTTGGTTTGACGTAACGTGCGGAGCGGAATGATCAAACGAATTGTTTGCGGGTTCAACGTGCTGTGGAATATTACTATGAGATGACGTGTACCAGAGGTTGTAAGACTGTAAGATGTGAATTAGCTATAGGTTTCATGTAAATAAAGCAGGTGGGACAATGTACGCACGTCTGTCGGTGCAAGGTTTGGAAGTGAAAACATTTTTCTGATGACTCCGTGTTTGAGATGAGTTCCAGTGATGATGGTTTGTTTCTTGTAGGTAATTTGTACTTTGAAGGTAGAATAGTGGTTGTACATGAATTGTTGTATTAAACATTGCCCAGAGCCTTCTTTCCTTTGAACCAGGCCGAGCTAAGCACACTAGCATAGTCAGCCTTGCGGGACGGCTGCGAGAGGCTTCAGCCTCGTCTGTATGAAGTCAATAAAATCCATGATTAAGTCGATAAAGTCAATGCTCTCTTCTAATAATCCATCAAAAGGAAGAAATATGGTTATGCTTCATTGCTTGATGTATCTTTATAGAAATATGGACTTCATGAATTACTATTATGTTATCTCCCAGTGATTTTTCAAGGATTCATGTTCACCTAGCATTGCATTCCACGAGCACACAGCAAATCTTATTCATCTTCTCGAAACTTTCTGATCAAGTGCACAAATGCACCAAGTCCCCATGCTACAGCATTTTATCCCAGATCACCCTGAGAGGTGCTAAATTATCATTGTGATGCTGTTTCGTTTTGCAGGACCCTGGTAGCCCCCTGTTCTCATGAAGTAATGATACTAATGAAGAAATTCCCCATGTTCATCATATTCTAGCCTCATCTTGAGTCCCCGGTCTCTCCCGAAATTCGACGGAAAGCACCAACGTAACCAGCAAATTGTCATCCTATTGACCGCCATCTTCTTTGATGATGTGATTACCTGATGGAAGGAAAAGTTTTCTCGTTTTAAATGAAATTGATTATTTTTCGAATTCTGCCAGCCAACAACGCATCGGATCCGGGAAATTCTCTCCCGTGGCCTCTCTCCTGTCTTCTTTTGTGAAATTCACACATGCCACAAGCACTCGCATGAAGAAAACGTCAGATTTGCTTGTCTACGACTCTGCATGCAATTTGAAGGTGGGATAATTTCACAGCTGTATGAACAAGGGACTCGGAGACATAACCCCTCACCCACTCAATCTCAATGGTAATCTGCCTATCTGAAGCTCTCTATTGGTCGGGCCACTAAATGTTCATGTTCCTGTGTGTAATTTTTTTTGGCACCGCGGGGACCCTTGGCGCTTCAACCAATGGGAGAGAAATCAAAGATCGATACTGTGTGTGCTGTGTGCACCCAAGTCGTTTCCAATATTGATCCCAAATCTCACGTTGAAATGTTGTCCATCCATGGATCTCTAGGGTATTCCCGGTAGAATTGTTTCCTTGGAACATTTCTGAATTACACTTTTAACCAATGATGCGTCTCACATCTCACATGCTAATAAGGTTACTCAGAAAGACTTTCACATATCAACTGAAACTTCACTGGAAGCGACATCGGCAGAAATCTTGAGGGAGCGGTTGCTCTCGGCGAGATATCTTATTCGTCCAAAGTAAAACTGGTCAGTTCTTACTATGCAAGTATCCCTGACCCTGTACACTCATGCAGTGTGGGGGAAATAAACGTATCGCTTGTTGAATCCATAGAAGTGGGAGAAATGGTCAGCATGGGTCAACAGCTCCAAAATTTCCAAAACAAGCCTTAACTTTTTATATGGTGATGGCATGTACTTTGTGAGCTACTGGATTGGAAAACATATTTGTATATACTTTGGAAAAGACGTATGAGTTGGATACCTCAAATAATGTACTGAGGTACTACGGCAGGTAAATCTTGGGGGAAATGAATGAGAGAATTAGTTTAGTCTAGGTTACATGAATACTACCACCCTCACATTGAGAAGAACTTCGTGGAGTACCTACCTAGTACCTACCGTCCGTAGACTACCTAGGTAATAAAACTCTCCCGAGTGGCACATACCTTTCCTGACCTACTTAGTCCAGTACCGGTACCTAGGTTCTGCTCCCAATAAGTCTGAAGAAGTGTTAATAAGTGAATCAATCCATGATGAGGCGAAGAAAATAAAATTGAAAGCTTCCGCGTAGTATTGGACAATTTTGGGCAATTTTGGACGGCCGACTCCGATTCACGCTGCATATTCATTCTCCACCTCTCTCTTGCTCTCGGAGCATCCATCTTCTTACAATAAAAGCCTTCCTCCCCCTTGAACTCTCCTTGATTCGACCTACCAACTCTTGTCAGAAAAAAAACCCCATATTGTATCTTCTTCGTGCAGCTGTCATTGTGGCAAAAATACATATTCAAATCTTCTGAAACGACAATCTTTGAAGCAATAATCTCATGTATGTGGAATTTCTCTTTCATACCATTACCCCTCCTCTTATCTGGAACCTTTCCCCGCTAGTCCTATATATTGGATGTCGATGCAAACCCACAATCAGTAATACTTTGAATATTACCAAAATAACTAGAAGTGGCGATTGAATTCGATTGATTCTGCCCAAAAACGTCAAACCTGCAACGAAAAAATTGTATTTTTACCAAAGAAACACAATTATATGTTACTCGAGGACCAGATTAACAAAAAGTCTTTACCGCAAGAAAGAGGTCACATACGTTGGATACCTATCTTCTACGCTAAGTCAATCAAGTGTTAGACTTCACCCGGACTTTTACTCCGCATCAACGTCAACAAGCTTTCACATAAAAACCACACGCAGCTCTTTGTTCTTCCAACTACCAACTTACCATACTTTTGAGCTAATTTCCTCATTCGAAATTTTAGAAAAAGTTGCTTTTCAAGAATTCAAGAATCCTTGTTACTCTTCATACCTCGATCAATCAAGAAAGAAAGAGCTGCGCTCTCAAAATCACAACAAAATCGATCCTATAATCGCCGGCTGCCTTGCCTACGATGGGCATGGGAAGGGCGGAAGATTTTAACGACAGACAAATCGAGATTGATGCCAAAAACGAGCCTTACAATCAATATCAATATGAGGCCGAGGGAAATGATTCATGGGCAGGAGCACTTCCGGTAAAGCAGTAAGTGCCACCGTTTGTGAGAGTCTGCTATCGAACCTGACTGATCATGAAATAGGGGTTTATATGATCCTAGCTTGGAGAAGGATGCCTGTGGTGTGGGTTTTGCTTGGTGAGAATCTTGAACCCGCACACTGGGGACACATCTAATCTCAAATATAGTAACATCAAAGGCAAACCCAGCCACAAAATCGTCAGCGATGGTAGGCCCCTTATTCTACATTTTAAGTACCCATTAGCTAACATTTTTACCCTCAGCACGAAACTTGCTTTGTAACATGACCCATCGAGGTGCTGTGGGTTCCGATGCGAGAGATGGAGATGGAGCTGGTGTGATGACATCTATTCCTCATAAATTCTTTATCAAAAACTTCGAGCGCGAGACGGATATCAAGCTTCCACCGTTGGGTCAATATGCTGTGGGAAATCTCTTCTTCAAGCCAGATGAGGAAACTTTACAAGAATCAAAGAAACAATTGGAAGAGATCTCAGAGTCACTGGGATTAAGAGTACTGGGGTGGCGAGAGCCTCCTAAAGATTCTACTCTTCTTGGTCCTGCTGCTGCATCTCGTGAGCCGATCATATTGCAGCCCTTCGTAGTGCTAGCATCTGCATATGGCCCAGGAAATTCGCCAGAAACTACCGATCCTGAGCTATTTGATGAGAAACATTTCGAGAGACAACTTTTTGTACTCCGAAAGCGTGCAACCCATACCATTGGTTTACACAATTGGTTCTACTTGTGCTCCCTATCTAACAAAAACATTGTTTATAAAGGACAACTCGCCCCTGTACAGGTTTATCAGTATTTCTATGATCTGGTGAACGCCGATTACGAAGCCCATTTTGCTCTTGTACATTCACGTTTTTCTACAAATACTTTCCCTTCATGGGATCGTGCTCAACCATTACGATGGGCAGCTCACAATGGTATGGTACTTGTAAATTGCCCAATCTAACCCTGATACTGACTGTAAACCCAGGTGAAATCAACACCCTTCGAGGAAATAAGAACTGGATGCGTGCTCGAGAAGGTGTGATGCAATCAGATGTTTTCGGCGACGACCTTGAATCATTGTACCCGATTGTCGAAGGTGGTGGCTCCGACTCTGCTGCATTTGATAATGTTCTCGAGTTACTCACTATCAACGGTGTCCTTTCTCTACCTGAAGCTGTTATGCTGATGGTGCCTGAAGCGTGGCAGGACAATGCCGCCATGGATCCAGCCAAGGCTGCTTTCTATGAGTGGGCCGCTTGTCAAATGGAACCTTGGGATGGACCTGCATTGTTCACCTTCGCCGATGGTAGATACTGTGGTGCAAATCTTGATAGGAACGGTCTTCGACCATGTAGATACTATGTCATGGATGATGACAGAATCATTTGCGCTTCTGAGGTCGGTACTATCCAAGTGGATCCAGAACGTGTTATCCTCAAGGGCCGTCTGCAACCAGGAAAGATGCTTCTCGTCGACACCGTCGCGGGGCGCATCATCGATGATGCAGAGTTGAAGAACACTGTCGCTAAGCGACACGATTTCCGATCTTGGCTTCACAAGGAACTCGTCAGCCTACCCAAGGTTCATGAAAAACTGATTGCCCAAGGTGTCGTTGACTTGGACCCCAAGCCATCTGATAGTACTATTCAGGAGGATGCTCTTCTGAAGGCTTTTGGCTATACGTTTGAGCAGGTTTCGTTGCTTCTTGCACCGATGGCGTCTGACGAAAAGGAAGCACTTGGTTCCATGGGTAACGACGCACCTCTTGCATGTCTTGCCAATGCTCCTCGTCTGTTGTACGAGTACTTTCGCCAGCTGTTTGCCCAGGTCACCAACCCTCCGATTGACCCCATTAGAGAAGCTATTGTCATGTCCCTCGACTGTTATGTCGGTCCTCAAGGAAACTTGTTAGGAATGGAGTCATCACAGTGCGGTAGATTGTTACTGCCAACACCTATCCTCTCTATTCCCGAGTTTAACGCTCTCAAAAACATCAACAAGTTCTATCCAAAATGGACATCCAGGGTCATTGATCTGACATTTCCAAGATCCGAAGGGGTTGATGGATACATTAGACATTTGGATTACATCTGCGAGCAAGCCACCGCTGCTATCGAAAACAACGATTCAATAATCATTCTTTCCGATCGTGCAACATGTGCCGACCGAGTCTCAGTGTCAACTCTCCTTGCTTCCGGAATGGTCCATCACCATCTTGTGAACAACAAGTGGCGATCACACGCTGCTTTGGTAGTCGAAACTGCTGAAGCCCGTGAGGTTCACCACATGTGCGTGCTTGTTGGATATGGTGTAGATGCCGTCAATCCATACCTTGCAATGGAATGCATCATCAAGCTTAACCGTGAAGGTCTAATCAGAAAGAAGCTTAGTGACGACCAGCTCATTCGCAACTACAAGTACTCTGCCGATGGTGGTATTCTCAAGGTCATGAGTAAAATGGGTATCTCTACACTTGCCAGTTACAAAGGTGCTCAAATTTTCGAAGCCCTAGGCGTTGACGATACGGTTGTGGACCGATGTTTCAAGGGTACTGCAACGAGAATCAAGGGTATAACTTTTGAACAAATTGCCGAAGATGCTTTCAGATTCCATGAGAACGGTTTCCCATCACGATACACTGTTAGAATTCCAGGCCTCGTTGAATCTGGCGAGTATCATTGGCGTGATGGTGGCGAACCTCACATTAACGATCCTACATCTATTGCCAACATTCAAGATGCCGTTAGAACGAAGAACGATAAGTCGTACGAGGCTTACTCTCTTTCCGAATACGAGCAGATCAAATCATGCACATTAAGAGGTCTTCTTGATTTCAATTTTGAGGAGAGCAATCCAGTTCCAATTGACCAAGTCGAGCCATGGACAGAGATTGTCAGAAGATTCTGTACTGGTGCCATGTCATATGGTTCTATCTCCATGGAGGCACATTCCACTCTCGCTGTTGCAATGAATCGCCTCGGTGGTAAATCTAACACGGGTGAAGGTGGTGAGGATCCAGAACGTTCCGAGGTTATGTCAAATGGTGATACTATGAGATCAGCTATCAAGCAAGTCGCATCTGGAAGATTTGGTGTTACCTCCAACTACCTCGCTGATTCAGATGAGCTTCAAATCAAGATGGCTCAAGGTGCTAAACCTGGAGAAGGTGGTGAGCTTCCTGGCCACAAAGTATCTCAGTCCATTGCCAGAACCCGTCATTCTACTCCTGGTGTTGGTCTCATTTCCCCACCTCCTCATCATGACATTTACTCCATTGAGGATTTGAAACAATTGATCTACGATCTCAAGTGTGCCAATCCTCGTTCTAGAGTATCTGTTAAGCTAGTATCCGAAACCGGTGTGGGTATCGTTGCTTCTGGTGTTGCCAAAGCAAAGGCCGATCACATCTTGATTTCTGGACATGACGGTGGAACTGGCGCTTCTCGATGGACTGGTATCAAATATGCCGGTTTGCCATGGGAGCTTGGTCTTGCCGAGACTCATCAGACTTTAGTTTTGAATGATCTCCGTGGTCGTGTCGTCGTTCAAACTGATGGTCAACTTCGAACTGGTCGTGATGTTGCCATTGCATGTTTACTTGGTGCCGAAGAATGGGGTTTTGCTACTACCCCTTTGATTGCCATGGGTTGTATCATGATGAGGAAATGTGAGTAACGAATTATGTTCCTGTTTCGACATGACTGCTAATACTTTTAGGTCACTTGAACACCTGCCCGGTTGGTTTAGCCACTCAGGATCCTGAGCTACGAAAGAAGTTCAAGGGTACTCCAGAGCACGTTATCAACTTGTAAGCATAGCATTTTCTTTCGTGTTGCACTTCCCTACTTCAATCCCTATCTTTATATTTCACCTCTGTATCCTTCTCCTTCCTAATGCAGCCTTGATTCTTCGGTTTATCCTAGAGCTCTTCCACATAGACAATTACTGACTTCCCCATAGTTTCTACTACATTGCCAATGAGCTCAGAGCCATCATGGCAAAGCTTGGTTTTAGAACGATCAACGAAATGGTTGGACACGCCGAATGTCTAAGAGTACGGGATGATCTTCGAACAAAGAAGACAAGCAATATAGATCTCTCTCTTATTTTGACTCCTGCTCATAAACTCAGACCTGGAGTTGCTACTTTCAACGTTCGCAAACAAGATCACCGACTTTACGTCCGCCTTGACAACAAGTTGATTTCCGAGGCAGAATTAACTCTTGATAAGGGTCTACCATCACGAATTGAGTGTGACATTGTCAATACTGATCGTGCTATGGGCACTTCTTTGTCATATCAGATTTCGAAGAGATATGGTGAGGATGGATTGCCTATGGACACCGTACACGTCAATATCAAGGGATCAGCTGGTCAATCCTTCGGTGCTTTCCTTGCTCCCGGTGTTACCTTGGAGCTTGAAGGTGACGCAAACGACTACGTAGGAAAGGGTCTTTCAGGTGGTCGTTTGATTGTCTACCCGCCCCGTTCCGCCGTTTTCAAGGCTGAAGAGAACGTTATTGTTGGTAACGTCTGCCTTTATGGTGCGACTAGCGGAACTGTCTTCTTCCGTGGTGTTGCTGCCGAGAGATTTGCCGTCCGAAACTCTGGAGCCACTGCAGTAGTTGAGGGTGTTGGTGACCATGGTTGCGAGTACATGACTGGTGGTCGTGTTCTCATCTTGGGCTCAACTGGACGTAACTTCGCTGCCGGTATGTCTGGTGGTATCGCGTACATTCTCGATATCCAGCAAGATTTCATGTCCAAGCTGAACACAGAGATGGTTGAGGCTTCGGGTATTGATGACCCAGCTGAGATTGCATTCGTTCGAAGCTTGATCGAAGATCACCACCACTACACTGGCTCTGAGCTTGCTGCACGCATTCTTCTCGACTTCAACAGAGCACTGCGCCGGTTCGTCAAGGTTCTACCTGTTGATTACAAGCGTGTCCTTCAAGAAGAAGCTGCCAAGGCTGCTGAAGCCAAGAAGGCAAGATTTGCTTTGCCATTCCTTCCAGGAAATCCATCCCGTGAACTTCATGAGAAGAACCATAAGGAGAACAAGAAGCCATCTGATCTCCAGGATATCGAGGAGACTATTGGAGATGCTGCCGTTGAAAAAAAGCGATCTTTGGTTTTGGACAAAACTAAGGGTTTTATGAAGTATCAACGTCGATCCGAGAAATATCGCTCAGCCAAGACTAGAACTCGCGATTGGGCTGAACTTTCCAAGCGCCTCGATGAAGATGAGCTCAAATATCAAGCTGCTCGTTGCATGGACTGTGGTGTTCCATTCTGTCAATCTGACTCGGGTTGCCCAATTTCCAACATTATTCCTAAATGGAACGAATTACTTTTTGCGGGCCAATGGAGGGATGCTCTTAACCGTCTTTTGCTTACCAACAATTTCCCTGAATTTACTGGTCGTGTCTGCCCCGCCCCCTGCGAAGGTGCATGTGTCCTTGGTATCAACGAAGATCCTGTTGGAATCAAGTCCATTGAATGTGCTATCATTGACCGTGGTTTCGACATGGGTTGGATGGTTCCACAGGAACCAAAAGTCCGCACTGGCAAGACTGTTGCCATTATCGGCTCTGGACCAGCTGGTCTTGCTTGCGCCGATCAGCTCAATAAAGCTGGCCACAAAGTCACTGTCTACGAGCGAGCTGACCGAGCTGGAGGTTTGCTAATGTACGGTATTCCAAACATGAAGCTTGACAAGAAGATCGTCAAGCGTCGTACCGATTTTATGGCTGCTGAGGGAATCACATTCAAGACTAACGTCGCAGTTGGTCAAGATGTCCAGCTTATGGATCTCAAGGCTGAAAATGACGCAGTGGTGATCGCTACTGGAGCCACTGTTGCTCGTGATCTACCAATTAAGAACCGAAGCCTCGAAGGTATTCACTTCGCCATGCAATTCTTGCACCGCAACACCAAGTCCCTGCTTGACTCGGAGCTTGCTGATAACGAATACATCTCCGCCAAGGATAAGCATGTCGTTGTTATTGGTGGTGGTGACACTGGAAATGACTGCATTGGTACTTCCGTTCGTCACGGTGCCAAATCGGTCACAAACTTTGAGCTTTTACCTCAGCCACCAAATGAGCGCGCCCGTGACAACCCATGGCCTCAATGGCCACGAGTCTACCGTGTAGACTATGGACATACTGAGGTTAAGCAACACATGGGCAAAGATCCTCGTGAATACTGTGTCATGTCTGAAGAGTTTGTTGATGATGGAACTGGAAAGGTCAAGGGTATCAACACTATCCGTGTCGAATGGACCAGATCTTCCACTGGTGGTTGGGACATGAAGAAAATCGAAGGATCCCAGCAATTCTTCCCAGCTGATCTTGTGCTCTTGTCTATGGGCTTCCTTGGTCCCGAGGATCGTGTTCTTGGTGATGAAATTGAGAAGGATGGACGCAAGAATGTCAAGACAGCTCCTGGAAAATACTCCACCAATGTCGAGGGTATATTTGCCGCCGGAGATTGTCGCCGTGGACAATCTCTCATCGTTTGGTAAGTCATAAACTGCAGCCCTATTTTGACACATTTTTCTAACAAATTTAGGGGTATCAACGAAGGTAGACAATGTGCTAGAGAGTGCGATCGCTACTTGGAAGGATCCTCTTCTTTGCCTGTCACTGGTGGTATCGTTAAGAGCACCGCATCCGAAATCTTTGGTCGAGATCCTAAACGTGAGATCTTAGGACGTGCTGATCGTGCTCCTATCCAACTCATCGCAGCTGCTGCGACATAAGGAACGACACAAAATACTAAAATTTAATATATTTACGACACTTGCTATGTAGTGGTACGAATGTTAACCGTTTCCTGGAATGAACATATCACATATCAAAGGCATATTTCTGGCATTATTGGGAAAATCAGATGAACAGCGACATGATTTGGGATTCAAATTATAATGGACGAATATCGTATATGCATTGTTCATGGAAGGAAAAACAGGAGAGGTGGGGCCGTCCACATTGCAATATCACCTCATGATGGTTATGTCTTTTTTACGATACCAGCGAGTGCGAATGCTTTCTTCCGGGGGTGTTGATGAATGATTGATGCGTGGGAATTGGAGTAGTTTGCCTTGAACTTACTTTTTATTATACATAGATGTATTTTGCAAGTGAGAGCGAGAGCGAGAAGAGCAAGCAGAGAAAGAAATTCAAAATTTATATTACAAACTGTTATATGTTATGAAATTAGGCTTTAGATATGTGATATGATATGCTCCTTTTTTGATGCTTTTCGAAGTGTATTAATCTGATTAGTTTCTACCATGTAAGGACTTGATATTATTGGTAGAGTCGTATCTTATATGCATATTAGCAAAACCGGGAAGTAATTTATGGATATCCGGTTCTGGCTCAATGCCTGTATGGACGTCACAATCCTACCCTAGATAGTGAAAATGAAAACGTGCCGGTGCAATCGCATTAGATCTTTTATGCACGTGGGTGGAGGATCTGGTGGATTATCATAACTGACATGCTTCATTCGAAATTCCCCTGTTCTAGATTCACAATTTACATAATTGATGTTGGTGTTTGAATTTTCAATTGTCTTTTTCTTTGTTAATTGTTGTTATAATGTTGTATTTTGAAGTTATTGTCTTGAGTGATAGGATTTTGTATGGATTAGTTTAATTTCGTGTTATTTATTGTAGTGTTCTTTTCTGTGTATTGATATTTATCTGATTTCACATTTGATTTCGTCACTGAATAATAAGCTCTGACCTAGCTTTCACATCCTTACAAGCTTCACAAATAAATCTTTCCGACTTTTGATTCCACTCTTACCGTTTATTCAACCAACAACAACTTCAATCCGCTATCACTATGCGTTTCGGTCAAACATTGAAGAGGTCAATATACCAACCATGGAAGGATCAATATATTGATTATGCGAAGCTCAAACACCTCCTACGAGAAGATTCAGCATCTGAGGGTGCCGATAGGCCATGGACCGCTGATGATGAGACAAAGTTCTGCGAGGAGATCCTGAACGTTCAACTAGAAAAGATAGCATCTTTCCAAGCTTCAACCTTTAAGAAGTTGGAGGAGCGTGCTAATGCAACGGGCGAGAAACTCAAAGAACTTGCGCCTGAAGATGTGAAATCGAAAGATGATGTGAATACCGCCAAATTCAAGAAGATTGAAGAAGAGCTTGATGCTATCATCAATGATACCAAGGAACTAAAGAAATACAGCAGCATCAATTATACTGCGTTCTTGAAGATTGTTAAGAAACATGATCGCAAGAGGGGTAACAACTATAAGATTAGGCCTATGGTACAAATGAGTTTGCAGAAGAGGCCTTTCAATTCGGAACAGGGCTATTCAGCATTGCTCAACCAGTTGTCTATGATGTACTTTATTGTTCGCCAACAGCTGGATGATAACTCGGATCCTACCGCGACTTCATCTGAGGTTCAATCACAATCACAGACGCCGGAAAAGTATACCGCCTATAAATGTAAATATGCTATGCCCCTAGGTGGAGCCCTATGCTAACAAGTCTTCTTATAGTTTGGGTTCACCCCGATAATCTTTTGGAAGTCAAAACGTATATTCTTCGCCGACTTCCAGCCGTGGTATATAGTGAACCATCCTCGAAAAGTCCCGAACCCCAAGCCGACCCGACCCTTAACTCTCTCTATCTCGACAGCCCAGACTTCACATTGTATGATCAAAAGAGAGAAAAGAAGGAAGAGGCAACATCACTGCGGATAAGGTGGTACGGCCAATTGAAGGACAATCCAGAGCTTCATTTCGAACAAAAGATTGCACATGAAAATGGCACTAGCGAAGAAAAGAAGCTTTTGATAAAGGAAAAGTACATCGACGCTTTCATCAAAGGCGAATACAAGATGGAGAAGAGCATACAAAAAATGGAACGGCAAGGACAGCCAGAAGCCAGAATTGAGGCCTTCAAGAAAACCGTGGACGATATTCAATCACTCATCAAGAAGAATGGCCTGCAACCAATGTTGCGAGCTAATTACACGCGGACGGCCTTTCAGAAGCCGTTGGATGACAGAGTCAGAATATCTATCGATACTCAATTGGCATTCATTCGGGAAGACTGTATAGACGAGGATCGACCTTGCAGAGATCCTAAGAGCTGGCACAGACGCGACATCGATAGTAGTGCCATGTCGTATCCGTTCAGCAACATAAACCCAGGTGAAATATCGAGGTTCCCATATTCGGTATTGGAGATCAAGGTTAGGGATGGTGCAACCAAGAAGCAGCCTCAATGGGTACAGGATTTGATGGGTTCACATCTTGTGTACGCAGCCCCAGGATTCTCTAAATTTCTCCAAGGTGCTGTATCTCTTTTCGAAGATTATGTCAACGATTATCCTTCGTGGCATGGAAACTTGACGGATGATATTCGCAAAGACCCACAAGCGGCATTCGATGAAGATCAATCCCGGAAAGCAAAGCAGGCCGAGAATGATCTTGTAGTTGGTAGCTATTTAGGAACTTCCCATAAAGCTAGTGCAAGCTTCAAACCTGCTGTCAGCTCACCAGTGGGTAGGTCATATATGGAGGAGAGAATGATCACTGAGGAGAGGGCTGGCAGAAGATCTCACCTGGATGGTCCTGCAACTTCTGGAGATGCTGGGAATGATGAAGAAGAGACTAGAGATTCGAGAAATGAAAGTGGATATGGTACATTGGCATCTGTGTTTCCATCTTTCTCTCTCTCTCGTTATGCCCAATCGCGCCGATCAAGAAGTGTTCAATTACCTCCAGGCGTCACCAAACCTACTCAATACATCAAGGATTCAGGTCCTTTACAAGTCGAACCCAAAGTTTGGCTGGCTAACGAACGTACATTTTTGAAATGGCAACATATATGCATATTATTGGGATCTCTTGCCGTTAGTTTATACACGGCCGCAGGGTTGGATGAAATTGCAGAAGCTATGGGTATTGCATATATTATCATTGCTATATTTGCTGGAGGTTGGGGCTACTGGATGCATTACACGCGGCGAAACATGATTGTTGCCAGAAGCGGAAAAGATTTTGATAATTTGATTGGGCCAATGATTGTCAGCGCTGCCCTCATGATTTCGTTATTTCTCAATTTCTTCTTCAAGGTAAGCGCCTCCGACGTCGTATAAAATTGAGATGATGGCTAACTAATATGCGTGTAGTATCGACAAGCTATGGAAAAGTACCGAGAGGATGGATCTCATTCAACCAACATCATGTTGGCCAATCAAACCTCTGAGGATTTCAAGATTGATCTGTAAGGTGGATGGGTGATTGAGGGGTAGTGGATCGTTAGCTGTATGTTCCCAGCTTGAGCCTGAAACGCTGCATATGTATACCAAGTTATTAGCTCAACTGCAAAGTGAGTAATTTAGAAACCGTAGTAATATTTCAATCTGTATCTTGATATCATGACTTGATCGCAAAGGTACTCGGTGATTCCTATCAGTCCAAAGATTAACTCATCAAGCATGAAATATCTATTTTTCCCGCAGAACAACCGAGATAAGCGAAGGATAGAGATGCAAAGGACAAGGCTATGGTGGGTATCTCTTTTCCTGTAACATATTTGTCCAACTTTTATCAGGAGAATGTACTTGACTCCAAGTATATTGGTTTCCCGAGAGATCAGTATGATTTGGTCCTGTCTCGAGGAATTACCTCATCGCTTTATACAGTCATCTGTATGAAAGATTTGATCTTGATCTTGATCTGCCTTTTTATTCTTACTCTCTCACTCATCTGTAACTCAGCCTTACTACTGTTTTTGAGAAACTTTGTTTGAGGAACTTGGTCACACAAGGTTTGCACTTTGAGAGAATTTATGAATTGGTGAACTCGTGAATCGCATTTTAAGTCAACTAGGTATTTATTGACGCGGCTTGTTGCGGAGACGATACAGATACGGATACGGATACGGATAAATGCGAGAATATCTGTGGATTTTGAGATCGGAGACTGGGAATTTGATAATCTGATAAGGGAACAGAGTGCGATAGTGAGAAGGTGATAATGGTTGGTGTTAAAGACAAGATAGCCAGTTTAATTCTGGGCAAGAAGAAGAGTGAGGATGGGCCAGAGCCGGAGCCAGTAATTGAGGATGAGTATGAACAGAGACCGAGAAGGGAACGAAGAAAACATCGGAGGAGTAGGAGAAATCGGGATAAGCGTTCAAGGGATGGAGATGATGGGGAGCGCGATGCTGGATATGGATCGACTTCTCCTCACAGACATCGACATCGAGATAGCAAAGATCGCGAAGATGACGAAAATCCTCGAAGACATCATTCGGTCAAATTAAGTACCTCGACCTCCCGTTCACCACATACAGATCATAGACGTCGCGCAGATGATGAACCGCATTCTGCTTCTCCGAAAAGACATCCTTCGATTAAGCCAAGTACTTCTACCTCTCGTTCGCCCCATCATGCAAGACCTAGCACAGGCAGATCATCGAAATACACAGAAGAGGGTGTAAGAGCGCCTAAGGTTAAATCATCGATAGAATGGCCACCTGTTGGTCACTCGCACGATGATGAATTGTCGCAAGGGAAAGCCATGCAACTGATTGCGACCGGGGTACCTGTTTTCAGAGGAACGATGGAATCGATCCCACATGCTTCGGATGAATACTTTGCGCTATATGCGACTTGTCATGGAAATGGAGGAGCCGGAAGTGATCGTGCGGAGATATTTAGTAGGGCATTTCTGGCGGATTCTATGCGATTACAAGGACCTGGTGAAGCAAATCGACCATGGGATACTCTTGAACAACCAAGTATGGCTTTTGCTTATGGCACATTGAGAGGCACGATTACATTGAATCACTGGTGTAGCATTAATGGCAAACCTCATGCACCTATTGAGCTTCGAGACCCGGGTGTTCAGACGTTGAGAGATGTGGATCTACAAATTATATTGGATCGATTGATATATTTGGAAAGTGGAATCGATGATGAAAATGAGGATATGCTGTATAAGAGTTTATACAAAATTTTACTTAAGGACCTCGACAAGTCATTCATCGCTAAAAAGGGGATGGAGAAACAAATTGCGGATTTAATAATTGCGTTGTCGAGACGTGAGTGGATCGATTTTAGTCAACCTAGGAATCATGTTGTGGCTAAATTCTTTGTTGATGGGGCATATTCTGATCATGGAAGATATCGAGCCTTTTTTCATCAATTGTTGTTGAGCATGGAGTTGGAATTGAGGATTCAGTCGAAGCATCATTCGGAAGAAGCAAAGGAGAGATTGCTAGCACAATTACCACCGTGGATTTCTTGGGATCTGGCTGTTGCGAAGAAGTGGAGAGAATGTATGACTATTGAGAAGTATAAGACTACCGATGATCTTCAGCAGGGTAAGTTTTCACATATCATATAAGTAGTACGTAAAGATAGAGGCTGATATCAAAATAGTTAAGTTTCGCCTTCTCAAAAAGAGATCACAAGTCAAAGCTCTACGCAAATTTTCAAGAGCTATGAAGTGGCCTAATTTACTCATGGTAGATGAAGCTTTAAAAGAGCTAGATCCAGATGCTTCACCTCTTGAAGATCGGTCTGCAGATGCTATGTCTTATTGTACTGGCTTAATCTTACCAGGACCAACTCAACCATGGCTACTCATGAATACTTTAATTGACTGCGATGAAGATGGAGGTGCTGATCTTGGTGGCCTTACACATATGCATCCCAATTCTGGCTTCCAATATAGGGGTAGTACGTATTGGGCATCTACTTGTATCGTTGGTAAAGTTCTCGCTCCTACTTGTCAAGAGATTGCTGGTTGGATTGGTCCGGCTCTCGCTTCTGTGGATATTGAACGCACTCAAGTATTGCGAATTCGTCAACGTATGTCTCCTCAAACTATCACCAAAACCGACGTCCTAAGCATGAGAGTTCGATCTGATCCTCTTGGTCCTCCCGATCCAAACGATCCCGTTTATCCCGTGAGCGAATTCGTATTACCCAAGCTCGACTTGGAATCTCCACCCATAGATAATATCCGTATTGAAAAATTAGCGTTCGACGTAGCGAAACCAAATCAGCAGCTTGATGGTGGCTCCCCAAAGAGAAGTAGCGAGATAGGAAAGAGACCACCTACTTATGATGCATGTGTGGTTTTTGCTAGGAGAGGACAATCGCATTGGTTGAGATTAGCTCATGATGTTTCTTTCATCACGGCGTATCCTTGTTCTAATGGTCCACATGTTCTCTTCTTCGACTACGTTTATAAAGTCGCGCGCATGAACCAATTACTCGATATACATAACTGGGCTGGAGTCGGCGGCGCCAATTTAAACGAAGATTTACAATTGGGATGGGCGCCACAACCGGAGGAATTAGGTATTCAGGGCTCGTGGGATGAAGGTTATGATATGAAGGGGGCACAATGGAAATTTAATCAACTCATGGAGGGAGTGGATAAGGATACGGTGTTGGTGATTGAGGCGTGGGGCGTGGAGGATAATGAGTGTATGGCTAGGGCGTGGTGTAGTCATTGGGGATTGAATGCTGTGGTGGCGGTGGTGGGGAGGAGTTGTTTGGCTTGTGCGGTTAGGGAGGCGTATGCGGCGGCGGTTAATGTGGTTATTTTTGTGGGGGGTGCGGGGGAGGGTAGAGAGGGTGGGGGATAGGGGTAGGAAGGTGGTTTCGAATGTATTTGGGGGGTAGCAATGGGATTGAGAAGGGTTAGTATGGATGGGGAATTGGAGACGGGGGGTGGGAAGGATAGAATATTGGGTTTCAAAATGTATCATACCTAATCTTACATTAAGGAGTTTTCGTTAGGATAATGGGATGGGATGGGATAGGTGGGATGGGGATTTTTCATTAAATATGATGTGTTTGGGCATCAAGGAGGTGTAATCGGTTTTCGTGGAGCAATATACCAGAATTTCCTTGTTATTTGGGGGGCTAGGGTGCGGTGTGATAGGATGAAAGGATGGAATGAGAATGAGATTGAGATGATGATTGATGATATGATAGGTAGTTAAAATGAAGCGGTGAATTAGTTAAAACAATGAAATCGAAGAAATGAATAAATACCTATCTAATCATATCTACTCAGGTGTATAAAATGAAATCGTATATCTAGGTACACATATACTCAGACCTTGAACCCCTTGAAAAATCATTCATTTTATTTCAATTTATATACCTATTTACACACCAAACATACAAATATATATATATAAAATAAACACGTACCCCCAAGCTCGAAATCCCCAATTTAAAATGCTATTCTTTTTATTTTATCTATTGGCTAATATCCTCATCTCTTTAACCTCCCTTCCTCCCTTCCCCTCTTTCGTTTATTTATATCCTTAACTCTCAATCCTCAATTCCTAACTCTTAAATCCACTAACAAATCCCCAAATACACTAACAATCTCAAATCATAGATACTTACCTAGGTAACCTAGTATAATATAAGATTAACATACATACGTGTACCGTCCAGGTGTTGAGACTTGAGGTGTTGAGGCTTAAATTTTAAATTTTGACTTTCAAATTTTGACTTTTAACTTTTAAGTATCAAGTCAAGGTAAACATTGACCTAATTTGTTTGGTTTGATGGGTTAGTGTATTATTCTTATTTATTTTTATTTTTATTTTTATACGATATTCAGGGGTTGGGGGTTGGGGGAAGTGGTATTTTAAAGGGGCAGGGAGGGGAAGGGGGGAATGAAGGGACAAAAAAATATATAATAACAGATAAGGGTGTATAATAAACAGTAAGAAGAAAAATTTAAAAAAGAGTAAAAAAATAATTATATTATTGAAAAGGCAGGGGGAAAAGCAGAATTGAAAGAAGAATGTTCCAAACCTAAACTAGAGGGGCGAAAAGTAAGAGGGGAAAAAAAAACTTACTATAATAAGTATTTGTAAATTTGCAAGATCCGCTGGCGCAGATAGTAGGGCCTGTGTATCCGATTCCTCCGCATTGGCCGTAGAGGGTTTGAGTTGGACCTGTTGGGGTTGTTGGACTCGTCGTAGTAGTGGTTGAACTTGAGCTGGTTGATGGTTGAGGAGTAGTTGGGGTTGTTGTTGTTTTGCTAGTAGAGCTTGATACGGAGGTTGTAGGAGACGAAATACTCGAACTACCACTCGAAGCAGAAAGCACCCCCTCCAATCTCAAATCCCTACTACTCGCGCCCACCCAAACCCCAAAATATCCCACTGGTAAAACCCACATCTGCGAACCCGCATCCCAATAACTCAAATCCTTTCTCCTCAACTCAAACATCAAACTACTTTTCGCACCCGCCTCTAAACTAATCTTCTTAAACCCACGAAGTTGTCTCAGAGGTGTACCGGGTACCGAGTCCGGAAATCCAATATACAACTGTGCTATTTCCGCAGCGGGGACACTACCACTATTAGATAGCGTAATGGAAACCGTAGCGATAATATCGAAAAGATTTGATTTTCCTCCAGGAAGAAGCGCGTTATTTCCTGTTGAGGAGGAAGATATTGATGAGAGTATTAGATTCGAATACGAGAAAGAGGAATAACTTAATCCATAACCGAATTCATAACGGGGAGTCAGACCAGCTTGATCGAAATGTCTGTAATCGATAAATAAACCCTCGGAATAATTATCATCACCATTTGCAATAGCAGTTCCGTAATCGGATTGGGTTTTTGCGATGGTGAAGGGGAGTTTGCCGCTGGGTGAGACGGATCCGTACAGGATATCTACGAGTGCGTTGCCGGATTCTTGGCCGGGGAGTCCGGCCCAGATTATGGCGATGACGTTTGGGAGGGCGAGGATGGATTCGAGGATTAAGGGGCCTACGCTGTGGATTACGACGATGGTGTTTTTGTTTACGGCGGCGATGGCTGACACGAGTGAGTTGCCGTTGTGCCAGGGGTCTAGGTTGATGCGGTCACCAGCTGCTCCTTCGACCTGTTGTTTTTGGGTGAGTGAAAAGGAAATGATATTGGTGTGTGGGTAACTCACGGTAATGTATTCTTCGCCCGAATCAGAGTTGATGAATACGATGGCTGTTGCGGCGGCGCTGGCTACTGATGCTCCGGTTGATGTAGAATCTGTATTTGAGAGGGTCACAGTTGTGCCGTCCGCGGCAGCTCTGGCTTTGATAGCATCATATGGGGCAACTAGATATGGGAAATCGGCTGTGCCTGAGCCCCAACCCTATGTCACGATTAGTTCCTCGACTCAAACCATGAGGTGGACCAGATACGACAGAGCTGAATGATAAAAGAGAGCAAAACAGTATAAAAGAGTTGAACGATATGGAGGAACTAAACAATATAAAAGAACTAAACGGCATAAAAGAGCTAAACGACACAGAGCTAGAAAATACAACAAAACCAAACAATATAACAGAGTCTAAAAAACATACCATAGCCAAAGTCCCTGTATCACACCCTCTATCCGTACACGAATTCGCACCCGCCGGATTCACAATAGCATCTTGACCTATTATTGCCAAACTAGCAGGTTTCTTAAGCGGCAACGCATTATTAGTATTTTTCAACAACACAATTCCATCACGAGCAATAGCTCGAGCAACAGTATTATGGTCCGATGAAACATTTGGACCGCCAACACCGCCATTCCATGAACTCCAGCCAGTAACAACAGGATAATTTGTGTCTTGGCCGAGAAAATACCAAGAGGCGAGAATACGGAGAGCCATGTCGTCGAGACGGGTTTGGGGGACTGTGCCGCTGGGGATTGTTAGATAGGGTTGTGAATATTTGGTATTTATGTATGTATTCTTTGGGAAACTTACGCATTTACGGCATTGAGGAGATTGTTTCCCCAGAGAAAATTATTGTCGCCGAAATTATCTCCTGGCATCGCCATATCCATTCCCCCATTCGCGCTACCTGTTGTGGTATGCTGTGCTGCCCAGTCTGTATATACTCGTTAATACTTCTTTGTGTATTACTAACATATATCCACGGTTTGAGGAAGTACATACCACTAACAACATAACCCTGAAAATCCAATTCATTTTTTAGTAATCCGGTAAGTAAAGCTTGGTTTTCACACGCATATGTGCTGTTGAATTTGTTGTATGAACACATTACAGATGCGACGTTTGCTTTTACTGCTTCGGCGAAAGGCCAGAGATATAACTATAATGTATAAGCATTCCCTGAAATTTGTGAGGGTAGATTTGAATACGAACCTCATGGTTGACTCTATCAGCGATATTCGCACTCATTTTGTCTCGATTCAATTCCTGCTCATTTCCGACTATGATATCTAATTAAAAATTGGACAATATGGATAGGGATTGACTTACGATAATGTTTTGCGCATGCTTGAACACCCGCTGCTTGCATACCTTGGACCGTCTATAATACAATGTCAATTCTCTTCATACTATCGATCAATTGTTCAAGGAAAGGAAGAACATACATTCGCCATACCAACACCAGAAAGATATGGGTCATTACTAAACCCTTCCCAATTTCTCCCCGCCTATTTTGATTATCAGTATTGTTTTCATGAATATATCTCAAATAAAGATAACGAGCTACAAACCACTGGTATTTTCCCCAAAGGTCCAGCCACTGGACCAAGCTGATTATGAACACCAAGTGCTTTTGCTTCGGCTCCTACCATATAGAATAAGCTTGTATTCATACAAATTTGCATCTCAACCCCATCGATCACGAAAGGATGATATCATACCTAAAGCATAACCCCTCGCATACATCAAATCCGTATCCCATGTACTGCCTGTAGTTATGCCCGCCGGAAATGCCGTTACTTTTTGAGCATATCGAACTCTAAAAATCGCATAACATTAAAATTATCGGTCATCATCATTTCCTCCACTTTCCATTCACATTTCATCCACTGAAAAAATCACGAGTTCAAGTAAAATTTACATACCCTAAAGGACCATCCTGCAAACAGAATGCTGGCCATCCAATCGAAGGTATAGCAGCAGTATTCCCAACACAAGGTCCCTTTTCCCATCCAACACCCGTAACTAGTGTAACTTTATTCGCATTTGTGAGTTTTGCCAGAGCCGTTTTAGCCTTGGTATAAGCGGCAGCCCAATCTCCATCGCCGGCTGCAGCGCGGATGGGAGTCGCTAGAACTAGGAGGACGAGAGAAAGAACTTGCATCTTTGTACTGAAAATCAACTTGCAAAGGAAGACAAATATGCGAGAAAGAATGGGCAACGGAAGGAACAGTTGGTTGTTGATATATACTCACGTTCAGACCACTCAACCTCAACATATGGAATAGCCATTTCGGGGTCATCGCGGAACAGCGGATCACGCAATTTAGCTGGATAATTTGAGTCGGTGATGAACCCGTGGTGCCTCATCGATCTACATTGGTAGTCAAGGCTCCACGTGCTAGGCGACCCGACTCATCTGTGGCAATCAATAGCCGGAAACGTGAAGACTACGGAGGCCCGTATACTGTGCCTCTAGAAATAGTCTCTATATTGAGTATGGAGTCGATTGTTGTAAGATCTTACCTCTTACAGGACATGTGATCACTTGACCCCGCAAAACGCAATTTAGACACATGAGGTTTAGATGGGGTTATTAATTTATATGAGGTTGATATGCCCGCCAAGGACAGTATTTGACTTTAGCATAAACTCCCGAAAAACCAACACGTTGCTTCCGGTCCGAATCCCCGTTCGGTACTTGAATGGTTGGATCTACTTAGCACCGTTCTTTCTTTGTGTAGCAGTGGACTTCTTGGAAAATTGATGTTGACCTATGGGCAAGAAGTTTCCTGAAATTATTACATGCCGAGTCCTGATATCATACATGTTCGGTTTACAGATAAATTCTCTCATTTGGCGTCGACGTCGTATAAAACGTCCGTCCGAATCACGTACTTTGCTGATGCCTTCGGGCCCCTTTTCACACCGGTGCCTTCGTGAAGTAAACTTCCCTCAGTTTCACCGTGTGGGAACATTGCCACACTACCTTGAATTGGCTTTATCGAATATGCATTCATGCTGCCCTCTTTCGCGCTGGGCAGAAAATAGGTTGTTTCGCCAGCATCAAACTCATCGTTCAGATATATCAAAAATGTGAATAAAGAGGACTGTTTTGAATCCGCAGGAGAAGAATCGTAGATATATTTATCGTTCGTGGGGTCAATTCCAGACGGCGGCCAAGCGCCATCTATGGAGATAAGTTTCAGCAAGATGGAACGAACCGATGCGGAAGGAAAATTACTCACCAATATGAGCACGATATTCTGCACCAGGGACATAGCGGTAAACGCGAAATCTCCTGTTCAGACCTCTCACCTGTTTACCATTGACTTGTGTTGGAACAAATTCTTTAACTCTGTTCCATACTCCATCGCAGAAAGAATTATCCGCAACCCAATAGAAATTATGAGCCAAAATACTGTTTTCCTCGCCTTCTGCGCGTATTGGGGCATCTGGTGTAAATCCCACGGTCTCGCCTGCAGCAATGATTCGAATACACTCTTCTGGACTCAATACGTCCTTGAGCAAATGTAGATTCGGTACAATGGGATGTGTGTGGTGAGTCGTCTTAGGAGGGCTATCAGAAAAAGCAATGGCATTGTCCTGAGATGCCCAAAGAATCGCCGGATGGAGGTTTGCTGGCTTGCGATCCAAACCTGGAGTTGTTTCAATGACGCGAAACTTGGATTTTATGTCCTTGGGTAAAGAATCGAGTATGCTCCCGTCCAAAACCGAATCGTATACTTGCTTGCGCTGTATCGTATCATCCCTCAAATTCCATGCCTTTCTTGGCACGATAGGACCATTTATAGCCGTTCCATCCTCAGTCGAATAATCTACCGGGCCAGTGACTCTAAGTATTGCATCTAACACAACTAGCAATTGCTCCTCTCTTGCCGTTCTCTTTGCTCCACTACTGTCTAGTTGTTCCGCTAAGCCACTAACGACGTCTAAATCTCGAACCCATCGGCAGAGCGCACCTAATTTAGGCTTCTGCTCCCGAATTCGCATCTCCGCGAGTAGTATCCTAGCTTCGGTATACCCTTCATCCGCCAGAGCACCGCTGATACGCGCCGTAGGGTTTGTATCGACTACATCATAATTAGTGTTCGCCATTGCGTCTGCGCGATGATAGATAGCATACTAGACGCATTGAAGCCCGTTGTGCAAGCATTTCGAAAGTCGAAAACCGCAGTTCGTAATTCCTTACATGCCTTCGATTTTATAAGAGCAGGATTCTTTGCTAATGTGCTGAGCGTGTCCACGGATATTTCGATATCTTCTTCGGCGATCAAAAGATCATGGAGGGTTTTGGGCTCAGTCGAAAGTTCTGGAGGTGGAGTAATAATACTTGTGGTCTTCACCTTCTTGATGTTTTGCTCGATAGAGAGACTCTGCTGCTTTCTCTTTCCCTTTGACTTAGCCATTGGAGAATATAATGTCTGTTGATTGGGGAAACTCAATTGTTTCGCTCGTCTCATAGAATGCAGAGCACATACAACTTGCTATGAATATTGATTTAAGGTTATTGCCCGGGCGGTGAAAGCTTTTCTCCCCCATTCCCCGCACATCCCCATAAAATTTCCAACCATTGGGATCTTGATTTTGATAGAGCGTCCTTACCTTTCAAGGTAATCGACGCACACGATGATTTCCTACCTAAGCAAGATCCTGATGTTTCAACTTTCTTCTCAAGCTAAGATAGATGCAAGCGAAAAGGACGGGACAGGCTATGTCTTCGTTAAATATCTCTGATCTGGGATGGATGGTCCTGCGGCTTACTCTAATTCAGATCATGAGTCTCATTGAGAGTCTAGATTTGTCGATTGTCTAGGTCATGAGTGTCCGCCACTTATATGGGTATTCGTGTTTCAATTCTACGCGACGTTACTTCTTGGGATAGACCATCACCATGTCGCCCTAGTCCTTTTTGTTCAAGCTGGATGCGACCAGGTATTGCAGGTGTACACTCGTAGCAACATCAAAATATCTTGCAAGCCTTTGCGGGTGATTCTAGTGTCACCAATTATCTTCAATCTATATCTGAGTAAGGGTTCTTTCGTCTCCAAACTACACGGGTATTCCCAATTTTCGGGCAGAGACAAGAAGCAGCATATCAGGTATTTATTATTCAAACAAATGATTGTACAGACAATTTCGCAAGAGTAGGCTGGAACTTAATAGTGCAGCCACTGCGGAAGCCATTTTGACGGTTCAACGAATTATTGAGCAACCTGGTACACCATGTCATATGCAAGTGGCATGCAAGGAGTAAGATTTGGCGTAGCCTGCCATTCGATAAGCCCTTCAAGGTACTGCCTACCAAGGATTGTTAGAGATATATATACATGCATAAAGATCCCACCATTTGCGCCTGCAATTGGAAGTGCAAAGATAGTTCTTTTCAGCTGACCTTTCCCTCGTTGACTTCTCTCCAGCAAAGACCATGGATTCCGCAGACACAGAAGCAGCACCAGCGGATACAACCGCGGCTTTGCCAGATTATCTCCTCGATCCCAATGCAGTAATGAAAGATCTCAATGCAAAATGGCGATACAATCAGCCACCAGACTACACAAACACAAGAAAAGTATGGGCACAAAGTATGTAACAGTCACAGTCAAATGAAAAGAGAACATCCTTTAACCTCATATGACAGCCAAAACCCAAAACCACACGGCTGCATCCCTGCCCTCTCTCGTCGAAAACCTCGTCAAGAATTGGGAAGTGGAAGCCTCCTTCAAACTTGACATTTCCGAGTGGCGCACCATCGATCACCCAAATTTCAACTTCTCCATCAATGGTTCTGCCCCCGTGACAGGCGAATACATGTTGAAAGTGGGCACTTATAATGCTATTCTCACAGCCAATGAATATTATTCCCCCGAGAAATCGGACTTTTCAAGTAGTCACAAGACGTTTAAAAGGATGATGCCGACTTTTGCATGGGAGGTGTTGGAAGTATATAGTGGACCGCCAACTGTTAGTTTTAAATGGAGACACTGGGGGGTAATGAAAAATGATTATGTAGGCATTAATGAGTATGTTACCTTCCTTCCCATCCTCTTTTATTTCTCATGTCCTCACACTAACGGCTTTTAGCAAAGGTGAAAAGGTGACCATACCCGCACACAGCGGAGAAATCGATATTCAGGGCATCGCGGTAGCCAAAGTCGATTCAGCAGTGCGTCTTCAAGCTGTAGAGATCTTCTACGATCCCCTCGAAATGTTTCGACAGATTGCAAAGAAAAGCAATGTAAAGAAAACGAAATTGTCTACTGAGAGTAAGGACGATTTAACAACATTGTTATATGGGGACGGATATGCGGTCGAAAAGCCAGATGCTAGCGTGCCATTTACAAGTTGCCCGTTTTTGCCAGCGGAGAATAAAGAATAGGCCTGGAAAGAGGAATTATGATGCATATTATCTTTTGTGGGGAGTGCCGAGGGACTCAATGCTACTTGATAATATATATTCTTTACAAAACAAGGCGAGTGATGTAAAAGCCTTGAATTTGAACTATTTAGTTCAACGCTCTGCTTAGTGGTAGAATATCTCTTTTCTTTCACACTACTCATGCGACGATTTTCAAAAGACCAATTCAGTGGTGATGGCCACTCTTCATAGGAGTGATGAAGGTAGTTCCCCGCAAAACTCAGTCATACGTTTGACAACCGTCTTGGGTATTCTTGGTTTGATTAGATGACGTAGGTTTTCTACAATCACTTGACGGATATCCTCAGTTCCAGACTTTACGAGTTGGGACTTTGCTGATTCGCCACAGTTGATGAGAAAAGACTGCATCTACCTTCCTTGTTAAATTTAGCACTAGAACCTTAAGCCTGAACTGGGCTTAAGATCGACTTATGTATACAGTAATGATAAGTAGGAATTATTTTCATCTCCCAGGTTGGCAATTGAGATACAGTACTAGAAAGAGATTCTAGGCAGTCCATTGAATTGGATGTAGTCCAAGCACAAAAGGTTATGGGTGATTGAAGGAGCCTTGATAAGGCTGGATATTTTTACCCAAAAGCTAGCCGGCATTTGGATCTAAAGTACAATGGTGTATTCGAAATCAGCTGAAGGAAGGTTCGCATAAACTGACTTATTGAAGCATCTATATATGAAACGATTCTATGCTTTGCGCCAAGACTCTAGTAGAGTACAGGCAGACTAGCTTCACATTTGTCGGAGGGGATAGCAGAAATACTCCGCGCAACTTGTAGCTTCACTTTATTCATTGGATTTGATTAATTTTTATTGAGAGATATACTAACGTTTATATCAAGAAAGCATCAGATCCTATGTCTCGGCTTCTCGCTCTTATGTCACTGTCGCAGACTCGCAATATGGTGGAAGGTCCGTGCTCTTGTTTTGTCTTTTTGGGACTTTGTAACCATTGTTTCATTTACCAAACTTCTTAAAATTGTAAAATCGATTTTTTTTACCCTATTTATCCACTGGGAGGTTTTGTAACTTTGTAGCTACGTTTCCATATAACAATCTAATTCACTGAATCGTTCGAATGGAAGGAAGCTCAAAATGCTACATTAAGATGCTGTTTCCATTGCTAATACTAGAGGCTCGCTAGTGCTGATAGAAAAGACCACCACATCCCTGATAATTTTTTTCTTTTTAAAGAAGACTCCCGCAAGCCACTCCTCATGTAGATTAACAGCAAGAAAATTGAAACAAGGAGAGTGGGAACTTTTTTGGTGAGGTTTTCTTAGTAGAACTTAAAATCTCGGAATGAACACATTGATATAGGCATGGAAACTCGAGACTTCAGACTTCCAAGGGCTGGATCTCTTCGTAATCCTTATTGCTGTTATTTGTATACGTACACATATGAGTGCAAATACTATCAATGTTAACTCGACAGTTTGTAGCGGTGGCGATTGCTCTGCTAGTACAAGTATCGGTCGTCTTGTCAAGTAATGTCGCGAAAAATGATTTCATGAAGAATGGGATCCAGGAGCAGAGTCAGGAGCAGGGACAAACTACTCAGGGACGGGCACGAGAAGCACAGGGTCGGGGAATCCAAAGGCGTCAATGTTGGAATCAAACCCAACAAATGCAAAGCCAGCAGTCGCAGTCTGACAGATCAAGAACTCTGTTGTCTCAAAGCCTTCCGACTGGCCAAGCACAACAGCCTCAGTTATCTAATGCAGCAGGATCTAGGCAATGCTTTTTACCAAATGGATCTGTTGACCTTAACGGAATCCCTTGCCTTAGCGGTGACAATACAAGTCCATGTTGCGGATCTGATGAGTTTTGTTCCACCAATAAATTGTGCGTCTCGAAAAACAATACAAATAAATTCTCCCGTGGTTCCTGCGCAGATCCCACTTTTTCCGCGGCTTCTTGTCCGAGTTTTTGTCAGGGTGGTGAGTTCTCAAAAGCCTGATATATGGCGATAACAAATGAGAAACAATCACTAATAAGAAACTCAGCCAACGATAATGGATCATTATTACCATGCGGTGAGCCATCACTAGGAAAATTTTGTTGCGACGAAGGTGAAGGTTTTGCATGCTGTTCGACGCCGAGCAAGGTCTTTTCAGTAGGGCGAGGAACGAATTATACGGAGAAATACGTCAATTCGAACGTCACGTCAAGCTCAATTTTAAATTTCCAACCACAAATATCCTCGCACTTAACTATCCTAACCGATACTGATACCGCAACCCAAACTCAAACTCAAATTCAGATATCATCAGCAACTCAAATAATCGTCAGCACGTCTGTTTTCGTTTCCATCCAAATAGTTACTTCTATTCAAACCCCAACTCCCACGATAATATATCCTCCTACAGCTTCAACGACGGTTCCGACATCCATCATTTTCGCTACACAAACAGCAATTTCACAAAGCCAACCATCTCATTCTCTCGAAGCAACTCCCAGCGCAAGTGTATTCCTAAATGAAAACAGTCAATCATTACCATCTTCTACCTCGACGAATTCTGAAAGCCAAGCCTCCACTGTTCCTTCAAGTCCCAATGGAAATCTAAACCAGAATGGGCAAGTAGGACCTTCAACTACGAGTTCTCAAAACTCGAGCAGGCCCTCAAATTTGAGTCTGGCCGACAACCTTGATATTCAATCCACTTTGGCAAACTTACTCAAAAGTCCTAACATGACCGCAATTATCATTGGATCTGGCGGCTTGCTTCTGATTGTGATTTTTATCATAGCGTTATGTTGTATCAGAAAGAAAAGAAGGGCTAAGAAGTCAAAGGATATGATAAGACGAGGATCTGAATCGCAGAGAGGTGCTAGTAAGGAAAGAAAGAAAAAAGATGGAGAAGAAACTGGAGATCCGAATATAAAGGTTTTCGTAACAGTATCTAAGAAACCCAAGGCACGGAAGGGAAAAGCACAAGCTACTTACATAGACGAAGATGATAGAATATCCAGGGAATTGGATGGCGCGCTAGGTGGCGGATCGTATCTGGAAGGCGGAACGATGGGAAGAGAAATAAAACCTACAAACTTCGGGAGACGATCATTAGGAAGGGAAAACATAGAATTCCAAAACCCGATGGATTACAGGGATAGAAGTCCAAATCCTTTCATTGATCCGCCCATCCCATCGGATCTCCGCACCCCTACCGTCCCCATTCTTCCTCCTCTTCAATCTCCAGTCTCGGATTATGTCAATAGTCCTACGGTTCCTATTCTTCCTCCTCCTATTACACCCATTCCTGTTTCTCCTCTTTCGCCGCATTATCTGGACTTGGATTATCGTGTCTCGAGAGCTTCATTCGCGTCGGTTACCAGTGGCTCGCGTTATAGTCGTATGACGACCGGAGAACCGTTTCTGGTGCCGCTGGCGTTGGATGTGCCGGTGCCTCTTTATCGTCCTGTCGGGAGTGTGGGTAGAGGGGTAGGAGATTATGGTTATGGTTATGGGATGGTTTCTCGCGATGAGGAATTGGGGTTTGGAGTGGGGAGGGTGGATGAGCAGAGGCAGGAGCTTTCGAGGGGGTTCTTTTAGATGGTTTTTTGGTGAAGGGGGGATTTTGATAGCAGGGGTTGGATAATGGAGTTTGGAGTTTGGAGTTTGGAGATGGGATTGATGGAATGGGGTGGCATGGGAGTATATAATTATAATTTCGAGGTAGAGGTAGTAGGTATTCAACGTTTAGATTTGTACATAAAGACACGCCTATGTACCAATTATACCACGTGATAAATATAGATTTCCAAAAATACAGTAAAACATACAGTTTTCCAAAGTCCAACATTGCAGGATCTGGAATGGGACCTTGATCTTGTGTAGTTCCTAAAGGTGGAAGCAACGTATTTGGTACTATTTTATGGGACCTTGATCTTGTGTAGTTCCTAAAGGTGGAAGCAACGTATTTGGTACTATTTTCCGGGACCAGAGAATACTTCGATTAATATCTATCTACTAAATATCCCCATACCATTAAAATACTCACGCAAACTCAAAGAAATTCATCCTGAAAATGTCTCGCCTCTGCCGATCTCCCTTGCTCTATGTACAATGACTATCGGCTCATGCCAGAACAATATAGAGAGTTAACCTTGAGAAAAGCGAATGAAGCAGATAATGTGAAATTTGACGAAGCGAAAAGTCCTCATGGCAGTGGAACGGAAACTTTTTGAAGTAAAATTGAGACCGCTAGCGAGATCACTTTTTGTCTATTATGCGAAGATATTATGTGTTTTTTTTCTTGGCCTGAAATAGTATCGTTCAGTTGAGAATATGTTGTTTGAAGTGAATTTGTTGACGAGCTTCGTTTAGGATGCATTCAGATGAATGGTTTCTAGCTGATGACAAGATAGGAATTAGTGAATGCCTCGGGTATGTTTGAGCTTGATGGACAAGGTGGGTTTCTTGGTTTGTTGTTGTTGTTGTTGCTTTAGGCGGCAGATGTTGACCATTTATGTGAGTCACTATATTATTTAATCCACGGCTGCAATGTATATAAATTTTGAGAGCTATTCTGCTTAATGACCGATTCGGATTCGTGTATGAATAGGCGTTGGAGGTATGTGAGAAATTTCGAAGCGACTTGTAATGAAAACTGCCCCCGCCGTAACCTTGGATTTCTCGAACATTTCAAAGCATTCGAGGTGAGTTTGAAATCGCAGAAGTGAAGAGGTTGCGCCGTGGCTGTGGCTACAGTCGGTTGGTTATTAGTCGTGGTCTTCCGGAGAAGATGAGAACTTCGACGTTCGGATTTTCGAGTGGACGAGGAATATCGTTTGGGATAAGGGAAGTCATAAGAGCGTTGGAAAGTATTGAAACTTTGAACATCTACTTATCGTCGCAAATGGTGGAATATATGAGTGTGCCGTTTTGCATATGGAATATCTGCTGGAAATTATTAAATCGCGATTCCATGGCCGACAACATATTTGACATCAATCGCGAAGTAAATCTTCATAGATTTTGATGACTCTGAAATGATGTATGAATGCGTAATATTCATCTTGGGATATCTCTTTACAGGTGGGCCATTTTGTGTCTGCTGGAGATCCCCTCGGTGATATGGCTCAAGTTCTTCCATTTGGTAGATAATCACCTGACGCTGCTATGTCGTGAACGAAAAGAAAGTTCTATCCTGAAGGAGTACCCTAAAGAAATACCCTGTATAGAATAAAGTAGCATGTGATGGGCCACTGTTTTGTAATTTTTGTAATTTACGAATGGTTATATAAGGCCCAAGAGGAGAAGGTGTGGAAATGAGAGGGTTCGACGCCATATTACCCTCGCAGACCGTAATCTCGGCCAACAGTGAGTCCGGAAGTATGTTGTTAGTCAAAATAGTTATAGTCAATCAGGGTCATGGCACTTCAACCGATTGTATTCCATTGGATAAGGATTCTCAGCCGGTGCTGGTTGCGGTTAGCGAACCGAGTTTTCGATGAAACAGAGAAGAAAGCAGGAACCACGGAGCCTAGGCCTCATCGGTTTAACGAGGAATGTCGGGATATATATAGGCGAAGCACCAATCTTCCAGACACGAGCAATAATGCTCGGAGGGAAAGGCAACACCCAAAGAAACGACCAGCTGTGCTGAGGCGCTATCTGTCACTTTTTGACTATGACTGTTACTCAGGACCTTTGATTGCGATAGGAAGCTTGAGCTTGACTACGTGGTGTTGACGATTTTTAATTGGTACAGCGAGAATTGATGGTAGATGAGAGAGGTTCCCCTGAAACCTTGGACGACCTTCAAGTGGCTGAAATTGGGCAGGTTTTATGTACTTCACAATAATCAAGTATAAATTGCGCAAAGGCGCAAGTCTTCAACATACGAAGGATTCTATCACCACCTAATCCCCCACTACCTGTTGGTGAAGGGGAAAAATTCGCATCCAGCTGCAACTGCAACTGTAGTAGCTCGAAATAACTTAGATGTGTAGAGAAGACCGATCCTGTTGGATGGTACCCTGGGACTAGAACCGAAATGGTTAGAAGTTGGAAGAGACGAACTAAGGTAGGGCTGCAGCATTCCTACGGGACCCCTTAAGGAAAGACGTATTTAACACAAGGCTAAGGCCGAGTATGGATAATGAGATCGATCCAAGATCTCGGGAGTCGAGTACGCCTGTACATGCGCGTGGGGCCATTGAAAGCAGCACCCAGCAGAACTACTGAACACGTGAATGTACTGCCAAAAACAAACTCGTGGTACAACCGTCGGGACCACAGAAGGAAGTTTCCACTCGTAGTTTCGGAGTTGTATGGGGTGGTTTATAAATTGCCATGTCAAGTATAGCTGTATGAGGGTGTTCAAATATTGAAACACAAAACACATTGCCGATGGATGGAGTTACCATCCGGGTTTACTCCGGAACTCCGGATCGCTTAATCCTCGGTCGCAGACTCACATATCACAGACAACAAATTCGAGGACAACGATGAAAGTTTTTCTTGTCTTTGTTGTCCACTTCTAAGCAATTGACAATTTCCGAACGAGTATATATATACAATACGGAAAGCGTTATCATATATATATTCATCGTCAATCGATAACTTGCGTCGTGTCATTCGTGTCGTCGCGCGTGACTAGCTTTTGACGCCGTTACACGTGATCAACTTCTCTTTCCTGGCAACGAGATCTTTTTTGTGGTCTTTTCAGCGGACCAGCACCGAAACCCAGTATCGACTAGCATAATCCACATGTCTTCCACCCGCTTAGGTAGACGAATAGGGTTGGATTGTTCGTGTTCTATGTGCCTACAAAAAAAATCTCCAACACCCACACGATTGAAAGAACGATGGAAGTCGACCAAAATTGATGTATCCAGATTCCAGGCAAAGGTATATCCGGGCAACGGCGGAAATAATGTCTTGAGTGGTATGAGAATCAGATATCTCCATCTTTTTTTGGCACGCGTGATCTAACTATTAACATCTGGAATCTAGACATCGACTTAGAGAGAGCTCTTAGTGGCAATGCGAAAAGCCGAACACCGAACAATCATTCCGCTCAATATCTATTTTCATGCATCCTTATCTGATCGTTCCTTCCTCTTCAAGTTGAACATCAATGATCATCTTTGCCATGCACCTCAAGGACCAATTGAAATTATGGCTCATTTCCGAAGTGGAGTCTGCTTTCAGAGTTTCACTTTCTGATCCCAGTGAAGGAATGCATTGGCCATGCTCCGCTCAACGTTAAAGCGAGACCGAACCTTTTGACCCCGCAGGGAATGCAAGACAGCCAAGGGCCTTGTCGCCCGGATATAGCAAAAACGTGTCGAATCCGGTTCCCCGGCTGCAAACTCACCGGTCAAAAATTTGGTCAACATGAATTACCAGCAAAAAGGCCGATCATTAACCAAGTTGTCTTTTGACCAGTGGGCAATGGAACTACTGCAGAGATAGCATCCTGGCTGTTTGGCAAGCAGCCTTGGTCTTTGCGTAAGGGTTCACTAGCCCTGTGTCAGAATGCTCTTTTCTTAGTGGAAGGGAGTGCCTTATTGCATTCGGTTGCCAGTCCACGGGTTCTGCATACCTTATCGCAAAGCAACTTCGCATCACAGAGTTTACTGCACGGAAGGTGGGGTGTGGGGGGAACGATGGGTATTGACACATGTGTTAGTGTGAATAGTGCCAAAGATTACTTTTCGGAGATGCTTCCCGTCTATCGTCGCTGCAATCTCTCTGCATGGCCCTTGTTAGCACATCGGGATGACGGCTTGCCGATGCTCGGTATACAATACTCATAATTGGGGTGTTCGATATTCATTCCCGAGTGGTAGGATTTTGATGACCCGAAAGTTGCCATGTCATTACAGGCTTGGCGTTTGCCTTCGGACCATGCAGTCTACGTATGGAAAGTAATTCTAGAAACTCTGCGGAGGATCTGTCCGTATATTGTCTCTCAAAGCTTTATATTGACATTCTACCTCCGAATACTACCCTCAATCCGCAAGCCAACTCACTATTGTCTGTTCAACGGGCTGAGCACTCTATTGGATCTACCTTTCCTTCAATTTTTGTGCTACAGCTATTAATCTCATCCAGGAATAGAGAAATTGATATGCCGACAAGGATATTCATAAACAAAACTAAGAGTTATCATACATTCGCGGATGAACGACACATTTGTTCAACAGGACAGGTGGTGCTGACCGCCATATTATGAGATTATAAATTTGCTATCCATTACATCTGTCATCTGGGCGGTAATCTACTAACGTGTGCCCACCATCCCGTCTGGTCTGAGGCGTGAGAGATGCCTGTTGGGGATTATTATCGCGGGTGTATTTATCAGTACTACACGCTCATACGTATACGCATGGAGTCGGATGTATTGGGAAGAAAAAGCACCACCCTAAGTGATCCAATCACATTTGTCAATTTGTCAAGTCTAGTTACAAAAGTGAAGATGACCTATCACATGGTAACATGCCTCAGGAAATATTTAAGGCTCTCACGTCAGCGGACTCGTCACCGTCATATGTTCAGCCACTCGGGGATTCAACTCAACTAAGAGTTGCGGTACACTCCAAGCACTGCTTACTTAGAAAAATATGTATTGTATCGGATACGGGTAATTGCTTACAGCCACCTAACCAACGTTAATTGGGTAAAGTCTGCGCCTACCATTGATTCCTAGTTGTTGTTTACCGACTGCACGTGGCACAAAACCCTCATATCCTTTCAAGCAACAGAGTGCGGCTGTATTTATGAAGTGTCAGTGCAACGGAATGCAGTGAGAAGTGACATCTTTTGTCAAGGGACTTCGCACTTTGCACAGCTCGTCTTGTTTTACTGTACGAGGAAATCTCAAACTGGCAGGCCGAGAAAATGTTGCCTAGTGGCCAAGCTCTCCTATGCAGCCTTCTGCTGGTGCATCAAATCAAGCTTAAAACGTAGATTGACACTCCCGATATAGCACTATTGGCTGGGGTTTGGGGAAACAAGGATCTTTGTTTAAGCCAAGAATGTGGTGCATATAGCCGAATTGAAGGGTCCAGCCCACCAACACACAGTCGTTCCGTCATGACAATAGAGGTTCTCGATTGGTGGCAAAAGTGCCCTATAGGCTACAGCTATGTGGTAGCGGAACGCTTACAGTAGTACTACTTACTAGGTATGCTAGTGCTAAAATATGGTTATTTATCACCACGCTTTCTACGGCTGCATGAATGATACATAAACACAGCTGAAGTTTTCTTCGCGTCTTGGGAGGTAGAATGTAACACTCAAGAGAACTTATGCAAGTTCACATTATTAGCAAAGCTCTTGTAGACGGAGATCATTCGGTGTCTATAAGATTCGGTGCTTATTCCTTTTCCGGATCGCACCAAGGGTCGTTTCACGATAATCATCAGAATTAATATTATCGCGAAAACGTGTTAAATGTCTCATGTTTCTATATCCTTGCCATCCTGTCTTCCCTGGACGACTAAAGTCATTCGTCTATTCATGATAGGTTCTTTCTCAAATCGATATACCCAACCCACCAATGCGCCTGTGGGCCCAGCAAAAATCCCCAAATCCATGCATCCCCTAAAGTAAAGGTTACAAGAAAATATGTACAGTATCCATTTCCCAGAATCCTCGTTAAAATAAAAGTCGTGCCAAACTATTCCTGGGGTATCAAGCAACGTTACTGAAAACTTCCATCTTCACATTACTCCTGGACTCCACAAGCATGTTCACAATGGAGAACAACGTATCTGGCTTCACATCCTCTAGTATCAGCTTGTAGTTATGTCCTCCAGCCGGAACATCGGATGCCGAGCTCATGGTTGGTGGCGTCGAAGCTATTGATTGTCGATGATCTGGAGCTGAGAATGCTTCGGCTAATGCCAAATCAAAATTCATATCTTCACAGTAAAGCTGGTCGATGTCTGCTTCCGTTTCATTTGTAAGCCCACTAACAGTCTGTATGCCCATGTTGTACCCAGTAGGAACCGGGTTTTGGGACAGTGAAATTCCAGGAGACGACGGTTCCGTAGATGAATAGGACATATCGTGGAACTGTAAAGGTGGTAGCCCATCAAAGTTGAAAAGTGAATTTGCATCGTTGTTATAGTGGTTCTGGGATATTTGTTGAGCCGTGAGCTGGAGAGGAAGTCCCGGAAGTGGTAATTGGCCCATCAAAGTGTTCTCGGTTTCGTATTCCATCACATTGTCAGGTGATGTTTCTGTGCGCAATCCTTGGTTCAGTCTTTCCGGTTTGGGGAAGTCGAAACCACTGCGTTCTCGTACTGGAGTGCATTGGGTCGTGGACGCTTTCCTTCGTTTTAATCTACCCTTGCGTTCCATGATAACATATCTACATCAAGAAAAATAAGTAAGTGCTGTGCTGAAATTTTGCGGAGATGCGGGGTTCTCCTAACCTGTTCTTTATGTCCGTTGGTGAGCGGTTTGGGAACTCCTTTTCACTTATGCTCTTCCAACTTCTTCCGTGGACACTGACAGCCTCTAAAAGTCGAGCTTCCTCATCGCTATCCCAATCTTCATGACTAATGTTTGGATCCAGAAAATGGTACCATCTTTTGGCGCATTCTTTTCACACATCAAGTTAGCACTTGAATGAATTGTATTTAAGCATTGCTTGGAAATATACTCACGATCTGCATGCCTTGTCTGTACTATTTCGGCCACCATAGTCCAACTACGAGAAAAGTTTAGCTCTGGAAGATATGCTTTCATGCTTCGGGTGTACATACTAGGTACCGTGCTGCTCCACCCCTCTTCTTAATCGATCGTCTTCTTCATGATCCCAGAGTCCTTTGTTGACCTCTTTTCCCACTTTGCTCCATCTCTTCCGGCAATCTTTATTCGTCCTTCCCCGGACTTTCGACGCGATCAAGTTCCAATCGTTCACGATTCCTCTTTCTTTAACTATTTATCGAAACCATTAAAATTAGCCTATTGTTTGTTTTAATTGCGCGGAGCATAAACACTCCAGGCAAAGAGGTTTTAAAGAAAGTGGGTGGCATTTACATTGCAGTGTAGCTTCTCTGCGCAAGATCTGGTCCTCGTCGTCCGTCCAGTACTTACGAACCCGTGATGGTGGTGATGGTGCTGTGATGTCCATTTGGTACCAACAGAAAGTAACAATATCCGTAATTAGATTTGGTGTGTGGCACAAATGCAAGTTACATATAAACTTTGAGTGCGGTTAAAGATATAGCGATCAGATGAAGGAAGGGGTCTATCTATCGGGCCCGGGATCAAAATCTTACATCAAGACGCGTGCGCCGCTATCATGCATGGTAAGCCGTCCCGGGGGGGCTGGACGAGCCTGCAGTGATACACTTGCTATTTCTTAATTTGACTATCGGAATCTGACTTTATCGTGTTGAAAATTGCATTGTAACTTTGTGGCTTTAACGGTTGTCTTGCGTGCAGCGGGTTGTGCCGAGTGCTTGTCTCATTGATGTCACCGGTGTCTGTGTTACTGAGATATTTTGAGAGAGAAATCACCTTGGGATGTCTGTGATTGGGACAGTTACGAACGAAAGCACGTTGAGTAACTCACTGTGCTTGGCACTACTAATGTATTAGAAACGTATAAAACCACATATATGGTAAGCTCCACGTGCTATGCAACGGTGCAATTTGAAGAACGATTCTTGGTACCAGCAAGGAGATGGAACACTTCTGTTTCCGGTTCCCAATCACTAGAAGCTGTACGATTACGTGAAGCTTAATTGCGAGCTACTAAGTACCTGGAACCCTGGCAAGTGTGCCATGATTGCCCTGGGAACCTCCAAGAAATGGGATTTACACCGATTTGCCATAGGAAATTTCACAATTTCAATTTGTATCTATTTCGCGCACAATTTTAATTTTACAACCATTTGAGGTTAGAATAGAGGGTCATCAGCAACCTTTTTCCATGCAAAATTGAAAGGATCATGAAGGATTTGTGCGGCAAAACTTAAACTCACATTTGCACAGGCGGATATGTTATAGTACTAGTATTGCGTGGTTTGTACAACATAAGGGATGATGATTCGCTGGGAGTGTATCGTGGCCACGTCGATAAGCAGATAAGTAACAAAGTACTTCTACTTTAGCTTATCCTTGACCCATTCGATAATGCCCCCCAATTTTTACGTGGGGCTGCTGCAGCCAGCCATTCGCATTCGTTTGCTACCTGAGAAAACCCCCTGTCCGGACCCGAGTACATCTTTTTTCCTATTGAAGGAAAGTTTTTACAAAAAGAAAAAATACACGACTAGGTATGTATCTTTTATGTACATGAATTTGCGTTGTACCCGGTACTTTTTGGGGGGTAAATCGTTTAGCGGGGCATCTGGCAGAGCATACCCGTCAAATTAGCCGCTATTAGCCTTTCGATTAGAGTCTTTCAATCCATGTGGGTGTGATTCTCCCGAAGCAATAAAAGTTCCAGGAGCGTCGAATTATTAACTTCAAATAATTTCAAATATCGAACCCATCCTTCGCCTAGCTCATGAATTTATATCCAATGGCTCATCTCGCGTGGCTATCTTGGCCGCCACATTGCTTTTCACGACACCTAAAATGGAGTAACTTCCGCAAGGCCAAGCTTTAAAGCATCTAAGATTTAGGACCCCGAATACCCATGGAAATTGCCTAAGGATGCATCAAGCTTGCATCAACAACTTTATTGGCAGTGAAGTGTGCAGCTCTGCCGTCTCATTAGCTTTTCATTCCGCATATAGTCGTGGGAAATGGCTCAGATGACACCTTTTCAATCCGCAAAATATTCTCGAAGATGAAGGGTTCTCAACCGGGATCGGCCCGCTATCTGCTCCTCGCCTTGCCGAGAGTTTAAAATACCGCCGACGGCAAGATGGTTCCTCATTTCAACCTCCGAACTAGAACCTTGACGCGATAGTCTGATAGAGCTGGTACCGCATCGTATTGCCAGCGAGCGATATTGGGTGGGTTTCCGGCATTACGGATGTCAGCAAGTCTTCAGTCTCGTGCATTATTGTCCCGAATCTAAGCCTTTCGCACACAAGCATCAAAGTTCACTGGTGAAAATTTGCGATAACAGCTTTTGACGTATACGATGCAACAGTCCAGCCAGCTTCCTCCGCTTTTAGAACAACTCCACGTTCTAAATTGATATAGCACCAGCATTACAGAGTCACATTTCTCGCGATAAGGAAATTGTCTATCAATGTATTTGATACCCACAGCTAGTTCTAGATTTGGTGGGTCTTTTTCGAGGATCTGCCCCATCTACTTCTTATCAAAACACGTTCTCTGGGGTTAAGACCCTGATTTGCTTCATGCGGTTTGGCTGTTATCGAAATGGGATTTTTGTCTGAGATGGGATTTCCAAGTTTTCGACTCTCCAACACACGGCACGGTGGTCTCTTTTTTGAGCTGTCAGGATGACCCTTGCTATTACTCACACAAGCTTTTCTCAAAAGCTTAGAAGGATCTTCCCACCATCGACCGGACACCGGATTCCTTTCCCAACACAACACCCGCAAGCCACAATACCACCAGATATAGGGCAGCGCATGCAATATTAAGCAGGGAAACACAGTTTTGGCCCTGGTGAGAAGCCGATAATTTAAGGGTTCAACCGAGAGTCATGAAAGTCAACCGCTACACACTATATGACTCAATCCTTCTAGGCTGACACATATCTCAAACATATTTGTGGGTCATCGAGTTGTATGTGTACATCAGGATGACAACCATGGGTTTGTTCGGGAGGAAATGGTAACATCTCTTTCTCCGACGGTTTCCTTGGTGTCATACTTGGGCCAAGACCTCGTTGACACATTACTAAAGCAATCCCTTGGATTTTCTAAGTGCATGGCTCCTATATCATTGTTATTTTTACTGCGGTAAGTTAATTTGACTTCACTTTCTTCGCATCTCAGGCTAGCAGGACGTTCAGAGGCTCTTTTAGGACTGAAGCTTTGAGTGGTTCTTCATTAACTATCACGGGCGAACAGTCCTGAAAACAGTTCAACAGAGCTTTCCTCTTGCTATGCCGGGCTTGAGTTAACAATCGCCACTTCCTATTATCAATCCGCAGCAAGAGTTCTTTGCGGTATGCAAATACACGGTTTAGATATCACCTTTACCTTGCTTGTACGTCTGTAGTCATCAATGCTGATATATCATCACGTAAGTTAGCCCCGCCGTCTTTCCCTCTCTAAGACAGAGCTTCTAGGCCACTGAAATTGATTACCTCAACATTTCATGCAGTGTAGATCTCTCATTTTTATATCCATTTGATGGCGTCAATCCACTTCCCATGTGTTTTTTTTATGTTAGATGCACTCCAATATCAGTATCACCAAGCTGATTCGTCTGTGTCCCATCAGCCGTATTTCTACTCCAACGGTGCCACACAAAGCACCTGACGACGCTACACCCAGTTTGAATTTTGGGGACCCGACCAAAGGCTTCACTCGGGTCCCTTCAGCCTGGCTCACTGCTTACGTTGGTTGGCGCGACAATGAAGTTTCCCGCTGACGGAAAAGATGGACGCAAGCGGCTTATGAAGATCCATAAATTCCCTGTAAGCGCTATGTTTGGTGAAGAAGCCCACACCCTGATGGAGAAGTCCCTGCATAGAGCTTGCGCTTGCGAAATACTTATGGGTGTTCCCGGTCCGAACATGCCTCGTTGAAGATATGCGGATGTTCGGACTCCTGCATGCATGAACTTGAGGTGCATAAGACGATGCCTAGGGCTTTTGACATGGTGCGTTTCACCTCCCCAATGCAGCGTCAAAATTTGAAGGATGCCGAGGCGGGGCAAGGCATAATGACTATTTCCGGTCCGACATGAGGTAATTCGGCTCTCCGCCGTGGGAATTGTCGGGTCAGCCCACTGTTGGAATCTATTCCTTATCAGAGTTTGGGATGAGGTCGCCAGATGTACATGTTGGGTAAACAACACTTTAATAATAGCTCGCCATAGGATCGCTGCCCAAAGAGATAACAAGATCAATGCACGTGGTGCTTGTCTCTCAGATTTCATTCAAGTCAAACAATTTTGAAGTCAAGATAAGAGTAAACGGGGTGCTCCAGCATCTGCGAGATCTTCGGCGAGTTCCCATCCAACGTCCGCTTTCATTCGGTTTATTCAGACATCCTGATACATATTTCATCTGCGGGATCGATTTTTCAGAAGTGTGCTGAAGCTCAATCCAGTCGAATTCGGACGGTATTTGGTTCTAATTCCAGATTCGTCGCTAGACGGTACATTTAGCCTAAGATCGATAAAAGCGAAACGCATAACATCTGCGACAGCCAATATCATGCCGTTCTACGATGAAAGTTAAGTGATTCAAAAACGAAGACCAGCGTCAAAGAATCCCCATCGACAATTGTTTTAGAATGGATGTCAGCTCAAGCACCGTAGAAATCGTCGCAAAAATCGTCGCAAACTCCTCACTTACTTACTTACAAGCGTTACAGAACTTTCCGCCGCTTTACCAAATGATTTTATCATTTATACCACGCAGTGTATATCCGCATTCTGATCAGCTACCGACTTGGAAACTATCAGAAGATTCTCTCCATGCCCCAAGCAGATTAGCCCGTCTCGTAACATCACTACAGGATCTTCTCTTGATTGTCGCCATTGGCGTTGGATCCGAACGTCGATCGTGAATACCATTCTTTCGTTAACCTTCGCTTCCTTCTGTTGAGATATTTGTGCTCGAGTGAGCATGTTTTGGAATTTTACAAACGCTTTTTGACCGTTACATGACAGATGAGAGTTTAAGATCGATAATTCTGAAATGGATGTTAGAAGGCAGCTTTTGCCGGTCAAACTCAAAATCCAACTTTGGCGGCAAACTCTCGATCGTCGATATGAAATTGTGAGTTTCAGGTCGGTCTTGTGTCTTTTCCATGTGTCTTTTTATCTGGCTTTGAAACTTATGGTGTCACTACAATGGAATGTTGATCATTTAGCCGTTATGTAATAATCTACTAGTCAAAGATTTGCCCTTGCCTTCGAAGTCAATTTCATAATATTGGTGGAATCTCCGCACTCGCGAATATTTGACGGGGTGGATTATTTTGTCCATTATCACAATCTCTAGCTAGATTAACGTGACTTCCGCTAACCGGGGTCTAGATTTAGTCTACGGGATTTAAACTCTCCTAACGGTCGCCGGGACTAGACCCCAAACTATTTACCTTAGGGGCTAGAGCCTGAAGTTTAATTGCTTCATCACCTTGGTTCAATGTTCCACGTGCCACAAGAGCTTAAACACAGTCATGTCCCAGTGATCATTCTTCTCTAGTCTGATTCTCACATCCCGCATCTCGCAAACTATATCAATATATCTTTCCATCCATCTCAAGTGACGTCTTTCCCAGCCCCGTCGTACAAGATTCTCTCCCCCCACCCAGAAAGTTAAAGATTAGCGAGGAAGTCGTGCAAATCCATCAATTCTCCACATTGTACTCCTCTCCCCCAGCTTCTAGTCCATGATAATTCCCCAACAATCTCGCAGCTGAAAAGCCAACAATGCCCACATTCTCCACCACATTTTCCCAAACCCCGAATATTAAGCCCAAGAACCATTATATTTCCAGCTATTTCCACATACTAAACAAATCTGTACGTAGCGAAGTTGTACTAAAATGATGTATTGGAAACACAAAAGTATAAACGCAAATATATAAACACAAAGGTACAACAAAGATTCGATATTTCGGCAGCACCGATGGCAATCTTGACTCTGCTTGTTCTTGCGGTACTCGACAGGTGCGTTTGAGTTATCGCTCGGTGACAAGAACCTTGGGAAACAACTATTGGAAATATGAGGGCCGAATTTTTTAATACCTCAGCCTGTTTGCAGATACCTGTGAGAGGTTCTTGGATATCAGAAAGGCTATGAGAGAATTGTTATTTAAAGGTTGGATCGGTACTTGGGAAAGATATCTTGTCTTCACTTTACTTCATTTTACTCGTTCGCGGTCTACTTGATATTATTCACTTCGCAACTTCAATATATTCAATTAGAATACTTCAATTATCAACCAACCCAATCAAAATGCGTCCCATTTCCCTCCTCACAGCAGTTATTCTTCCCCTTACTCTTGCAGCACCCGTACCTGATAAAGGTATAGATTAAAATCCTACATGCCTACATAACCCATTCCTTACATAGAATAAAAAGAAACAACGTACTAAAACAAGTCTAGATACAAACACACCTCAAATCATCCCCCTTCCACCCCCCGATGCAATCCTCGCTCTCATCAACGCCGGGCTCGCCAACGCCGCAAACCCCACAGATGTAGCCTACGTAACAGGTCTCATAGCCGCCGCCGAAGCCGCAGCAGAAGCCGCCGCCGCTGCCCAAAAAGCCAGCGGTTCTACAAGCGGTACCACAAGCAAGAGGCAAGATCTCGGATCACTTCTCGGTATACTTGGAGATTTGCCCTTGGGATCATTGGGACTAGGAGGAATTTTGAAAGAGCGAGATGAGAATACCAAAAGACAAGTGACTGGTCTCCCCGATCTCGCTAATCCCGGGGAGCTCGGTGCAATTTTGGGGGAGCTGGGTCCCGTCGTTGGTGTTGCTGGGGATATTCCTCCTCTAGGTAATGGTGGGGTTTTGAAACGTCAGGATCTTCCTCTTGTGGGGAGTCTTCCTGGTGTTGCGGGCCTTACGAATGATTTACCTCTTGGTTCGCTAGGTTCTCTTACAGGAGGTCTTTTGCAGAATCCAACTGCTGCTACTTCTTTATTGGGGGGATTGAAGGAGAGAGCTAAGAGACGAGAAGTAAAACGTCAGGATCTTCCTCTTGTGGGGAGTCTTCCCGTTACGGGTCTGACTAATGATTTACCGCTTGGTTCGCTGGGTTCTATTACGGGAGGTATTCTGCAGAATCCAACTGCTGCTACTTCTTTATTGGGGGGATTGAAAGAGAGAGCTAAGAGACAAGAAGGTATGAATCTCATTTTTACTTGAAGGCTGAGATTTCGACTTGAAATAGATATCTTGTCCATTGATGCAGTAGCTAACGAGAGATCTAGCAGCAGGTATTTTGAAAGTATAGATTATAAAGTGTGCGGATGAGTGGAATGGGAGGATTAGAGAGATGAGGGGATGTTTTGGGCGTAGCAGCATATGGCAGGATTTAGGGGTACGGGTGGATAATTGTTGGAGTTCCTTTTCAGTTGGTTTACGGTGTAGCGTTTGTGCTAGACTGGGTTACGTTCATTACATTTGGTCTTGTGGTTTTGCTTCTTTAGATCCAGATTTTTGGCAGTCTTGGTGGACGGTTTCAATGTAAGGGTTTTGTGCTTTTCAAATTTTGTAAATGTGCAAGATGGAGTAGCACCACTTTCATTTCATCCCAGAGTTACATCTCAAATGGTCAATCGCTAAGGTATCATGGTACGAATTCACTAATTTGACTTGTCACATTAAAAGTTCAAAGTAGCACGAACTCTGCATCGTAACATTTATTCCGACTAAATTTAGCACGGCGTATTACAAGGAACAGTTTGAAAATTTCACAAGTTTCACAATGATCCAAAAAAGATCCAAGGTAAGAGAGAGTATATTTTTTTATTTATTTTTTGACCACCAGACAAAACTATGGACAATAAAAACACCAAGCCAAGATCATGCTCCTCCCACAAACAAAGCCGTCGCTCAAAACTGGGGAGTGCAAACACCAAATCTCATAATCTCATCACATCATCAGCATGACACCATTTTTAGCGAAAGACAATAATGTCCATCGATCCTCCAGACCAATCAATTCCAGGGATCCAACCAATAATTTTGTGGCGTGTGAGCTAGGGAGTTCGGGCTCGAGAGATCAAAACAGTCGTTATTTAAACATACTTGACAGTAACGGAGTTGCTGCTAGTGGAAACGGAGGTGAGGACGGAGTTTTGTTGGAGGTCGATGATTTGAGCACCGGTAACACCGACGGATTCTCCGTTTTGGGTGGCTGAGGCACCGGTGAAGGTGACAGTGCCGAAGTTGGCGAACTGGACGAGGGAGCTACCTTCCTCGAAATCCTCAACGATCCACTCGGCGTTGTACTCGCAGAGGTCTCCATCAACACCACCGCTGAAGGTGTGGGTGACAGACTTACCCTTGGTAAGGTTGTCGACGGTGGCGGTACCGGTGGTCTTGGAGGAGGCAGTAACGGTAACCTTGATGCTGTCACCAGCAGAGATGGAGATACCGCTGAAGTCGTAGGCGTAGTCTGGGTACCACTCATACCAAGCATCGTAGGTGATGGAGTTACCGGACTTGGTCCAGTCGATACCGGTTTGGAGAATGGCGGTACCACAGGTGTCACCGTCAATACCAACCCAGGCGGATCCAGATCCGGCTGTGCTTGGGGATGGGGCAGTGAAGGTACCGGTTACGGAAGTGTAACCAGTGCCGACGAGGACGGCACCAGCCCAGTTGGAGGAGTAGGAAACATCGGTCTTGTTGGTTGGTCCCTCAACGTATTTGACTGGGTTTCCGTGGGTACGGGCAGCGCGCTTGACGGCACGTGCTTGTCTCAAAGCAGTACCTGGGGCAGCAACGGCAGAGCCGGCGAGGAGGGCGGTAGCAGCAACGATGGAGAACTTCATTTTGATTGATTGGATTGATTGTCGAAATAACGAACAATTGATAGATTGATTGGATTGGATTGGCTGTGAGGACTGTGAAACGATTGATGCTGGACTGGAGAGAAAAGATATTATCCTGCGGATGAAGACAAGATATATATACCCTTTGTGAGCTATTTCGTCTTCACGTATAACTCATTCGCAATTCAATCTATATCTCAACCTACCTTCCTGAATGATCAAAAAGTGCTGTTATCACGACAACATGGGATGGAGACAGCTCGATTTGGACTTCTTCACCGGCACTTGCATGAGGAGTCTAAAATTTTGATTGAGGGCAATTCAACTGTGGATGCCGGCATCTAGCGCTGGCCTGCAGGGCAGGGCAATACCCATATGGATCAACTTGATCACCTTCCTCATTAACCAGCACGCCTGTTGAACATCATTCATCTTGACTGAAGATCTTCGATGATAATCTTCAACTATTGCCATAAAAAGGAGGTCCTCTGATTTCTTATCTGAAAATCCCTGTTTTGGCGCCTATGTACATGTACATTTAACGGGCACAGGGACAGAACGGGACTTCAGCGGCTGTCTCAAATGATCCACCAATAAAAGTAGTCATGTGGTGTGGGGATGAAAGAAGCTTATCTCAAATCATATGTGTAACTCTTATATCCATTTGTAATACCCGCTTGAGCCACATATTGGCCAATGGTTGCATGTATCGTGCATTACATAGTAAGAAAAAGCAATTGCGTTCTTGCAAAATATGGAAGGTATATTATGCAAGAAAGGTCCTTACAGGGAAGTTTGACCCCAGACGTCGCATTCTGTGGGTGCACGGAGTATGCCAGGATCCAATTGCTGGTTTTGGATACATATCGATCGATGGGTGACATCGTTTACATGAAGGATTGTCTATGTATAGTCTATTAGACATAAGCATAAAAAAGACAACTTAGAAATTATAGAAAGATCTAAGGGGGACAGTAACATTGAGAAACGACAAGGAGTGACAACAGATTAGCAAGGAATAAATCAATATGCTGAGCGATCCAATACTAGCCACTCGTTTACTCTATCACAAGCTTTACAAGGGGGTTAAAAGATAAATACAAGCCTTTATGGGGGCTACCAAGATCTAATTTCCCGTCTCGGCAAAGCAGGCCCGTGCCGGCTCCACTATCGGCTATTAAATGCTTGAAGAAACCAAGGATGGTGTAACGCTAGCCTACCATTCTGCATTCCAAAGCAATGAAGCATGCATGCTGAGGTATTTCGTGCTATCTCGAAATACCTTCACGAAACAACGCCATCGATAAGTAGCCACTGAGGTGGCGATCCCCCTTGAATTAAGGGGATATTCCGTGTTACGAGTCAACCTTCCTGATATAGTCTAATCGATAGTATTCTTTTTCTCAGACCTTTCGAGTTATCATGTGAGGATCAGGATGTAACGGTCCTGAAGAGAAAATTGGTCTTCTCTTTGATCGAGAATTTCATTATCAGTTTGTGTATGTGTAAGCTTGGGTGGCCGAGATAAGGCATGCAGCTTCACTTGGCGATGGAGTGATTGGGATGACGAGGCCTTTCTTGGCGATGCCAACCGATGCCAATCTACTTGGCCTACTTAGCCCACTTGGCTGCAACGCCGACGGCTATTGTTGTTGCATTTCTTCAAAAATGCCCCGCGCGGGCATATGGTAGGCAGTTTAGGGCTTAAGTAGCGTGATAGCTTGGTGGTGTGGTGGATTCCATTTATCCGGGTCATTTAAAGTTCAAAGATATCGGATTTAACACGGGCTAAATGTAATCCTTGTCGGTTCCTGAAAATCAAGTCATTCGCTGCGATAGTAAATGGCCCCTCTTTCGAATAGCATAGAATCTTCATGTTGAAGGAGTCGTTGCGTCTAGCAGTATTTGTCATTTCTTAACTAGATGTCGTATTTTCTGTCACTTCCGTGCCATTTCCATGCTTACAATCTCAAACACAATTTTGTATCCGGTGCCTTCTGATTTGACATCTCCTATGAATCTTTGACAAATCGACACGATTTCGCCATCTTAGAAATTTGCCTGTCGCGAAGTACTGAACTGTTTACAACATGAGAACAGTTATTCCCTCCTTTGGGAACTCGGAGGACATTATTCTCATTCTATAAGCGTCGTACCGAGGCTAGCAGGAGTTGGAGAATCCATAAGTTTTGCCTTGATACATCCTCATTGACCGGCCTCTCATAAAAACTAGACACAACCATAACGGTTGCTGACTGGATCCTTCTATTCCATAAGGACCGTCCACATCAGGCGAAAGACATTGGACTGACTTGGCACGAGTATGGTGAAAGAGGGGGGAGACAGTGGGTTGGTATACTCGTATCCAACAACTTAACTGCTCAAACACTCGAGCGCAAGAGCCGTGGATGGAAAAGGTTACACGCATTCTCTAAACATTTCTTCTTCTGTCTATTCCTTTCATTCCAGCTTCTATCCACTTTCAACTTCTTATCTGCACCAAGTCAGTCCTCGTCGGGAGACTCAACGATTAAGAGTGGCATATTTCAATGTGACTTAGGTGTTATCTTCCAGATAGCATTAGCAATGTCGAATGTTTCAGTGAATCCTATGCATTCTTGTTCTTGTACTCCTCTGAATGTTTGAGAATAAGGTGACGAATTGACGACGCCGCGAAATTCTATTGGCATAATGAAGTGACTGCACATGCTCGTAAATTTTGTAAACAACGTTGGACAACAGCAATTGACAACTGTTGTAACTTCACTCGTACCTTACCTGCTTAACCCCGCCTTCTGCCAACTGCCCTATTATCAACAGGGGCACTTGTCTTTTTCCTCCCACTCTCCCACCGGCCCGCAGATATATGAATATAGATTGTGGGGCGACAGTGGAGTCAACTCCATCTTCAGTATCTTGCCTCCGTGCGTGCATGTCCCACCATCAAGTCCAGACTAGAACTGTGGATTATAGTGGATTCATCAGTATGATGATGTTATCTGCTGTACTTTTTTGATAAGGTACATCTGTCGGGGATGACCGGCAACACTACTCGGCAGGAACTTTCCGATTTTCATTCACAGAAGAGTCTCTTCGACGTCTCCCCCAGCTTGCACCATGGCTCAACAACAACTCCATTATCTCTCCTTTAGGATTATAGAAATTGGCCCAATACATAGGACTTTCCCCAACATTATTAGGAATATTCGGATCCGCGCCTCGCTCTAGCAAAATTCTAACAACTTCAAGATGGCTTCTGTAACAGGCGACATGTAGAGCGGTCGCATGTGCTCTGCCTCCGAGCTCATCAATATTGACATCTGTCTCGGTGTCTAGAATTATGCGAACAATATCTGCAAGCCCAAAAGACGCTGCATAATATAGAGGATGTGTTCTCGTCACATATGAATCTTCAGCAGGAGCCGATGGCATGATCATGCCAAGCCAGAAAGCGAAGTTGCCGCCATTTGGAAGATTGTGAGTTTCGAAAAAAGCCTGGAGGAGCTGTTGAGTACGAGGTAGAAGATAATCGACAGGATCGCCAGGCGATTTGTTGACATATTGTGGCCAGTTTGTGGTGATGTGACGAAGGAAAGGATAATCTCGACGGCGGCTCCTGAGTAGTTGTCGATCATGTCCTCGGGAAAATTCACGATTGAGTAGGTACGCGAGACAAGCTTGAGCCATGAATTGGCGAGCAGCATGTTGAGTGAAGTGGAAGGGTGACGACTCTGAGTGTGTGAGATAGTCTGCTACGGATGCATGTGCAAGTTTCACGGGAGGTGAAATATACCCAAATTTCTGCTTAAGCAGATCTCTTTCCCATCTAGCTTTTTCATCTTCATCTTGTCTTAAGCTTGGACCACTCTTAGTTATGAGAGATGAGCATATAGCAAGAACTATTTCGGGATCGAGAAGTCGAGAATCTTGATCAAAGCACGGTGGATCAGAATCAAAATCTATGGCCAAAATTTCTACCAGTTCCTCAACATTTAGTGGTTTTACAGCTACAGTAAGAGCTTGAAGAATCTTTGAAACTTCCCACTGATGTTGGATATCGATCTGTTGTAATATTCGCTCGTAGGTTTCGTCTAGACTTTTGGGCAATGTTTTCATCGCTTTTCGTATCGCTGATACGCTTGTGCATTTTCGAAACATATCTAATTGGCAAGCCACCCATCGAAACCTGTGTAGTCACTTAAAAGCTGTCCTTACTCACAGCGGGGATCCTTATGTACTTACATGCCGTCCCCTTCCCGGATTAGCTTGAGCTCAACTTGGGTTCGAATATCTCGGGGCCATTTCGACATCATTTTATCGTGCTTCATTTTCTCGGAGACGAAATACTTAATATCAACCCTTGCTGAAATAGAATCTTGTAAGCAAAGCCGATCACTGACCAAGGGAGACAAGACGTCTTCGATTTCTGCTAATTGTCGACTAGTGACTAACAAGCGCAATCTTTGATATTGCCATGATTTGATAGTGGAAATAAATGATAGGACTTCTTCCTTTCTAGCAGCTTCATCAAGTGCATCGAAAGTAATGTAGACATGATGAAAAGATAATAGAATGTTACGGAAGCACTCAAGAAGGGCCTCATCCGTTGGTGACGTTGATTTCCTTAAGCGTGATTCCTCAAAAAGATCTGTCAGCGGCCGAGGAATATTATTGCTTTGCGCTGAGAGTTGAGCAATCAAAGACTTGAGTGCGCCAGTTAAATCTCCGTTAAAGTCGAAGTAAAAGTATGCGAGTGCTATAGTAGCATGTTGCTGAACTTGACCGACCAAATGCTCTATGATTGTAGAACTAATAAATAGATATGAGCATATTGTCGAAGAAGATTTTAAAGTGTTAATTACCACAACACAGTCTTCCCACTGCCAGCTAGGGTTGAATGATCAGTCAATATCATCACTTAAGATTATTTGACTTACGAATCCCATAAAGCCATAAAAATGAGCCCCCACCAAAAGACCATTCCTCGTATTGCTTGCTTGTTAAAAACCATGCTCCAGTATTTGGTTGATGCTTCTTCAATGTCGCAGCATGCGTAAGAAACGGATCTGGTGCTGCTAACCATTCATAGATATGTCGACGCGTTTGATCTATGCGATATGTCAATTTCAACCATTCCCAATCTTTCAACGGCTTTGACTCTGGGCCGAAGTCCCTACCACAGTATAGAAATAAGAGGACGTATTCCTACCTGCAAATTGATTCTCAATCCTATTCGTAAGATTCAAAGCCAAATTCCTAAAATTATAAGCATCCCCGACCTCCAAAAATCTGATCAACTCACGTCTGATCCGCACTCAGCCCCAAGAGCAACGTACTCTTCAACCTCTCCAAAACACTCAACGTCTTCCTAACCTCACCCTCTTTCAGTGGCCAAACTAGTACATTTTTCAATCCTATCCAACCATTTTTACCCACACCCCCTTTTTCCAATTTCTCCCTCAAATTTTCCAACTCTAATTTACACATCGAGAGAGGCCCATCATCTTTTAGCAACAATTCGAAGGTAGAAAGCTGTTTTCCATCCGCCTCAGACTTTTCTGCCAATTTGAGTAACGAATCCAGTAAACCCTTTAAACTATTCAACTCATCCTGAATCTGCACAATTTCTTTCGAGGCATGTTTGGCACCTTGACGATAATCGTAGCAGAAGGATATTAAGGAGCCAGTGATTTGGAGAACGGCTATCAAACTTGCGGATATGCTTAATGGGTCCATGTTGGGAGTGAGAGTGATCTGTTTAAGGATAGAATTTGTGTATGATTTAGAGCATAAGTTTGCTAGCAAGAAAGGAAATGTACAACTTACTTATATATGGTATATGGAGTATATGTACAGATAGAATATGACTTTTGTGATAAGCCAAGCTTATGCTGTGTTTTCAGCTTGATCACGTGATATTAAGGTTATCATCTCGTACTCTCTCACCAAAAAAAACCCACAAAACTCCACCAACCCACTCACTCGTCCACCCCGCCAATATATATATCGATATCCTCCTTACTCGCAACTCGCAACTCGCAACTCGCAACTATAACTAGCGTTTGTGGTTCACAGGTCTATTATTGTTGCAGATGGGGTTATATCATCTACCTATTAAGGCTCGGATGGACCATCCAGACTGTATCAAAATATGGGCGCCGTATCAAACAGGCTCCCATCAGCCCAACGCCACCAAACCTCTGAGGTTATCCCTTGATCAACCCCTTATTAATCAATAACCAACCACCCACAGCAACCACAACCAACTGCCATCAAAGTAACAACGTTATCACTGTAGAAATGGTGGCCACGTTGAGGATACACAAAATAGAGCCAGACTCCTTTCGCCAGCGGATTCTGGCACAACCATCCTCTTATATTCCACCCATACTATGGAAACCTGAAATATTGGATGATATCGATTGCGATGTCTTGCCAAACATCAGTGAAGACAAGAGCAACAACAGCCCTAATTTAACAACAGAAGACCCTCATGCCGGATACACAACACACATCATCATAGCAAGAAATCGCCGCCGGGACGAAACTAGCAGGCAACTTTTCGGCTCTGCGATACACTCCTACCGGTCGGTTCTCAAGTCTAGCGGGTATGTAGAATTTACCCATAGCTTGAGTCTTCCGAAAACTAAAAACCTGCTAGCTACTCATCACCACATCTATATCTTGACGGCAAGTCTGTTTCACCAACTACTCCTCATTACCTCTGTCGATCGACGACTACTTCGAGGCCAATTTTAGCATATGTTGATAAGAATTGGTTATGGAGCAAACTAAACCAGTACAGTTATCGTCGACGTCTTAGTTCAGTAGCGCTAAAGATAGCTCATGGAATTTCCGAAAACATGACCAAATTAGACTTTGATCCTTATATTGCCTGTCTTTTGATTTCAATGGCTCAAGACTCATGTTCCTATACCTCGGATGATGAAATACCTGTATTGCGAAGTTCCCCCATTTTGAAATTTTTCACAATGCTGATTTACTCCTAGGTTCATGTATTCTCTCCTATTGGGTTTCTTGAGACTAGAAAGAGCATCCGATTGAATTGATTGATTCTCTAGCTAAGCAGTTAAGCTGCGAGTATCTATTCAAAAAATGAAGGAATAAGGTTAGGTATTCAGCCTTCGGAATTAAAGTGCTTTGAAATCAAAATATTGAAAGCAAACAAACAGTATACCAAAAAGGAAAGAATGAATTAAAAGTTGAGTTTTGTTTGCTCCTTATATGCATCATGCAATATATATGCATATGCTGCCAAGATCCCAGGAGGTCAACAGAACCCGTAAATATGCTTATATCGCTTGGTAGTTCTATCATAATCAGTGGCGCTCATTAACAGGATTTGGAAAACCCACGTGATGACGAGCTTTTGGCCATAGCTGACCCGTTCGTGTCTATACCAAGTTTTTTTTCCCAAAGACGCAAATTATCTTCGCTAATCTGATGCTTCCTGATACGGACATAGCTTTCCTTCCTTTTCTCCCTTCGCCGTTGGATATGTTTTATGACTGCTTTTCGTTCCCGTTCCTCTGTGTTTCGGTAAATACCCATTAGCTTGATTTTCCCTTTGTATTGACGTTCGCTATGCGAGGGTTAGCAGATGCACCACTGGTATGAAGTCCTATGAAAACTCTTGGTTACTCACCTAGCTGACCATTTGCATTTTTCGTTCATTATCCGACGAACCTCTTTGTAAGACTTCTTTTCGGTGACATAGAGTTGGAAGAGCAGATTTTCATGATCTGTCCATTTATTTGAGGTGATAGTCGCATGATCGCGGGCTCGCTTTGGGCCTGGTGGTTTCGGGGTTTGCTGTTGGGTATTGGCCATTTGCAAATCAGGTTGAGCTGAAATAAAAAACTCATTATAAGAAGCGAGCCCCTGTGGTATGGGAGGTTGCTGTTGAGTACTGGCCATTTGCAAATCAGGTTGAGATGGAATAAAAACCTCATTATAAGCAGACGCCGGTGATGCCTGTATCATCTGAGAATTGGGTGGGAATGGCTGTGCACGTGGCTAACTAGAGAATTTGTGCTGATGAAAGGAGGAAGTAAGTGCGGGTCAATTTGATCGTTCATCGAAACCCCTATAACATTTTCACTACCGTGCGCAAGAACGTAGTTATTCTGATTAGAGGACAAGTTATGAGCAATAAGGCTGGGGCCAGCGCGCAAGGGCTGAGGCTGGAAATAGAAAGGTGGTGGGTGTTTGTTGTACGAGAGGAAATGTGTTCATGTCTCCCATCTCGGAGTTCGTATTGTAAGGAAAGTTTGCCATTATGTTTTTGATGATTGTGATGGATGAGTTTGACGAGTGGAATGTTGAAGTTAATAAGTAAAATAATGAGAAACTTGGAAGTGTCATATAAGTGAGCTTGACATCCTATTGCTCTATCACCCACCGTGGATGCCTTTGGCTAAGAATTCATTTAATCCAATTAAAAAAAGTCCTATATTTTAAATATGCCTTGCTTACACTTGGCAATGTATTCCAACCCACTCTTTTTCGCGAGGTTATACAAAAAAAAGTCCTATGTTGTGATTGACCTATAACAGTATCCTTTACATTTGGTAATACATACCTGCTGCTCCCCTCCTCCTTGCGAGGTTGTACAAAAAAAAAGTCATATTTTGCTAGTAAGCCGATACAAATGTCGTTGACATTCAGCAATAGCATATCATTGGTTTCATCTTTTATAGGATCAAACCGAAAAAAAGTCCTATTCTGAAGGTTGAACTACGTCGATATCTTGCTTTCAGTGAACACTGATATACCGCTAGCTTCTTCTTCATGAGATCAAATTAAAAAAAGTACTATCTGTCAATTGACCTATAGTATGTCTTATTTACACTTCGCAACGCATGCCCGCCAGCCTCTCCGTCGTACCAAAGGAAGTCTTATTCTGCATAATCCTTGAATCAACAAAGTATAATCAACTTTGAATTGGCTAGGGAAGAACTTTATCATTTCACGGCTAGGCATGGCACCAACGATAAGTTTTCGTCCGCGGTCTGGGAAATCATAGTATCTTAGAACTTTCGTGGAACGAACAAAGAATATAAATCAGGTACGATGTCCCCCTATGGGACCTAGACCCAGATCCAAACATCAAACTTTGAACAGTGAACCACACGTATCATAGCAGCGGAAAGCCTCTTTCAACACTACCAACCAAGCCAAAAGCGCTTCAAACTTCTGCTCTATTTCAACTTGCATTCGTTACCTGGTAACTTGACTCCTGATGCCTGCTCTAAATGATTCAATGAGTTTAGACTAATAATATTTACAGCTCCTCTTGCCCCGTCTTCATCATGGGCAACTTTCTTTCGAAGATCGGAGCTGCCACTGGACGATGGATATTTTTCTTTTTCACTTCGAAATTCGGCGAAGACACGGTATCATCTGATGCTCAAAAAGGAGATTTCTTCCAAAAAGTCCTCATTTACAGCAAACAAGATTTAAAGGTCATCAAGCGTGGGATGGTCTTCATCGATCCTGGAAATTATGGACCAAACCTGATCACCGACGAGGCGATGCGTTATGTACACGGCCAGCCGACAGATTCCAAATGGACCATCAGGACCTATGATGGCGACGAGAAGGAAGTTGGTGGAGAGAAGGAAGTTGACGGAGAGGTTGAATTGAGCTTTTCTGGCCTTGGACCAAAGACCAGATTCTACACTAACACATTCCGCCATGTGCCCCACATCATCGATGGCATTGACATGGTCCTCAATCATGATTTTTACGTTGCAGTGTTTCCGGACAAGATCCCACCTATGTTAATGATGAGATCGGGGGCAAAGAAAGAGTCTCAAGGCATAACCCTGTTTATTACTCACTCTTGAAATCCCCCAAGACTAATTCGAACAAGATCGGAAGCAACAGAGAGAAGCGCATGGACGTATACAAGAAGAGAATGCGCAGCGGCAGGAGGCAGAGCGTCAAGAAGACATTCGAGCAGCGGAAGAAGAGAGACAAGCTGAAGGGGAACAGCATTGCAACCACTCTAATCATTCTTCGGGGGAAAATGGTGGATCCTCTGGCTACTAAGTCTAGGTGATGAATGGAAGCTGCTACCGTTATGAATGAGGGGAGCATACTCGATATGAGATGAGTTTGAAAGTAGTGCGAATTCAAAGGAGCATCGATGAGCACTTGCATGGTAGAAAATAGTTTAGATAATTTGGAAATCCAAAGCAGAATTTATGTATGTCTTTTATCCCATAATTTGTCGCATGGAAAGGGTCAAGATGAGGTGCTTCCCACAAATACGACTTGTACACTTGCGAACCTATCCATAGCAAGATGTTAGCGACGGCTTGAGACACAATCGTAAACCACTCACGCAGCAGTCGCGGCAAATATATCAACTCTCTTCGCCTTCGTAGTCACCACTAGCGCCAAAGCAAACACCACTGTGAACAGAGCGATTATGCCTAACCTTGCCAACATTTCATGAACTGAATACAGGACTACAACAGCCAGAACGGGCAACGATGAAGCGATGGCTGACCCAATCATATCAGCTATCCTGATTACAATCTTCTCATTGTACACATATATCAGGCTCTCCTCATCGGCCTGTCGGCGACGGCAGCGCATCCTGAATATGTGGTAAATTGCTGTCAGGGGTTTCCGCGGGATTCTCGTGAAAGATTCAGCCGCTATCTCATCAGGTTTGATGACCAGCAAGTCCTTCCCTTCTTTCCAGACGTTTCTATCTAAGCCTTCAAGGGCACAATCATTCTGTCTCGAATCGACAAGCCAATGGTTCAGGAATTCGAGGTTTCCGGATTCTGGCAGATCGAAGGTGGCAAGTTGACGTTGTTGAAAAAGACACTCATCTAAGCATCTGTTAATAACAAACTTCTGTTCGCTCCGTCCAAGAGCGTCCTACTATACTCTTTCAACTTCTGTCTCACGCACAACATTGTGTGGTACTGGGAGTTCGCTACACCATTTTTTCTTTCGCTCAAATAATACCAATTCTTCTGGTAGTGCTTTGCGTTTAGATCTTCAGACATACAGTCATTCTTTGTGAATTGATTGAGGTCGGCTTCGAGGATAACGAGCTCTGCTTGGAGATAGAGAAGATTACGGGCATTGAGAGTCGAAAAACGACGGTATATCCCTAACTGAGAATAGGTACCCTGAAGGGCAGCAAGTTTTGGATATCCCTCAGGCTGTGTTTTCATCCTAGCCTCTGGTGTTTTGAATCGGAAAATGAGAGCTTGACTTTGCAAATTGAATGAGGATGATGAGATAACTATGCTTAACAAGACAATCTGAATTCAGGTGAGCAGAGACATAAGGCTTTTGAGAGCCTTATCGTTGGGCATAGCTCTCTGCTCCGCCTTGCCATTGCTGATGTCACATGCGTGTGATCCTGATTCAAAATAAAAGATATCGCTCATGTTACATTAAAAATGTGGCATGAATTCGCTCGTGTATCCAACACTGCTTTAGTGGCTTAGCAGTAGAAACGAATGGTGTAGAAACTATGGTGTTTCTTACTTGTACCACCTCCGTTTCCGGCACCAAGAAGAGGTAGAGGAGTGATGGGGGAGTGATGAAGAGCTGGCATTTGATCAAAAGAGCTCTGACTACTTTGCTTCATAATTGCGTGTCCTTTATGAAATGAAGGTTAATAATATTTGGTCTTTGAGTGAGGGAAGCGATGGCTATACGTAGAAGACTTCACCAGCTTAAATACAACTCGTTTAGCTGACAAGTGAGTGTATTATCGGCCCTAATTTCAAGGTTCACATCACCGTTGTTTCGCTGACTTTGAATTCTAGACAGTAAACCGTGCTAAATATAATATCTAAATCCCCCGCTTTACTCATCAATCACCAGTAAGCGTTTGTGGTTTAATGGTAAAATCCATCGTTGCCATCATCATCTTTTCTCCAAAAGAGATTGTGAAACAACGTCGATGGGCTCCGGGTTCGATTCCCGGCGAACGCAAAAAAGTAGTATTCTTTTGCTTTTTGTGTCTCTAATATTTTTCGTTTTGAAAAGATTAGTTGGGTGATTGATATTTTATGATTAAGATTAAGATTTTGGTGATGGTGATGGTGATAGTGGGGAAAATGTAGGGTTATGGAGTCGTTGATTTGGATGTTACGTAGTAACAGTCAACCTGTCCATATGAGCTCAGACCCCGTGGAAAAGCAAACCGATTCACATACAAAATTGTATGGTAATCGGTTCGTAGAATCTCCCCACCTTCAGCAAGCACAGACATATGTTCTGATTGAAATCACGTGATGGATCTAAGGATCTAGAGGATCTAGATAATTAAACTCTAGATCCAGTAGATCCAAGGGATCCAAAAGAATACAGTAGAATATGAAGTTCTATATAAGGGATAGGTTTTCATTTGTAGAGCTTCGTGCTCAAGATCAATCATTTAGTATACTCTACTATTAGTTACGAATTACATATCATTATTGTCATTACTTTAAGTCCCTGCTTGACGCCTAGTTATAAACCACCTCGAGAGCCTAGAGCACTTCCACGTGATCTAGACGGCAAACCTCGTAACATTGGACTTACTATTTATTGAAGACCTTTAAAATTCAAATACTAGATTAAAACAAATATTAATGAAATTTCTTTTAAAGGTTTGTTTATAATACTCATTTAACATATACATCAATATGAGAATTGGAACTCCAGTCCAGATTCAGCAAAATCAAATCTAGAGGTCATATCATACATACATAACCTTAACATCGACCAATACTCTTCTCTTTCTTTAAACAAAGTGGAGTTGATGGCCACGATAAACCTCTCTTGTCCTGAAGGATCATTAAGTATAAAAAGATAGAAGTGGTGAGAAGATGTAACGATACTGTACTGGAGGCAGCGGCTGCCTAAGGTTTCGTCTGGTTGGTTGTTATGGGTTAAGGCTTTATCACTGGTATTCACTTGGAAGTGAATTCGTTACTAGATCAAGTAGAATGTAGGTAAACCAATTGATAACTAAGTTGAGCACGAAGCTCCTAAACTATAAAACTACTCTGACTATATAATGATCGATAAAGGGAGCCCCTAGGAGCCAGAAAGCTCCTAGGGCTCCTTATCACGTGATTCATTTTCATCCCATGACACTAATCCTAATGGTGAATCGTGACAGAGGAGTGGAGAGGGTATAAGCAAATAACAAGCATTACCTATCCCATGTTAATAACACAATAAATACACATTGAGCCCTAATCTGGATATGATAGTATCTATTGAATACCATAATGTCAAATGAAATTACTATTTCAGAAAGTAAATTAAACTAGCTAGCTAATCATGCTCATTTCATCCAGTGATGAAGGTTCTCATTATGGTATCTTCATAACCTACCGCGTTGAAATATGCCCAGACACTTTGCCTCCATACTCCGTAACACTCATTATAAAGTACAACTATCTATACATATACTTCTTGCCCCTCTCCAACTACATTAACCCCCTGAATGCCATCCACACTCAAAAATCCAGATGCAAATCATGTGGACCTCTCACTTTTTTCCTTTTTCCGGCGTATTTTTCGCCGAAGATTCCTTCGCTATCGTCTTGCTAACCTTATCTAATTTCGTCTTTTGGTCATCGTCCAGAGCATGAAACCACTCCCTCAATTCTTTCATATGTTTCTTCTCGCCATGACCATATTCAACAGGAGGTCCTCTAACTTCAATTTCTGTACCTTCATCCTTGAATACTGCCCAACTGCTTGTTTCCTCAGATTTTAACGCGAAGCCTTTACCTTCGACTGGTAAAACGCTGAAATCTCTCAGTAGAACTCCGTCTCCAATTTCAGGTGTGGGAAGAGCATCTTTGTATGGACGGAAAATTCTTACTTGGACTACTCCAGAAGGGGCAATAGTTTGATCAGTAACGGTGAAAATGCTAGTGTAGTGTCTTGGTCCCGACTTTACTCTGCGGGGTTCTGGAGGTACGCTCGTCGCGATCGCCAAAATGTCCAGTTTGGAAGTCATTTTAAAACGAAGCATTTTGAGAGTTGTGTATTCACTTAAATCAGTACGAAGGTATTTAGTTAAACGGACTTTGGGATCGGTACATGCACGTGCTCTGAGGTGATGGCCAGCCTTTGTAGGTGATGCGGGTGATTCGGGTAATTCGGGCGATTCGAGTGATTCTAGTGCCATTTCAGCGCTTGCATCATGCCCTTCTGGTGTTTTCTCTTCGTCGATAATTATCGACGGTGATCTCCTGGAACGATCGCTACCACGTGTAGATGGCATGTCATCCTCTTCGTTGGATTTCGTTGGAGTTGTGAGAGTAAAAGCCTCTACAACCGGCTCCATCTTTTTTGATCGGGTTTGCCTGGGACTGAGAGTGGCCGATCCTTTCCTACTCCTTTTAAAGTCAGGTGAAGGTGAAAGATCCTTGCTGGATCGTGTTTGCCGAGGACTAACGGGCCTTGATTTGGTTTCCGTACTCTCAATACCAGAGGATTTTCTTTTGCGGTTACGGTTTCTCGACGAGCCTGAAAAATCACGAGTGGTTCCTTTGATTTGCTCTAGCACAATGACTTCGGTTTTTTCAACCACAGCTTCAGTCTCCTCGAGAGTTTGCTCAATAGACTCTTCCGCGATTTCAGCCATATCCATGTCTTGTCCCAAAATGCTATCACCAGCCATTTTCGTGAGAGTCTGCTGAGTTTCGAACTCTATCATTTCGGCTTTTCTGATATCGGCTTCGATTTGTTTAATATCAGATTTCTCATTCCCAACTTCTCCACCTTTATCGGCCTCCTCGTCTACCACCTCCTCGTCTGGCGCTTCCTCGTCTACCTCCACATCCTCTTCTTCAAATTCCCCCGCCACCTCTTCCTCCTCCACCACATCTTCTTCCTCCACCACCTCCTCTTCCTCCAGCTCCTCATCCTCGGCTAAATCGTTCTCGACAGGATTTTTGTCGACATGCTCTACTTCGGTTTCGATAATTTCAGTCTTTTCAATCTCAGTCACCTCCGCGTTGGTGAATTCAACCTCAAAATCTTCGAGTTTAGGCTCAACCGCATCGTCATCATCTCTATCCAAAGCATCTGTCTCTGGAGACACATTCTGATCCTCATCAATTGCTTCTTGAAAAGAAGATTGGCCTTCGTCATCAATGGAGTCCGTTGACTGATCCTTTGCAATTTTCCCATCGCTATATATCATTTCTGAATCTTCATCCATCTCTCCCATTTCTTCTTGTAATTGAGATTGGACTAAGTCTGACATTGAAGTAAAAGTGTCCTCGTCAAGATTCATCATTTGAGTATCGTCAGGGGTTGGAAGTTGGTCATTTCCATGGTTTGTTGTGATTTCAGTGCCATGAGTAGGCTTCTGGGATTGTGAAATTTGTTCTGATTCATCAATTAACTCCTGTTGATCTTCTGGCTCAGTCACTGGCAATGTAGGATACAATATTTGACCATTCTTATTCTTGTCAGCATCCTCGCCAGTATCATTGGCGCCATCTATACCAAATGTTCTCGAGAACAAGGTATCCTCCTTAGGTAAATTAGCCCACCCAGACTTGGCCGCTCGATCCTTAATACTTTGTTCTGTAGAATTGGGTATTGTTGAAGCATTAGATACCTCCACAGCTATTGGTGATGGTAGCAAATCTTCGAGAGCAGCATTGATAATATTTTCACTATTATCGCGCTGTGTTGGGCCATGGGAAACCTCAGTTACTGTTGCTGAATATTCTGTCGGTCCGCTTGGCTGGGTTTCTTGTAGGTAGGTCTCATCAGCATTTGCTCCATCCGGGTTTTGGACATTTCCTTCATTCTCAAAATCTTCAACGTCGTACTCAGCATCTACTGCAACATTTTGAGATATAGCATGGAGGGTATTCGAAGGCCCCTGCTCCACCTGCATCTTCGATTCGGCTTTCTCTAGTTGCTTAAACAAGCCATCAAGATTGTGGGTTGCGGTGGCAGCAGAGGTATTGTCCAAACTGGTTTCAACATCCATAGGCTCGGGAGAGTCTAGGTCGGTAGTAGCCTCTTGCTCGGAGCTGATTTGGGATGGTGGCGATTGCTGTGCACCCCTTGACTCACCCCGGCTCAGATTTACATATACTTGAGCCTCAAAACTAGATTCCGATGCCTTCGATATTATTTTGGGCATTTGCGTGCCAGTTTCAATACTGTCATTGCGCCCATTGACTAGCGTACTTTCGATTTCCATTGATTCGTCCTCAACCAACGCGTCAGGCTGGGGATTTGTGGTAGAGATTTCGTTTTTGATTTCTTTACCAACAACATCTAGATTTTCGTCGTCCTCATTTTCTTCCTGATCCTCGTATCTATCTTTCTCTTGCCCTGATTCTAGTTCCTCATCTTCGATATCGTCCCCGATTTGATCAATAGGGCTTCCTGGCTCATCTTCATCATCGGAAGACAAAAGGTCTATTACTTCTGGCTCTCGTGGAGGATGTTGTTGCAGCGGCGTTTCATTGTTCATTTCGTCTTCACTGTAGTTGTCCTCATCATAATCATTTCCACTACCGTTATCATCCTCTTCAACGTAGTCGTCCCTACCTCTTAATTCCATATTTTCGTCATACTCGTCAGAGTAACCCTCCCCATAATCATCTACTTTATCCTCATCGTCATACGTATTGTCCTCATATTCTTCTCCTTCGTCATCATGGGAACGTTCCTCTCCATAGTCCACTGGTAAATGAGAGCTAGACATGTACTGCTGGCTGTTATCTTCAACTTCAGGATATCCATCAGCATCTTCGTCCTCGTCGCTACTCTCAGTCAAATCTACAGGTTGAGATTTGGGAGATTGATGAGATTGAAGGGATTGGTGAGATTGATTACTTTGGGATCGAACCATGGATGGCATAGATGGTTGTTGAGGATATGGACTGTGGCTTGCAGATTCATGACTATTCTCGAGTTCTGGATAGGCCATACTGGATTGAGCTCCCCAATTATTTGATTGAGGATGTATCTCTTCTGGATCGGGATAGTTATACTGAGCTATATCTTCCTCTAACCCACTATGAACATACTGGCCTTGTTCTCCTGGAGTTTCAGCATAAACATGAGCTGAGGTATAACGATCAGATCCAGAGATATTGTGATGTGAAAAGAATTGCTCTGCACCTCCTGCACCCTCTCCAGCCTCAAATTCATCATGATCGTGAGGAGTGAAAGTGGTTTCCATATTTGGAGCGCCATGTTCATCCCCAGAAAGAATTGTAGATGTTTGATAAGTATTCTGGTCTGAGTTCGGTTGATTGCTCGTATGGCTCCCAGGCCTGGCACTATGTGGATCTTCTTTGGCATCAATTTGATCATCCTGTTCCGGTGAATCAGCCTCTCCTGAGTATATAGCTAGGACATTCGAGTTGTTAAGATCCTCATTATGGTCATTTTGTATGTGGTTGTTGAACGTTTCAATCTGGCCTGTTGCCAATGGGGAGACTAGAGGTAGACCTTCTGATGGCAAAGGTCGTAACTGCGGAGAATGAGGTGTCTTCTCATCTGCATTATCAGGCGGGTTTTGTTGTTCCTCGACTTCTGGAATAGCAAGATCATATTGCTTTCTGGGGTGTGGCATTGTGGCTGTGGTCGCTTCTTCGATCTGTGGTTCTCCATTGACTGCGGCATCTGCATCCACAGCCTGCGCAACGCCATTTACTTTAACTTTATCGACGACTATAGGTTGACTTTGTTCCAATGTTGGTGTTGCTTCAGCTGATACCCCAGTTCCAACCTCTAGAGTCTCCTCCTCCACAGTCTGGACACCCTCATCCGTCATGGCGGGCGCATGCTGGCTTGCCGGCTCCTGAATATCATGCTCCGAATGCGCTGCTACTGGCTCTTCGACCTCTGGGCTGGGACTTGGCGACCTGCTTGTGAATCGCCATGTTGTACTAAGCCTAGTCCTCTTCCTACCTCTGCCACGTACTGACCTATCTCCCTCTTCAAATGGATCATAGCCATCTTCAAACATTGATCCATATGATATCCGCTCACGTTTCAAGAACACTGGGGAAAAGTATTCCTCGGAAATATTTGTGGTCACTCGATTTGACAATGGAACAGGTGTTGATGGCACTTCTAGGATTTGGCTATCCGTCTCTGCCTCTGCCTCTGTCGCGAGAACAGGTGTGGGCGCGACAACAGGTTCTGGATTGGGGTGGTCGATATTGATGATTTTGACATCTTGAGACTCCTCTGGGCGAAACTGGATCAAGATAAATTAAAACATGGTATGTAAAAATCATCTTTTGTTCTTACCTGAAGCAGAAGTCTTTCTGTGAATTTAAGTTCAAACTCTACACCTCTTCCAGGTGTCGCATTTGGAGGTTCAGGTTCTAGGTATTCCACACCATCTAGACATAAGATCACTTCATCTCCACTAGTTATACCGGATTTCGCGACCGCATTTGCAGATGATCCTGAAAACTGTACGCGCACCTGGCCTCTGATTCTGCGCAAGCGGAAATCGGGTTCTGCAAGTAGAAAGGCTACAGAACCTGTACGGGAACTGTATGGCCATGTAAGAGTTACCACTGCTTGAACTGATCTTGAAGTTGATGCGGGAAGTAATGGTGAAAGTTGTGCGATTGGAATATGCGTGGTTGATTCTAAAGTCGACATTGTTGTAGAGTCTGGAATTCCATTTTTAGATGTCGTTGTTTCTGCCATTGTTTCTGTCATTGTAGAACGGAGAATTCCTACTTCCAATGCTGATTACTTGTAAATAACCATAATCCTACCGTGTCAATGTGTCAGCGAACCGTATTCATATGTTTGAGGTGCGTGAATAATTGTTTGCTTTGAAGTGGTGGGACGCGCAGTGAATTCTTCGTGATGGGAGCTCCATTATGGAGTACCTAGCTTGGGATGGGGCGTCATCGGAATCTTTTTAAAAGATTTGCCGATGTATTGTGTGATGACCCCTGCAAAAGCCGGCTGCAGTGCAACGCAGTGAAGCAAGGAATATATAGCAAGATCTTACCTTTATCAGTAGTAACCTTAGTACAGAGTACACCAGGTCAATCTTCACATATATAGTACAGCTTCTCGATATTGCAATGCAAGAACTTTAAACATTCTTTTCATTTTGGTTCTTCTTTTACCCACATACACTTCTAATTTGAAGCTTGAGTCAACATACAGAATATTGAGACTTTCAAAGGAATATTGAACGAACGAACGAGAAGAGATATCAGAGCTGGGTACCGGAATCCTCAAAATGAACTTCAAACTTCGAGCTTCTTTCAACGTCAAGAAAATTGCTATTGTAGGAGCAGGCCCCTCGGGGTTGGCTGCAGCAAAGTACCTTCTAGCGGAGAAATACTTTGACAAGGTCGATATCATTGAGCAACAAGCTGAAGTAGGAGGGGTATGGAATTATACCCCAAATATAATTGACAGTGTATCCATCCCATCAACGACACCTCATGTACCGCCTGAGAGGCCGATCTGGCCACAGGACGGAAATGGTCCCGTTTTCTCAAATCCCATGTATGATCGTCTACACACGAATATTCCCAAAACGTTAATGTGTTTCTCTGACCGACCATTTCGCTCCGACTCTTTACTTTTTCCTACACGGGAAGATGTTCAAGAATACCTCATACATTATTCTGGGGAAGTTAGACATCTGATTCGTTTTTCAGAGCAAGTTCAGAACATAAGGTTAGAGCCTGAAAATGGTCAGGATCGATGGGAAATCACTTCCAAATCTACAATTACCAATAACGAAATCAAAGAGACTTATGATGCCGTCGTTATTGCAAATGGTCACTATTCCGTTCCTTTCATACCTGATGTACCAGGGATTAAGGAATTCAACTCGGCTCATCCATCCATCATATCACATTCTAAAATATTCCGTTCGCCTGCTTCTTTTGCAGGCAAGAAAGTAATCGTGGTTGGTAATGGGGCCTCGGGCTTGGATATTGGGACTCAGATCAGCAAAGTCTGTAAAAGACCTCTGCTGAATTCTGTCAGAACTTCCTCTGGCGAAGCAGAAGATGGGAAAGAAGGAGTACCTCCTATTTCAGAATATCTCGCCGACATCAGGGGTGTGAGGTTCGATGATGGGCGGGTCGAAAAGGATATCGATGCCATAGTGTACTGCACAGGATACTTCTACTCGTATCCATTCCTCAACGCATTAAATCCACCGGTCGTTGTCACAGGTCGACGAGTGGTCGGCTCATACCAACATCTATTTGACATCCAATATCCAACCCTTGCATTTACAGCATTGCCACAGAAAGTTATCCCATTCCCTATATCTGAAGTCCAGAGCGCAGCAATTTCGAAAGTCTGGTCGAATAAGTTGTTCTTGCCCAGTAAGGAGGAAATGAACTTATGGGAGCAGGAGCGGGAGAAAGAACACGGCAATGGCACGTCGTTCCACATATTTGGTTACCCGCATGATGCAGAATACATAAATGGTTTACATGACTGGGTAAAAGGTTCCGAAGACGGATTCAGTAAGGAACCAGCATATTGCGACGAGAAGACGTTGTGGATAAGAAAGGTGTATGGAGACATAAGAAAGAAATTTATCGAAGATGGCGAAAAAGCAAAGACAATGGAAGAGCTGGGTTATGATTTTGAGAAACGTGATGTGTAGATGAAGAGATAGAATTTAGAGATAATATCAGGGGCACAATGGGAATGAATTAGAGTAGAAGATTAGAAGAACATTTGTTATTTAATTATTGACGTTAGATTGTCGTGCGCTTCTACACCACTGGTATTCAAGCATTCTCACACAACCAAGAGGAGAACAAAACTTGAATGATTGAAGACAAGATTGATTTTTGACTATGTAACTATGGACTTGATATAATAGGTCAGCATTGAAAAGGGTCATAATAATTCCATCCATAGAAAGCTTTCACCAAAGTATCAGTATTTGCCCAAGTTCATCTCAACTCCAACACAGCAAACATGTATCCCGTGGAACATGGCGGTTGAATCGTATTACCAGAGTTGTATTATCCTCATATCTTTCATCCAATTGTGCAGAGCATCCGAGTGTGCTTACCCTATGGTTCATCCTCTTCATCAACGTCATCACCATCCTCATCCTCGACTGAAATGATTCATTGTTCAAAATTTGATATGTATCCATCTTTAGGTCATCATCGTGTCATGGAAGCCGCACGAGGGGCCCTCGTGACGATGGTTTTGAAGTGGTAAATATATTCTCGACCAAGTTATCGGAATCGGCAGTTGAGTTGTAATGATATCAAACTGTCGATGATTTGAGTTAATGGTCTTTTTGTTAAAGAAGAAAGAAAAGGAAAACGCAAGAGGAAAAAATTCAAACAAAATATTTCTTACACTAGCGTTGTTCGCTAAAATCAGTTAGGCCCCGCGCTGCTCTAAGAATTAGGTGCCGCGATGGTTATGTACTTCCTACATTTTAATCATTACCCACTACAAACTTATCGAGTCAAATAATAAAACTGAAAACCCTCAATACACATACAATACAAATACAATACTAAAAAAGAATCTTATCATCTACAACTTACTGAATCCTACGGATACCACCAAACTCCACACCAAATTTGCCCTTTGCGATATCCATACTCGTTCAACAAAAATCATCCGATACCGATACATTCTTGTACATCTCTATCAACAAAACGCACATCTTAGAAGTCAAAGTCACCATCACCGTCACAACAGAAGCCCAACACATTAGCACTCCTGAAGGTTTTGACTTAAGCGCATATCATTCAGATCTAATTTTCATCCTTTCGTAATGGATAACCTGTGGACTCGACGTTCGAAGTAAGTATTTCCTTCTTCGTTCCCGCATTGCCTCTTTCTTTGAGCGCTTCTAATCAAAGTGCGGTACAGTTCCAGCAAACTTTCGCTATCCACAGGAAATCCAACTACGAATGGATCAACTTTCAATGGTGGCGACCACCCGACAAGAGGATTCGCTTTGGGTAGAAGAAATGGAGATACCTCCTCGCATAGCACAAAGAATCCTTTCAATTCCATGTCCCCTTCGGCCTCGTCTTTATCCTCCCCAACAACTGGCGCATCGAGCGCCTTTGGCTTAGGATCAGGCGCTTTCGCATCATTTGGAAGTGCAAAGGGTCCGAAGACACCTGGGGGTGGAGGCGTATTGGATTTTGGAAGTGTGGTGGGAGGATCTACCAAAACACCAACCGCAGAGAAAAATTATAGAGACTTGGGATCAAAGGCCTCTAAAATTTCTCTCACAGATTCTAAGACGGTCACAACACCACTTTCTCATCAATTTAGACATGGTTGGGTATTCTGGTACAGACCCCCAATCTCCAAATCAAATGGATTCGTGGAATATGAAAAGACATTACATCCAATGGCAGTATTCAATTCGGCGGAGGAATTGTTCGATGTTTTCGATCATATGAGGCACCCGTCAGATCTGCCACTGGTTTCCGATTACCACATGTTTAAAAAGGGAATTCGCCCTGTTTGGGAGGATGATGAAAATAAAAAAGGAGGCAAATGGATCGTGAGACTTAAGAAGGGTGTGGCCGATCGTTATTGGGAGGACTTAGTCTTTGCAATGGCAGGAGATGAATTCGATCCTAGTGAGGAGGTTTGCGGTGTTGTACTTAGCGTACGCAATGGTGAAGATATTTTGAGTATCTGGACTCGTTCAGGTGGCGGAAGGGTACTTAAGATTAGGTACATAATTTCCCCATCACATTCGCAAAATCACATACTAACAACTAAATAGGGAGACATTGAAGCGTGTTCTTTCATTCCCACCCGAAACCAAGGTAGAATGGAAATCTCATGATTCTAGCATACAACAACGAACTGCTATTGATGAAGCTCGAAAGGAAAAAGCTGCCAATCATCACAATAATCGTAATGGCAACGAACACACAGAGAAGAAACAAACATCATAATTTCAACATTCTATTGAGCTTCCTAAGCCACGAGTTTTCTTTTTCTTACAAGAACTGTACAAGTATTTGGGTTGCATGAATTGGTAACAGCGAAATGAATGATTTGATTTGGCTAGGGTGGTGATTTTTCCAAATGCCATTTTGGTCCCGACTTTCTTCATGCTTTGGAAGGGATTGTGCGTATGTGATTTAGCCTGGGGTTTGTATCATAGTTTCGAAGAGTTTCTTGTAGAGAACCTCCTCTAGGCTTTGTCTCTTTTTATCAATTTTAGGATGGCTGTAGCTGCATGCAATGAGCTACGCAGTCGATATCACAGCAAAACTTATTTCTCTCAAAGGATATTGAGAAAAGCTCGAATCGATGTGACGTAGATAGGTAGGTTTACGTTGCTTACTTTGTGAAACTTTGTGATGTTGGTAAAGGAGAATTATGCATATCTCACTTACCCCTTGATACCTATGCATATATATGCCTGCTTCTTCGCCTTGCTTACCACGCCGTATGTATACGCCTTTACCCCATATTCTTATGCTCATCGTACCTGTTTTTTCTGAGTAATTATGGATTTATAGGAAGGAGGTGTATATATATATCGTGAATCAAGCACGAATCTCTATATTAGAAGAGTTAACTCCTGATTATAGATCGATCATAAGCTACCAACTAGTTTGTGTCTGGTGTATTTTCTATTACCATTAATATCTACTAGGTACTTAAAATTCACATATTCAACATCTTCCATAATTTTAAACCCCTCGAGGAATTCCCGAGATAATTATTTACTCAAGTATGTACTCCGTAGTTATCTTCATATTGCTCAGTCCCACTCAGTAATCCGTCCACCAATGACAACACTCCAAATAAACATGCATCATACGTATATATATTTACGTAAGGTTTACGAGAGCATCAAACAAAGCAAACACCAATATCTAATGTCTAGCTTCTGTGGTCCAATGGTTAGGATTCCACCCTTCCAAGGTGGAGGTTCGTGTTCGATTCACGGCAGTTGCACTTTTATTTTTTGAGGATTTTTACTTTTCGCGCACTTTTGCTGTGTACGCAGGAAGGACTTTGAGGTTGATGATGTGACTTGAGGTTTGATTTTTTTCGTAGTGGGAATTAAGGGAGACAATGGCATTTGAGCGGGCTCGGGTCGGATCTTGCTTTTCTTACTGTTTGTATTTCTCTTCATGCTTTTATATAATTACTAATATTGAATTATTATGATTCCCATAATTATTAAATCTTTTTAATATCATTCAAACAATAGAAACATATTTTTATTCCTTTTATTTATTTAGTCCAAAAGGAAGAAAAATTATATCACTAGGAATGAATATATTAATTATGCATCACTTTAAATATAAATATATATAAATTTAAAGATAGGAGAGTGTTACGAGGTTTGCCGTCTAGATCACGTGGAAGTGCTCCAGGCTCTCGAGGTGGTTTATAACTAGGCGTCAAGCAGGGACTTAAGTAATGACAATAATGATATGCAATTCGTAACTAATAGTAGAGTATACTAAATGATTGATCTTGAGCACGAAGCTCTACACAAAGGAAACCATCCTGATTATATAGACCTTCGTCCTCCATTGGATCTCTTGGATCCTGAGAGTTTGTGGACCTTCGATTCGTATGGACCTACGATTCGTATGGACCTACGATTCGTATCCCTGAATATGCAGGGTCCATCACGTGACTTGGATCAGACTATATGTCTGTGCTTGCTGAAGGTGGGGAGACTCTACGAACCGATTACCATACAAAATTGTATGCGAATCGGTTTGCTTTTCCACGGGGTCTAAGCTCATATGGACAGGTTGACTGTTACTACGTAACAGAGAGATAATAACAAGCAAGCGAGTTAACGACGGCCGGAAACTCGAGTCTTAAGAGGAAAATCTTCGTAGTATCTATCCCAAGGTATATATATGTATGTATAGAACCCGAACTTTCTATCGTACTTTAAATGTGCTGAAAAGGTACTTACTTATTGTGTTGTTCTATTCTTGTATGGGATATACAGGAATACATGAAGTGTATAGTATTACGAATTTGGGACTTAGATAAATAGATGTGAATTTATCTATTTCATCTTATACAAATACATATACATATACACATGTATAACACAAAAAAGTAGAAGTAGAATTCCCTATAATAAGTCTATTAATAGTGAGTGAGGTATTCTAAATTAAAACAATGCAATGTAACGAAAATATCAATCCTTCATACCAGGACAAAATCCAAACTCATCATATTTCCCAAACCTCAATATTCATTCAGTCATAAATACTCCCTGAACAATGCGACTGCGCCTTATTCTTGATGTCCAAGTCCCGTTCACATATCTCGTGTCACAGACCCCTACCCTCTGAACCCATAACACATCCCTTTTCCCTTCCCTCTCTCACAAAAGTAAACTTGCCTTCCACTCCGCCAATCCCTTCATCGTCCCAATATACCCAATGTACGTATCGGGCCTAACGAGCACATAACCTGGCTCCGTTTTAAACCCATACCTCTCATGTAAAATATTGTCCTCATCACACATATCATCACTTTCTCTCTTTTCCTGACTAACAATCCTATGAATCCTCAACCAACTCTTTTCCTTTTCCGGAAAATCCGTTCCAACCGTCTCTAACAACTCCTCCGCATCCATAGCTTCTTTCCCAAACCCAGAAAAAAGCAATAAATGATGCGTCGGCCCTTTGAACAATGAGTATAAATTGGTTGTACCTTGACTTCCAGGGAGAATGATATTCCCATCTGGTGCCCGGTCGCCTCCTCTCCTAGGTCCATAATACGCATTTGCAGTTTTACAAAACGATGAATGACGATATCTTATTCCAAGTTGTGAAATAAAACGATATCTTCTTTGGCGATTCGCGCCTTCTTTAAAAGCAATCGGGGCAATCCATGGGAAAAGAGTATTGCGCAAAAAGAGGAAAATAGGATTTTTCATGGCCTGGAACTCGAAGATTCGGTCTGTGCCTTTTAGAAGATTAATACCAACGCGCCGGCGTTCAACATTGTAGGAGTCGAGAAAATCATCTTTCTTCTCATTGCGAATAACCATGCCGAGTTTCCAACCAAGGTTGATAGCGTCTTGAATACCTGTATTCATTCCTTGACCACCAGCTGGTGAATGAATATGCGCTGCATCTCCAGCGACGAATACACGGCCATTGCGAAAGGAGTCGGCGATTCGATGATGGAGTTTAAATCGTGCAATCCACGTAGGAGGACCCTCGAGTTGTATGTTCCCCGTAGCAAGTCTTTGAAAGGCTTCTTCAAAATCTTTAAGAGTAGGTTCATCATCTTTAGCTTCTCCGTGAGTCGGTTTCCCGTTCTTAGAGTTAGGAGCACTTAATATAAGTCGGTATACACCATCTTTGAGTGGTAAACACATCATAAACTCTTTACCCATCAACATCGTCAGCCGATCCGGCGCATAATCCCATTTCAACTTCACATCTACGAGCAAAAAGTCTGATGCATACGCAGAACCTTCGAAGTTCAAACCGGCGGACTTTCGAACAATTGAATGTGAGCCATCGCATCCGACAATATATTGACAGCGAATCTCTTCTTCTGGCTCTTCATATCCATCCTCCTTTACTTTCCTAACCCGAACTGAAACACCACTGTCGTCCTGAACAATGGTTGTAGCTTTTGTTCCTCTCTCTACTTTGCCTCCATATTCTTCTAATTGTCTCTCAAGACTTGCTTCCGTATCGCTCTGGCTGAGAAAATACGGTCCTGAGTACTCGGCATCAAATACTCCTACACTCTCCTTGGTGAGATCCACCTCGTATGCCTTTTTTTTATTGATATAGAAAGTCAAGCCGAGGTTTTGTTTCCAAAGAGGGATCAAGTTCGATACGACGGAGGGATGTCGGGAGAGAAGCTCGGCGGAACGGGCATGGAGGACTAAAGCGCGAGAATTAGGTGCAGGGGTGTGGAGAGGATCGATTAGGATGAATGGGACCTTTTGTACTGATAATTCGAGAGCTAAAGTGAGGCCTGTAGGACCTGCGCCTACGATGAGGACTGCAGTTGATCGCATGGTAAGATTGTTAAGTTGAGGTTGTTAGTTACTGCTAACCTAGGTGCGAGGCGGGCGTATTTTCAAGGTGTATGTCGAAGGCGGGTTATGCCACTTGTTTGTTGTTTGTTAATGCTAATTAATAGAAAACTAAAGACGTGTTGAAGAAAATGGATCAGGTGGCATGTCTGGGGATATATATAAATATATGCCAATTCAGTACCTTTGTACATTTACCTTTAGCAATCTTTACTAACATCGCTCGAAGCTGGAATGCTAAGTAGATACAACCGGGGGTTACTAACACCGTATGTAGTGAGAATCATGCTGTGCAACAAGTCCTAGAGCCAGGCATAGTGCTGAATATCTTCAGACTATGGTAGGCCAAGAATCTGGCATCCTGTAATTGACCAGTGGTATCTTCGTCCTGTCGCCTTCACTTGAGATGGCAATGGCACGGATGGATTAGTCGTGTACGTGCGGAAGGATCGTCTGAAAGGCACCGATCTGTTTAGCACCTTCAACTAGACCGGTAGTGGGCTAGCAAGCGTTTTATAACGGGATTGAAAGGGGCCGACATCCAGGAACATTCCGACTTTCGCTGACATAAGCTCAAGCCGATACATTTTCTTGCTTCATTTCTAACATCATGATGGAACAATTCAAACCTTCTCATGGAACACCACATCAAGTCATACTCAGCTGCTTTTATATGACCCCATTCCCGATTGCCGGATATGTGTCTAGTGTGTCAGCTGATGCAAAAACGTTAATAACGCACGGAGAAGGCTCGAGGGCTCCTTCCGTCTTACATATGAGCTTATAATTTCATCTCATTCATCAAGGTTACACGTGTATGACATCGGTGTTGTCTCTACAGAAATGCGAGATGAGGTTTTTCGGGAAGCACATGAGATTCAGGAAAGGAGTGCAGCCGATATTTGGATATGTTAAGTTGATTTGGAATATTGAAAGTACGTGTTCTGCTGAATCTGCCGTTCTACATCGACTCTGTATGGTAGATTAGAATCTAATTGATATAATAAGTAAGTATATTGTATATTTTTGATACATTGAATCTGTTTGATATATTGAATCCATTTGGAACACTGCATCAACTATTTAGGATATGATTCTACTCGGGATACCGAATCTATCCAATATTATTTTCAACTTCTTTGATACATTACAGCCTACTCGAAACAAGAAACCGATTTAGTATCTTGCATCTATCCGGATCATTGATTCTTCCATGTATAACTCCTATTCCATCTATCAGGCCGTATAATATAGTGACAACCATCCAATCCCTTCTAGAACTAAATATTCCTATGGCAAATAATCCATTACCCTGTCTCAAATCTTTCGGCAAGCAGAATATTCAGAAGCCCTAATTGTGGATGGCCCCTTGTAGCTGGAGATGGTATGGAGATTCCCAAGGCGGGAGGATGGAGATAGGTATGGATTTTGGAGTTTGGATGGGTAGATTATCATGTTGAAGATGAGAGGTGCATGGTATATGTAACAGGTGTGTGGCGGGCGGTATTTCATATTTCACATTCAATATCATAATGTGATGTAGGATCTGTTGTTCATGGGAATTGATATAGATAGATAGCTGGATTTGATCTAGTTCTAGATCCATTTAGAAAGGTGACTACTATTTATCTTTCATAAACACAAGATAGGAGAGATAGAAGTTCAACAAGAAACGAAAGTTGATCATCCACTGAAGACCAAATCACATCGACAAATACCAGAAATTCCTATCTCCGTCATAACATCATCATACTAGATATATATTTTCTCTACGCCAACCTAACAACACGGTATAACGCAAGCCAAGCCAAGATAATACACATTCAATCAATCACCCATATAATTTTTCCTATTCTCCAAAATTACATCTATTCCATTCCATACATATCCGCATCCAATCCCTTTTCCTTTCATCCCCCAAAATCCCCATGATGCAAACCCAATTCCTCACCACACCAATGCAATAAATACCTGACCTATCCGCCAGTGGTTCACCAGTTGTTTGTAATTATTCAACTCCATATCCATTTCATCCCAGCACGAGGAATGCAGATTGCAGAATGCCATTTCACCGCTGCACCTCCCATGTCAATATGCCGTGATTCTTTCTCGGAGTTCGGTTGGTGAATAGTGAGTCCGTTGTGATTAAATTCATATAATTTCGTTTTGCTTTTGTTTTATGCCGAGTTTTGCTTCTGCTTCTGGTTTGTTTTGCTTTTGTTGTAGTATTTTGATGTTATGTGATGAGTAAATGCATGCGAAAATTACAAGAGCTTTTTGAGGGGCGTTATTTTTTCCCATGCCGTAAATCGTCGTGAAGTCGTAAATATAAAGAGGATCATTGTTTGAATCAGATAGAGGTATTGATAAACCATCTAGTACATACCAAAAAGTCGAGAAGATCGAGCCCTTCATGCTAACCATGTCTCTTCTTTTCTTGCGGGGGTAGCTTCACCAGATGTACCGAGTCCTCCACCTATAGTCAGACCATCATCGTCGTCATCTTCTTCTTCATAGTTGGGATTGTCGTCCACTCCACCATTCGTCACTTCATTGGGTGTATATGTCCTATCCTCATAATTTTCCTCCACCATCCACGTTAATCCATTTGCAGCTTCTTCCAATGGGAAAACTTCTCGGGCATATTCCTCTAGACCTCGATATCCCTCCCATAGCTTCAAAGCCTCTTCTGGAACCTTATCCTCCAATTCCTGTTCGGCAAAGTAAGGAGGTTGAAGTTTTAGGTCGTCTTTCCCTAACGAATACATCCTTTCCAATGCTACTAATTGCTCTTTATATCCTTTTGGTATCTTAACTCGTACTTCGATATCGGGGTTATGTTTGTATATTACAGGACGGCCGACACCGCGGGCAAAGGCGGCGCAAGCTTGTTTGGGAGAGAGAAACTCATAAGCGAGAGGGATGCGACGAGGATTCGAGAAAGAAGCAGGTGGTCCATCCTTAAATACTTGTAAAACTGCAGGTCCGACATCGTGCTCAGCGTCCAGCCACGGTAAAGGTACATCCGGATGGAAAGGAGCTTGCCACTCAAAAGATCCATCGGGTTGCAGGGCCATGCAAAATAACGGGTATGGTAGTGATGTGAAGTTGTTGTTGTAAATTCCGGTGTAGAGGAAAGTTGATCGTAGGCAAGGAAGTTTCGTTCGAATGTAGGTTTCGACCGCGTATTTCTCGGACCATAAGGGGAGCGATGGCCATGAAGAGTTGACGACAGAGTGGTTAGGCATAGATGAATAGACGTAATGCTCTATACCAACCGCGGCGGCGGCATCGGCCAAGGCGCAACCAATAGCATATTCATCGCCCCAAAATGTAGTATTGATAAATGCTAATTGCGCTCCATGGAAAAGATCTCGAATGAGTGCATCATTTAATTTGGTAGTCTCGGGATCTAATGTTGGTGATGAAGAGGAAGATCGTTTGATGAAAAGGTCGCCTACTAGGACAGTAACATTTGGAAGTGATGAAATTTCCGAAGCTACTATCCCATCAAGGTTTCGCAACTGAGCTCGTACATTATAGCCCACTGCACTAGCAACGCGGATAAATGATGCAGCCTGTCGTCCAGACGAATTGACGACAGCGATAGTTTTCGATGGAGTGGTCATGGATCGTTTTGATGGGCGATCCGAGTAAGTTGTAGGAGTATTATAGAAGGAGAAATTGTCAAGAGGGGAACTTTCTGGATATGAAGTGCAAGGTGCGTGTTTTCGATTTATGGGTGGTTGTGATTCTGTAAGTGGTCGAGGTCTGATGGCGAGGGTAGACCTCGGCGTTGCTGAGGGCATTGAATGATGATATGGGGGTTTAATCGTCAGACGATCTATTGCTTTTTAAACAATAATTCAAGGCTGATGTTTTGTTATTCCACAGATAAATGTTTGTGGCTGAAATTCCTCTTCTAGTTTTTCGAGTTACTCCCAATTTTAGACGAAATGGAAATTATTGTTTACTTGTAGAGAAGTCCAATCCTTGCTGCTCACTCAGACGAACGACAAACGAGGAAATGAATGCGGAGAAGTCTCCTGAGGGGTTACCGACAAATCAAAGTCCTTCGGTGTAGATTTGTCTAATGATCGAATTGAATAGTCGAATGTAATGCTGTACGTCGATCACCAATGCCAAGTCCTTTATTGGTGAATACCTTGTAAATTCGAGAAATTCGAGAATATCCTCACTTCCAAACGACTACAGCTAGTAACACCACCTCAACCCCAGTTTCCGAATGACCTCAAAGAATATAAGAGTCTGGATTGTGACGATTAACCAAAGATGGGATGAGATTTCGTGATGTTGGAACTTTTGATGGTAAGATTGATCCAATCGGGAAATTTTCTTCCTTTATCCGAATTTTTTTCAAAGCGGTGAAGTTGTTTGCTTCCAATCTAATGAATAAACTTCTCAGGGACGTACGGGTAAGTCAAGTGAGTGAACCTTCTTCCTTTCTCTCCCTTGCAGCTTTTTCTTTTGATGCTAAGAAGGAGTGGATACTTTTTCGTGTGGGTTTTTTCGATCAGCCGTTTCTCGGTATCGAGATTGGAAGATGGAAAATTTGAGAGGAAATCTTGTACCAAGTGAAAGATAACTGTACGCGTCGTCGATTATTCGTGCGGTGGTACAAGTAAAAATGCAATTTGAAGAATGACGCTTCCGTTATGTAACGAAACAGAAAGAGTGTAGCAATTGGAGCAGTATAAAGCTGTGAGAATCCTAATCAGGAATGAAATGTAGGTTGGTATCGAGGGGCAATATTCAAGTGAATAAAGGAAAGCTTTTTAGTGACTCCGAGGTTATGTAAGTAAGGTGTTTCCATGCGGATGCTGGTTATGATACTATAAAACTTCTTTCCAAAGTTTCGTATATTATATCAGGTGGTGATGGATGGGTATCTAATTCAATATAATATTATCCTTAGATGTACATGTAGGATTAGTTTACTGAGAAATGCAGAGAAGAAAGAAGAGGGGTTGGTTCAACAATTGTGTTTAGACTTCCATAACTCGGTCCACGTGCACTATCCTCATGATCCAATGGTACGTAGAAGGTTGTATTATACTTATCTTCCCACCAGGAGGTATCCACAGCGTATGAAAGGGGTTTTCCGTTTGTTGCTGACGACCTAGTTAGATAAGTCTAGAGTTCATTCAATGTACGGAGTAGCTTTTCTTCTCACAACCCTGATGGTTACGGCAGTGGAAGCGAATCATATACTTGCTACAATGTGGGACATATGGGCAGTGTATAATTTTGATATAGAGAGGGAATTCACAATCTGCTTAATCCATTGGCTGTAAATTTTATATTGTACATATATATATAGATATATATGTTCATTGACCGAACGCGTAGTGGCAGCTCAATCGAGCTACTCCATAATATGATTCTGCCATGGAAAGTATTTTTATATCATAGAGCCCCCCGTCAACTTTAATGACTTCCCCACACAAAATGTAGATAAGGCGAATCTAATAGAGTTTTGCGGCATCGGATGATGAAAAAGGACTTCATGTCTAAAGAAACTAACTCGACTAATTAGCAAATGTAAAAAGAGAAGGTGCACCATGTGGTCTAGGGCCTTAGGAATTGGTAATAGGATCAATATTTCATCAATTAAAGCCATCTGATGTTCTTTCTAAAGCCAATAGGAAAATTGTATCTCTGCTGGTAGCTGGTTGTTCCATTATCTCAAATGTTATTTCAATGATCCGAACACTCGTACTGTACTCGGAGGACATTTGCCAAGTCATACTTTATGTATGAGTATATTAACTAGCATGCCCGTTGCTGGTATCATCGTGCCACTACAGTGGATATTGGAAAGAATGCTCCCCTTGCCGTGTGTGCAGAGAACTCAGGGTCGTCCTCATCCAACCAATGGAAGCTATTTTATACTATCTTACTAAAAAAGTCGAAAACTCCTTGAGGATAAAATCAGCGAGGAGTACGTTTTGCTCCACGTGGTTTCATCATCATCAACACGTGTTGGTACCGCTTTGAGATCTAAGGTACTCGTAGCTCAATCCCTAATAGTGAGGGAGGTTTGTCATGTGGTATGTTGTCACCTCGTATCAATACCATTGGCCAATCAATTGGAGGCTTGGTCTATCTGTAGAATTAACCTTTACTATCTTCTAGAATTCTCATGATGCAAAATGAACAATCACGAGATTTTATGTCGGTTCTGTTGAGGGAACAGAGAGCCAGAGAGGATAATTCTCTTACTCAATTTGAATATGGATCCCAGAGGGCCTCGGAGGCTCGGACCAATGAGAAATTTTGCTTCTCAAACCATTACCATTACCTAACCACATCATGGTTTGCCATGAACTGTCTTCAAAATTTTCAATGCCATATCGCCATTTCTTATAATTATTACTTCATGAGAATTGATCCTTTCCGTCTTGTCAGACATATTTCCGTATGATCCTACGATAGAATTGATCTGGACTGCCATTTAGGATACCGCCATTTCAATGTCTCATCATTCCCAGATAAATTGTGATTTTCTACATCCACATCAACTAAATAATATGTTGACCGAACATTCAAACTTGTCTGTCCTGAAATACGGCCAATCAGACACTCTTAACCGTATGAATTAGTAGCTAGTTACTGTACTTGAAAGTATCGTATCTATGGTCACTTATAGGTTCAAAACTCCATCTAGAACTTATACGAAAACCCCCTTCATCATAAGCGACAGAATCTTCCAGATTCAACCAAAAAGAAAAGTCCCTCATATGCGCACTTGCAAATTGCACGAAAAATCCGTACCGAAGAATTGACGATGATCAGAATTTGATTTTCCACGGGATGAGCCTTGTTCTGGAAACTTTTCTCCTAGCTCAATATTGATGCATGAAATTCGCTCAATCGAGGAATCACAATGTCAAAGAAATCCGGGGTAGCATTAGGGGCAAAAGACCCTGTTTTTTTGTACCTTTTTCCCCCTCTAACATTCATTCTCTCCACTTCTTAACCTTCCATCAACCATTTTTTTCGCCCGCGGAGAAGTACAATTCTATGAAGGCGAATGTTTGGTGTGATTTTGATCATAAATATGAGATATGATGGAATGGCAGGTGATTACCCCGCAAATTCGCACATCACTACCTTTGACGTCAGCCTATATCTTTCTTGTTATCTTATCTATTACTTCTTAAGATTTTGGGATGTACCCTTCCCATTTGATTGGAGATGTTTTACGGTTCCATCGGCTGCAATGCGACCCAACAATCATCCAAAAATATGTTGATAATCTTAGTCAAGCTACCCTTCTATCCTTCCCTTTTTTAGTTCTTTCGACCTTGCAGAAATCGTTTCATTTGCTGCCACACCGCTGGGTATGCATGCTTGAACGATTTAGGCAGTCCTCATCACAAGGGCGAAAGTTGCTCATTATCCGTAATCGGCTTATTGAGTTTATGATCGTGCCATTTCGACCCTGTGAGCTATCTGGTTAATTGTTACAAAGATTATTTTTACCAAGTTTCTATTTTGGCTAATCTCACTAAGATTTTAAAGACGTCTATTTAGGCGACCTCAAACACAGCTATACGACGAACAGTGTCTCCATGATGGAATTGGCCTCACGCGCTCGCAGAAAAGTGCATTCAAATGCAATTCACCATCTTCTAAACTGATTCACGCATGGCAAGTGCTAGCCCAATCATGGATTCATATGTATTATGCTTCATCACTGCAACCTGGATGGTTTCTACATACAGACCAAAGGTTCAATGAATGCATATCAACAGCAGCAGCAACATCAATAGCAATTCTCAACGTCCTAAAACATTAAAATACATCTATCTTTTGCAAGAATGAACCTCCAACAATAACTGGCAAGACCACATTATTGTAAAGGTAGTGTCCGAATTTTTGACCCTGCTAGTCTTCTGACAGCCGCCGGGAATTCTGGAGCTGCCATCTGGTAGACCAAAGGACTTTCCATTGCTTCTTTCAGAGTTTCTGCGGTACTTTCCAACTCTTGAGCCACTTTTTCCACATTCCCTATGCCATATTCATGATTATAAATTGTTTTTGCTGCCTCGATTTTATCCAACGCCTCCTTCCAAGTTTTGAGTGTTTCCCTAATGCCCTTGGCTATATTCATGAGAGCTGCCGAGTATGTCTCGAAAGTCTCATATGCACCCGAAGTCTGGCTGGAGTGGAGTTCGTCCATGAGTTCGGAGCAGAGACGTTGGACATTCCTATCGCTATAGGGACAGCTGACGTTGTCGGATGTCTCACCGACTAACTCGCACATGAGAAATTCGCCTTCACGGTATACTTCTTGTGGAATATAGGAAAAACTCTGGATTGTAATATTATGCGCAGCACTTATCCAGTCCGTTTTGTAGCCCTGGATAGCAGCGTTCTGAGCATATCCATCAAATTGTCCCGCAAACTCCGCTGTAGCTTCGATGTGTTGTTGGAGGAAAGAACGCCAATTATGATCCAAGTCTCGATTCTTGGCGACGAAAACATCTATGAGCAAAAGTACATATTCAGAATTTACCTCCTGCTCTGCTTTCAAAATTGTCTCCCGGACTGATGCAATAAGTAAGACGGCTTGATTAAGGGGACTATCCTTTAATGCCATGAGCGTTCCGTTCGTATCCAACACTACCTTGGCTAAGTCGCTAATAGCCGAAGCAATATCAATGATGGCAATCGCATTTGTTTCCTCTACAATCGCATTTTTCCCATGTGCCGCTTGTTTCTGAATCAAGCCATGTTCTCGTGCAAAGAATGTCGCAGCTGTGAGAAACAGAGGAATAATGATCCACCAAAGCCAAGCCCATCCGTATTCCCTCGAAATGGTAGCGAAAAGTCCCCTAGAGAGTGGAGGCGGCTTCACATTAGACTTTCGCTCCTTAGAAGGAACTCTCCGTGGAGAAACCTGTGTATGCTTTATTGAAGTAGGCTTGGAACTAAATGGAGGTGGTCTCGGAGGCTTCTTATGAGATGAACTCGGAGCAGACGGTGTTGGGCTAATCTGAGATGCAGAGGTATTTGGCCGTCTATTTTCCGGCAGTGCCTGTTGAGCCATCGATACGGGTACAGACGGAGGTGAAATTTTTGTTTCCTTTTTGTCCGCAAAATCGTTACGGATATCATTATCTTTTAAAAATTTCTCATGAAGCGCAACGACTCGGTCAGCTTCTTCACGAGCTTCACGTTGAATAGACGTTTCTGATTCTTCGGAAGAATATTCATCGTCTCCGGTGTCTCCAGTGTCTCCTTCGCTATCGAATTCGTCGTCAATGTCTGCGAGTTCATCGGCGAGCGTTTTCCCCCCGCGTTGCTGTACAGTCGACGACTGGCTTTGTACTCTACTACCTGGTAAACTATCATCTATAGGACCAAGGTAATTTTCTAAAAGACCGCCCGATCGTGACATTTTTGGTTGGGTTCTAGATGGATGATCGTATTTGAACAGGTTGAGCGTTGGCTGAGAAAGTAGAGATTTAGTTTACCCATACCTTGTACTGTAACTATCTTTTCCCTGGGAGGGGTAGTATGCTTACGGATGGATATCTGATTCGGGTATTTTGTCAAAGGGAATGGATAATGAAACTATGAAGTTCGAAACTCGACAAGGGATTTCGGCTTTGTTGTGTTTGTTGATGTTACTATACTGAAAGCGGATTTCTTTTTCCTTTCCTCTTTTCTTCGCTTCTCCGGGTAGAGAATGAAATGGAAATAGAAATAAAAATCAAAATAAAAATTAAAGTTTTGAGATAGCTATAGATAGCGGTATGCGTCCGTCTTCTTGAAATAGGATCTAGATGTTCATTCTTATAGATGGTCGACAAAGGATTCGAATGTAGATCCTTTGGAAAAAATCACCAGGTTGTCTCATTTTCTTTTGAAAGAATATATTACCTTGAGATGCAAATAGATCATCGAAAATTTAGGAATATTTCTTCTTTTGAGAAGAACTATAAGATTAATAAGATCTTATCACAGAATAAGAGTAAGAGAAATGATATTCTGGATGCTTTGGTAATAAATATACTTGCGGTTAATTTTCCAACCTGATACTACAGGAAAGATATCACTATATTAATTAATCAGAACTAATTAATTATACTCACTCAAACATCAACAATAAAAGAAAGAAATATAATTTACTCTAGCCCTACAATAAAATTCCCGAATTTTCCCAATTTTCTTTTAATTGGTGTTTTTTCTAGATCATATAAATATCAGAGAAAGAATCAATCTCATCTCCATCCCAATTTGTTGATTAGCGGCTAAATAAATCCAAGAATTGAACCTTAGTAAAGATATGATTAATTTCCCTCAGTGTTAGTGATGACAATAGATGGCTGGATCTCAAGGTATATGAATTGATTGGTAGTCAGCATAGATAGTTTACAATCTTGCGATGTAGTCGACGAGAATGTTGTGTGCACTTTTATTTTTCAATTTTTTGCTTTCATTTCGTTGGGATGTTTTGTAGATTTAATTACTTGTAGAGTTATCTATACTTTTATTTTATCTTATTTAATTCAATTTTGATTTGATTTATAGTTTCTGTTTTTTTTTGTTTTTTTGGTCATTCTTATAGCGTTTTATTGTTACATATATATCTTCTGTTTATTTATCAATGTCAGTAATGTCAATTATAACCATCAACTGTATATCAAGCTCAGGGAAGGAAAAGTCAAGATATAGAGTTTCTATTGGTAGTAAATAAATCAATAAATAAGTAAGGAAGCAAGCAAGCAAGCACACACATATACAAACATACACAAACAAACAAACAAACAAACAAGTCAGTAAAACATAAACAAAATTCAAATAATCACGTCGATGGAAAAGCTCATGCATACACTATTGTATAAATATAAAATTAAATATAAATATAAATGAAAATGTAAATATAATTTCAAGTAAAGAGATATGAGTACCTGCCCTACTACTATGAAAGTTTTTTTTTATCTTATCTTACGAGGTAATCGAGGTAATCCTACATTACATCTAGTTACCTCCCTTTTTGATACGCGTTGCTGAAATATCAACGATCTAAATAACACAAAGGAAAATCCAAAATATGAAACCAAAAAACTAAAAAAGGAAAAGTAAAGAAACGAGCAAGCAAGAAATAAACCACCTACCTACCTCACCTCACTCACCATCTTCCAAAGCCTAAAACTGAGTAAACCCCCCCTCAGTCTCCCACCAATTCTTCGCTCTCCTCGTTCTCTCCTCCCTCTGCACCCTCCCCTTCCACCTCCTAACCTCCAAATCCAAAATATCAACCATAAGCACATCCCCCTCATCATCAAACCTACACAAGCTCCCATGTTCCTCGCCCCCACACCCGCCAGGAGGCATACCCCATCTAACTCTTCCGACGCCCTCCCTATCATCCTCTTCGACCCACACATCCTTACCCCCATCTAATACCTCATAATCATTCTCACCCCACTGTCTCCCCTGATGGGAATTCTGCGGATGCGGCCAGATATATGTGGATTTAGAGGGGATTTGCATGGGGTTTCCGAGCCAGTAGTTGTTGGGGTGGACGGTTTGTTGGTTACTAGGGTGCTGGGGATCGATATGGGGGCGCCAGGAGGGATGGTTGCGGGGGAGGAGCCAGAGATAGGCGGTGCAGTCGTTGGGGCGGTGGCCGAGTGTTTGACATATGTTACAGGTGGTACTGCGGTAGCGTGCGCGGTAGCTGCTAGCGTCTGGGTGATCTGGGTGGGAGGGGTTGGGGGTGCTAGGGTAGGTTTGGTAGGGGGTTGGTTGTGTTGAGTGGAGGTAGTCTGGGCTGTGGGAGTTGAGACTTAGGTTGATTGGGTAGTTGAAAGTGTTTTGTTCGTTGGCTTGAGTATTGTACTGAGCTTGCATTTGCTGCTGCTGTTGCTGCTGTTGTTGAAAGCCGAAAGTAACAGGTGGAACTTGTTGGGGTGTATCGTATTGTGCGGATTTAGGAGGAGAATAATATTGATTAAAAGAAAGATCTATTTGTCCGCTCGACTGGTCATCAGAAAAATGAACTCCTTTCCCATTATCATTATCATTCTTCTTACCACTAGGGTTAGGGTTGGTGACTGGATGGAATCCATCCTTCTGACACGCATTATTCCAATGTCCTGCAACATGACATGTTTTACAAGGACGAGGGGGATATTTACCATCTGCGAAAAAATGTGAGATGTCTTCTCCGGTGGGTGCTAAACATTGTACTGGACTTGAATTTCCTTGTTGACCATTGTTGTTGTTGTTGCCATCGTTATTCTTTGATTTCCAAGTCCTACATTGATCTTCCCAGTGATTTCCACCGCATTCCCTACATTCGGGTAAATCTTTTCCTCTCTTTCCTTCTCCAGGATTATTACGACAATCCGATTCCCAATGACCTTTTTTATCGCAAATGCGACATTCGGAGAACTTTTGGGGTACTTTACCTTTGTTTTGGTTTCCTCCATTTCCTCCGTTGTTGTTGCCCTTACCTTTATTGTTTCCTCCCTTATTGAACTTGTTATTGTTATTGGGAGGACTAGAACGACCATTAGCAGAACCACTGGAATTGGAGTTCTTACGCTTATCTTTCCCCATTTTTGCTTTTCTTTGCTTTTCTTTGCTTTTCTCTTCTATCTTTTGCTTGTAGACTATGCGACCGGCGCTAGTGTAAATGAATAAGAGTTATGATTGGTGTAAATGGAATGTTGTTCGGTAGTATGTGTGAAATTATCTATCAATAACACGTGTTCTTGCGTCGTTGTACAAGAATATGCGTGAGATGAAGAATAAAATTGTTCAATATCTGTGGTGATGGGATTATATGTACCTATCCTACAACAAAGAACAACAATCTCTTTGTGGGAAGTAAATGAAAGAAGTCAACAAATGCATTGTGAGGTTATTGTTTTTTTGTTGTTTCATCGAGAAGGAACAAAGACCAAGAAGGAAATCCTATGTATATATCCCAGCAACAATCCTGGGTCTTTGAGAACTCCCTTTCTTTCTTTCAGTGTAGCCCATACCCTTGTGAGAGAAACACATTGTTAGTGGCATGGCTCAGAGATAAAATTGTCTCGATGTGTATAGCTGGTGATTTTAATGTAATTGTATATTGTCCATGATTTAATGAACAAGTACTCGTGAAGGAGTATAAATGCGGTATAATTCTCGTGCGAGATAAATCATCTTTTCAAAGCTGATCCACTGCTCCCACACAATCAAACTCTTGTTAGTGAGCTAAAAATCCATAGTTAGTTAGACTTCTGTAATATCATCTTATCATTCCAGTTTATTGGTACGATAGGAAACTTGATTTGTCGATTCTAGACGGGGTCCTGGAATTTCTTTGGCATGGATTTCAACAGTATCACTGAACTTCCCAATTGGGCCATTTTGCACTTGCCTCTTTACGAATACGCAGAATTTATTCTCAAAGCTCCGAAAGAGGGCGGTGAAGAATCGACCCCGCAAGACAACATGTATGATGCAGATGATGAAGGTTTCGATGAGGACCAACTTCATCGCAGAATTTGTGAGATCAAACAAGAAGAACGAACTCATCATGTAAATTCCATTCAGTCATGGAATTTCCCACCAGCAAGTACACAACTTCATCCACGAATCGAACAAATCAAGGAGGAAGAAAGAAAACTAAGAGAAGAAGAAGAAGAAAGAATCCATACACATCTTCATTCGCGAATCCAGCAAATCAAGGAAGAGGAAAGACAACAAAAAGAAGAAGAGGAATCAGAGAGAATAAGACAGGAAATATACAGTCAAGCAGTAGATAGCGAGCAACCAAACTCTCTAAGCGAATGCACCGATTATCCAGCAAGATCTCATCTCCCACTTCGCGAATATTTTCCACGAATTGACAGTAGTCAACATTATCAAGATAACACCCGAGCGGAACTCCCCTCCCGTATTCGTAGAACCACTTTCGCCTTCAGCAGCGAAAAAGAGTTTGAAAAAATAGCCGAGGAAAATACACCCATGCTTTCGAGAGCGCCTCGTCCAAAGAAACGAATTGAACACCTCTCGCTCAAATTTGACCGATCTGCTCCATTCATCGACGTTTCTGCAATTTTCCCACAAAACGCAGAAGACAAAGTTTCTTCCCCTGTGGATATTCAAGAAGAAAACAACTTTGCAGGTTTTGAAATGATGAACTTTGCGGAATTGATTTTCGACTACGAAATTGCACCCCTTTTATACCCAACTCGCCTGGCCGAAGTTTACCGCTGCGACGTTGAAGAGCCGAAATTTTTCAGTTTGGTACCTCATTGGTTCCATGACACTGAGTTTAAAAGATGTTGGTGCATCCCTTGCATTCAATATAGAGAAACTCTATCTACAGGTAAGCAGTTAGAGGCGCATGACTTTGATAAGTGGTGTCTTTGCAGGTCCTGCATGGATTTTTGGCACAAAAACTTTAATGAAGATGACAATTGTAATTGTCAAGATTGTGTCGAAAAACAAAAACTCGAAGAAAAAGAAGCGGACAAAAAAAGAGCACTTGCTGCTCTCAAAGCACTCGTTGGAGTCGACGGTGAAAATTTTCTTGCTGAACTCGAAGAAGTGATTGCCAGTCCCCAGAGTCCCTTCCAATCACCTGGACAAGAATCAACAGATTCAGAACAACAACTCGGAGAAAAAGTTGCACTTGCTGAACTCAGAGCACTTGCAGACCTCGATGGTGAATATCTGTTTGCTGAACTCGAAGAAGCGCGTAGCAAACTCCAGAGTCCCCTCCAATCACAATCACCTGAACAAGAAGCACCGGATTCAGAGCAACTCCTCCCCAAATCCACACAGAAGCTACCGTCGGACCCTCTCTGTGAAAATCCAACAACAGTTGTGCCTGTGTCTAAGGAAAGTTCTTTTGATTTATTCAACACCATTCGCCAGCATTTATGGTTAGATTCTGATTATTATTCTGGTTCTGCAACTAGTTTTGATTTTTGATACGGAATAAATTCTCCTACTTACTTTTTTCATACGGTTAAGTAAGGTAAGTAGGTCGTAGATTCTCTTATTTACATTCTTCACATGATTAAGTAAGGTAGGTCGTAGATTTAACATTACGTCCTAGTGATGTACTTACTCTCTATGTCGAGAAAAATAAATCCTTGGATATTTGGCAACAGTAAAACCACCAAAAAGAAAACATAAAAAATTTGATTTTAGCGAGTAATTCTCTCTTAAAGATGTATGAATAGAATGTGAGGTGATGATGTATGAGTAAAAAGTATTGTGAAATTGGTGTATCAACACACAGGGGTATAAAAATCTTTCTTTGTTAGCAGCTAGTACGTACAACAAATATAGACTGGTGGTACAAAGAAAACCCTCCCAAGTCAATGGAACCGAGAATTTTACCTAAATAGAATGATAATTATTTATAGCACTCGAGACGACTTCAAGGGAAAGAGGTTTGCATTGCATTTGTGATGTAAGAGATGTGAGATATGATTTGTGATTGTTGATGAATATTCACCAACAATATGAAGATTGAACAAGACAAGATTCGATAACTCTAAAATTGAAGAAAATAGGTAGATGAGTTAGGTCGATAGAACATCATACGCAACGAATTCGTATTCGATCAAAGAAATACCTCAACTACATTCATTGTCCTGAAAGAATTGCAGTGATTTCGGATTTTCGGATGACATTCCCGCTCGTCTAAAGCATATTTCAAATGCTGGCAGTAGAAAGAAAATTGCCCCGCCTCATAGAAGAATGAAAGAAGAATGAAAATTTTCCAAGCAAGCAAGCATCTATTGGAAATCAGATCCCCACGAGTTTGCATATGCTTAATTAAAGGCATTGAGTCAAAACTTTCGGCGGTACCTAAATGCAGGTACTTGACTGCCTAAAGATCCCAAATTTCCGTCATGGTACTTGCGCAGCGGGCGGTAATAAATTTTAATATAGGTATCAATACATCTGCATCGCCAACAAATACATAGCCACTTGAAAAAAGTGTACATCAGTAACATCACAGACCATTTTGGATCGACAAGAAGTATTTCACCGAGAACAAACGTATGTCTCAATGCCCAATATAGAAGCGATTGGTCGAAGGTAGCCTTAAGGCGCACTTGTATGCACGCCATTCTGACATGCCTCCGTAATAACTCTCGCTGATAGAGGCGCTTAGCAGCGTCAAAGTATAGATGAAGAGCTTAACAAGGGTGACTCGGGTACTTCTTGTGCTGTTCCATGAAGTGAAAGGATTTTCTTTGGGATTTTTTATTTTATTTTGCAATTTCTGCGAAGGGCAGAGTTTGTGTTGATTCTCAGCCATTTCGTGTTGTTCTCAACGAGCAGCGCCTAAACTTGCTAGGGGTAGATTGTTGGGCTGTAAGAATTGTGATAAGGATGGTGAGCGGTTCGGAGACGATAGGAACTAAAGACAATTTTGAGGATGCAAGATCTCACAGTAAAAAAAACTTCTTCACTCTCGTCAAACATGGCGGGACAAGGCATGAAGCTTGGAAAGGCCATGGTCTTCACCAAGAAGACCGGATCGATCTTGGAACCAAGATTGAGACCCTGAAGGCTGAAGACTAAATGGAACTGAGGGTATCATGTGACTTTAAACGGTTAGCTGCATGAATTTTTGGTCCCGGGGTCAGCAAGATGTGGATATCTGGGAAGTGGATAAAAAACGCGGAGATGCTCAAACAGTTTGTGGCCGAGCTAAGGTGGATCCTCCCTTCAAAGGATCATCTCTGGAGGGAAAAGAGGAGATTGGACATCTGGAGACTTTGGAGAAGTGGGATGATTTCCTTCTTTAGGTGGGGATTTGCGCAGTTTGTGTGGCATTTTTGAAATTGTGCGCATGTGTGTTATGGCAGCAATGGTAATGAATGGTATGGGAAAGTGGTTGAATCATGAATGACGATCTCGAAGGTAGCATTCATGTAGATGATACCTTACTATCTACCGAGAAATGTACGGAGTAGACGATGGAATAGACTTTTGACGTGTTTGACTTTGATGATTGGGAAGCACTCGGTTCTCTACTGCTTGCTTGGTAATAGTAATACTAGTAAGACCATGGTGGACGATGGTAAGAGAGAGCAACTCAACTCAAGCCAAGGTAAAGCTACCCTATACTCGCCAATCATGTCAAGCTACCCAAATGAGACAAATGAGGATTGCTACTAGAGTACTGAGGATGAGAAAAAGAAAAGATTTGTTAGTGAAAAGTAGACCCCGCACAGAATTGCATAAAATCAACATTGATAGGACTTACCTAGTAGGTATGCAGGTATACCATACAAGTTATTACTTAGCACTGAAAAAGCTCATCTCTTTTGTTATTCCTACATGGACCGGATTTGATTGATGGATCTTTTCTGACTGTCTGACAGTGACAGCTACCTAGGTCTTGCTACCCAGTACTTACTATTTACTACCTACTACCTAGTACTTACCACCTACTCCTAGTAAATAATAAATTTTAATGCATTTCCATTTTGGTCATTTTTGACGCCCATCGTGAAATAGAACAAAGAGATACTCATTAGGCAGTAGTAGATTGGGATATTGTTTTCAGGAGCGACAGCAACAAGAACAAGGTGCATTTTCTTTCCCTTCCTTCACACTGCTTGCTTGCTTGCAGTATAAAGATCCGGCTGCGTCATGATTAACCAGGATTCTTTTTATTTCAAAACATCGAAACACACTCCAAGTGAAGCGCCTCCGGTTACCCCCCAATCTGCCAAATCAGCGGGGGTGCAACCAATGAAAACCATCACTGCTCTTGGAACCCACATATTAATTCCACAATTATACTGTATATAGTTTAGCACGGCGTCCGAAAGTGGAAAAGCTTGGACCCGACCAACATTTGGGACCAAAAGCTTCCGTTTTCTTTTTTGGTCACTTTGTGCCGGGGAAATTCGAAAATGGAAAAGGGAAAATCGAACAAAAACTGGTGAAATATTTTCAAACATCCAACATCTCAGCCATTTTATTCATCTCCTTCCCATTTCATTCCATTCAATTGATACCTCATCGACGACGTGTACGTGTACTGAACAATCATAGGTGAAAAACTCTTCACTTATTTGTTGTACAATATATAATCAATTTATCTTCTGTATCTTGCCTAGGCTCGGGCTTATCAACATCCGTCGTCTCCTAATCTTACTCGTCAACTTAATCTGAAGAACGAGTGGGAACCAATCGAAAATCAATCAACCCCTCAGACACACAACACACCGTAAGTATTTTTATTTTTATTATTTTTTTGTTTTTATCCAATTGACTGATCTCAAATTCACCTGCAAATATGGGATGGAGGGGTTATCATGCTCTTGTTATGATTTGTACGGCATCAGAGGTCATTCGTACAGCCAGATGGATGTGTGGTATGGTCACGCTAATGCGGTTGTGGGGAAAGCTCTTATAGTTCCTACGTTCCCATAAATTTCGTCAGAGGAGCTCCGAGCTTCTTTCCTTGATCATCAATCAACTTGCAACCAAGAAGATTCTCTGGACACGAACACAAGATAATATCCAACAATTGTTATTTGCCGTGGTATTCCTTTACATATAACGTTCTGCTCCCCAACAAGATACTTTTTGGATCTTCAACCAAACTTTGATTCTTTTACTCTTTTGTATCTGCAATCTGCAATTCTGCAGTCTCCCATCCACCCCACTTTAACAACTCTGCTTCATATAGCGACACCTGTCGCAACCTGAGTCAAAATGTCGGGAAAAACAAACCGAGATGTCAAGAACCACTTTCTCTTTGAGATAGCTACTGAGGTTGCAAATCGAGGTAAGCCACCAGACTTCATTCTTCGGAATATTCAGAACAATTACTGACCTTTTACTCTCCTTCAGTTGGTGGTATCTACTCCGTCATCAAATCGAAAGCACCAGTAACGACAGCCGAATATGGAGACAGATACACCCTCATCGGTCCCCTCAATAGGCAATCGGTGAGTTTCTCTACTAGATATTGAATATGAGTATGGCTAATACTTCCAAGGCCGCCGTGGAAGTCGAAGCATTGACACCTACAAATCCCCATCTCGCAGCAACGATAGAGGCTATGGAAGAAAGAGGAATTCAAATGTTATATGGCCGCTGGTTGATCGAGGGTGCCCCAAGAGTTTTGTTAATCGACACCAAGAGTGCCTACAGATTTTTGGACGAATGGAAAGCCGACCTGTGGAATACTGCAGGTATTCCGTCTCCTCCGGGAGATGATGAAACCAACGAAGCAGTCGTCTTCGGTTATTTGGTTGCATGGTTTTTGGGAGAGGTTAGTACATAGGCATTGCATGAACTCTTGCATAATGTGTTCCAAAGCTAACCATTCAATAGTTCGTTGCCCACGAAAAGGAAAAGGCTGTCATCGCGCATTTCCATGAATGGCTCTCTGGTGTCGCACTTCCTCTATGCAAAAAGCGTCGCATAGATGTTACGACAATTTTTACCACTCACGCCACTTTACTAGGAAGATATCTTTGCGCAGGATCGGTCGATTTCTACAACAATCTTCAATGGTTTGATGTTGATGCTGAAGCAGGAAAGCGTGGTATTTACCACAGGTATTGCATAGAACGCGCAGCAACGCATTCTTGTGATGTTTTCACAACCGTCTCACACATCACTGCCTACGAATCCGAGCATTTGTTAAAGAGAAAGCCGGATGGTGTTCTCCCCAACGGTCTTAACGTCACCAAATTCTCAGCCATGCACGAATTTCAGAACTTGCATCAGCAGGCAAAGGAAAAGATTCATGATTTCGTTAGAGGTCACTTCTATGGGCACAATGACTTTGATCCAGAAAACACTTTATATTTCTTCACGGCTGGACGATACGAGTATAGGAATAAGGGTGTGGACATGTTCATAGAGTCGCTGGCTCGTTTGAATCACCGTCTCAAGTCTGCCGGATCCAAAATGACTGTTGTAGCTTTTATCATTATGCCCGCACAAACTCAGTCATTGACTGTGGAGGCTTTGAAGGGACAGGCCGTCATCAAGTCATTACGTGACACAGTCGATGTTATTGAACGTGGTGTTGGAAAGAGGATTTTCGAGCGTGCCCTTAAATGGCATGAGGGTGAGGTCATGCCTGATGATAAAGATTTGATCACCAGTCAAGATCGTATCCTTCTCCGTAGGCGATTGTTTGCCATGAAGAGACATGGTCTCCCACCAATCGTCACCCATAACATGGCAAACGACTCCGAGGACCCAATTTTGAACCAGATCAGAAGAGTTCAATTGTTCAATCACCCATCCGACCGTGTGAAGGTCGTTTTCCACCCAGAGTTTTTGAACTCTGCAAACCCAGTTTTGCCAATGGACTACGATGAATTCGTTAGAGGTACTCATTTGGGTGTTTTCTCATCCTATTATGAGCCATGGGGTTACACACCTGCGGAATGTACGGTCATGGGTGTTCCAAGTATCACAACTAACTTGTCAGGTTTCGGTTGTTACATGGAGGAGTTGATTGAAAACTCGACGGATTACGGAATTTATATTGTTGACAGGAGAATGAAGGGTGTGGATGATTCAGTCAATCAGTTAACCAGCTACATGTTTGATTTCGCCGGCAAAAGCAGACGTCAGCGTATTAACCAGAGGAATCGTACCGAGCGATTGAGCGATCTTCTCGACTGGAAGCGTATGGGTATGGAATACGTCAAGGCAAGACAACTTGCATTGAGAAGAGCTTATCCTGCTTCTTTCGATGGTGAAGAGGAAGATGACTTCATCCCTGGTGTGGAACAAAAGATCTCACGCCCATTCTCAGTACCTGGATCTCCAAGAGATAGAAGTGGAATGATGACACCTGGTGATTTTGCCAGTCTACAAGAAGGACGTGAAGGATTGAGCACGGAAGATTATGTTGCATGGAAGCTTCCGTAAGTCCCAAATATACCTCTGAAGTGATATAGTGCTAACCTTTACTAGTGAGGAGGAAGACCCAGATGAGTATCCATTCCCGCTCACCCTTCGAACAAAGAAAAATGGTGCACAAAGTCCATATGGTGGTGCACAAAGCCCTTCGGAATATGCGATTACAAATGGAAATGGGTTGAGATAAATATATCAAATAAGAAAATGGTTAGAAATGGTGAATAAAGGAAGGAAATGGGATTAAGAAGTCGGGAGGCAAGCTATGAGGATGATAAATAATCATGTACCAAAATGTCTATACTCCTTTTCTATTTGCATTTCTGCGTCGCTTCTTGCAATTGTATATTCAATACCCTCTTCGTTCTGAACGTTGGTGGCTTTATTTATGCATGGGAATTAGGTTGCGGGTAAATTAGTGCGTTTATTAGTTTTTTATTAGTTTTTTTTGGCATTATGGAATGAATGTAGAAGGAGATTGATGGATGAATGGATGGATGAAGAATGATCTCTTAATGATCATGAAAAGGCAATATATATGATGGAGGAAAAAGGTTGTAATTGTTAAGAAAAAGCGTATTTATTTTTAATTTGTTACTTTTTTTTTTTTATGTTTTGATATGATGGATATGATGGATATGATGGATGTGATGTGATGGATGTGATGGATGTGATGGATGCGATGGAGCTTTTATTGACGTGGTGTAGGAAAGAAGGGAAGAAGGGAAGATTTGATGAAAGTTAGATGTGTAGGGATGGGTGTGGAGAGAGAGATGGAGAGAGAGATGGAGAGAAGGG